GGCCACCGGTCTACTTCGCTCGCTTAAGCTGATCCAGGCTACCGGAGCAGTCCAAGACGACTTTTCTCAAATGTTCATGAAAGCGGTGTCCGACGGCATCGCCCTTTCGTCCGAGAGCTGGGACATTGTTGAAAGCATCAAGCGGATGCAAGCGGACGACTTTGTCTCGATGCTGCAACGGGTCCAAACAACCGTAGCGACCGGCGATGACCAGCTATGTCTCACCGCCTGGGAATCCGAGGCCGGGGACCTTCCGGCAATTGTAAAGAAATGTCTGGCCGAGTCCAAGGAGCTGCTCAGCAGAGCCCAGGAGGACGGCACCACCTTGCGGAGCGCGTACAGTGGTCACAGTAGGGTGCTTCGTACAACCGTCGTCGCGCAAAAAGTGCAGCTGAGCCACGATTCGGCCGCTCTCTCTGAGGACGACAAAGCATTCACCAGAATTGTCGACCAGATTGCGGAGCTTTTCGAGGACGTTATACGATGCGAACCCGCCGCAAGTGTTTTCTTACACGAGACATGGCTCTATGATTTCAAGACACCCCATCGGGATCTTTTCGTCCCGCGACCCCAGGACGTTTTTGAGCGCAGCCTAACCCGACCCCAGGACTACCTCGCCTGTGCTTGCTGCACTACCGACGAAGGACTATCCACAACACTTCCCGCAACGTCTTTGCTTTACCATCTCTACTTGGAGACGGGCAACCTCATCAACGTCGCCGACTTGTGGTCCGCCTTCTACGCCATGGTGGGCAGCGGCGGCGGTGACGACGCTGAGGATAGCGATGGAAACGCCGATGAGAGGGCAGCGCTGGTGCTCTTTTACCGGGGTCTGGCGGAGCTAAAGGCCCTGGGCTTTGTCAAGATGAGCAGAAAGAAGACGGACCACATCGCCAAGCTCAAGTGGCTGTAGGAGCTCAAAGGGGATTCCGCGACAACGGCCTAGAAAGCGTGAAACGAAGGTCGTGGCGCGGGAAGGCACGTCAGTCGCGTGGTCAGGGGAAAGAATCAAGCGAAAAGACGAGTTCTACTTAATGGGAATTTGTCAAGGTGAGGCCAAAGCAAGCATTTCTTACATCTTTGGGCCTAGATAATTTTCATTCAAATCAAACAAGCAAGACGATGCGTGCTTGCCCCCCGAGAAATCCCCATCTTTTGAATAAATGTCAATGACTCAGATGACTCAGATGACTCAGATGGATGTCGGCATTCTTCAGTCTTCAGTGTCTTCAGCTGTGTTCTTGAACAAGGCTATTGTCTTCTGGACACTTCTTTGTTCCTGTTGGCCAGACCACCACGGAACCGGTGTGCTCAGCCTCCACCTCAGACAAATTCCGCTGTCCGTCCGCGGGCTGCCGATAGCACGGAGTTCGTAATTGCCGTCCAGAGCGAGGGAAAGGGGGGGAGGGAACGGGAGGGGAGGGAGGAAGAGCGGAAAGGGCCAGAGGAATCATGTCTCGGATGCTCCACGCTGGGGCCGGAGGCGTATCTAGTTGCGTCCGGCGCGCGACTCGTTTCTGGGACACCCGGGACACTCGTAGAGTGAGAGGGACAGCGTAAATCGCACCAAAGAGAAGTCGTCCCCTCCCCCCGCTCCGCGCCATGTCTCAAGTTACTTTGGCGCATCGAGCGAGATAAAGAGAGACATAGGGGAAGGAATCCGGCTCTCTGGGTCATCTGGCAAACTGAGTTCGGGGGCGGCGCGCCCCCTTTGGCCTGATTTACACAGTATGGACGGCCTCTGGCCGCCGACGGGACAAAGCAATCTTGTCTCTCCTGACGTATTAGTCCTGCCGCAGCCTATGTTCGGGTCCCAGTCGCTCGGGTCGCTGGCTTCGCCTTCAACGAAACGAGAGACGGGAGGGCCTGGATCTCCAGTTTTTGTGCTTGACACTTTTTTTTTCTGCCCTCCCTCTTTTCGATATCGTCTCTTTGGGGTTATTTGTTTTGTCTCGCAAAGCAGATTTGTTCGGTCAAAGAAACGAAGAACGGCGGGACGGGTGGTGGGGGAGCGTGGGCTTGGAATCCCTCCCATACAAGAAGCAGAGAGTCTCGCTCTAGTCGTTAACGATGAACAGTCTCTCGATATCTCGATCTCATCTTTCTGATTCAAGCCTTCGATACCCATAGAACACTCACCGTTTATTCTGCTCTGATTCCAAACGTTCTTTCTCCTTCCTGTGCAGGTCTTAGAACACTCCCACCGAAGCCTCTGCCCATCTAAGAATACTCTCCTAGAGGAACCGTATCCAAGCTGAAATACGCCAGTCTGTTCCCACGAAGATCCTCATCACCGAGACGCCTCCATATTTTGATCTCATCTTGAATCTCGTTGAATATCTTTCAAGCCGAAACACCTCTTCATTTCTCGACGACAACCTCCCCAAAACTTGACTCATTGATACGTCAACTTCTACGAGAAAACAAGTCCTTTGAGAGGAAAGCCCAGTACATCGTGCTAAACAGGTCTTTTGGGAGAGGGGAGAGACCAGAAAAAGTAGAGGAATCACGCGCCAAAACAAAAGCCACGATGGCAACCAGACACCACCACACAACCAACGGAGGCATTGGCAACCGTCGAGCTGGACGCAACGCCGGGTTCCAGGAAAAGATGCGCCAGATGCGTCTGCCTTTGGTTCCTCTCGTCCAGATGTCGACGGGAGCTGTCCACCCAGAATTTCCCGCGACACTGCTCAACTTCTGGCTCTTGACTGAGGCCCAGTTGGACGACCTTGCCCGCTTCTACCACCAGAAGACTCCCTCGCCCTGGTCGGCATCGTACCCCTGTCCTATCACATGGAAGTCCGGTCTCACGCTTGAGGAGAAGAGAAGAAAGATTGGAAAGTTCATCGGTCTTAGGTACGTCGAATTCGACTACACTCGGGAGGTCGTCTACTACGACCCCCGAACGTCGACTACACCCCCTCCTCGCCCCCGCCCTTACTCGGAGAACAAGTGCTGATCAACGTTTTACCACAACAGAGGCTGCGATACGCCAATTCGCATACGCATCAAGACTGAGGAGCAAATCATGGAGGAGGCGCGGCAGGCGAGACTAGCAGAGGATGATGAGGCTATGAGGAGAAAGATGCCGTGGTACTCATAGATTTACCGTGAACCAGATCTGCTTAGAGCTGGGGATGCGTTGTGCTTTGAAGTCCTTTGTTGCTTTTTCCTGCATGGCACTGCGTTGATATCATCAATCATATAGCACATTTAGGCGTTGGAGACGGATGGGTACATGACAATAGAGATAGACCCCACCAATGGGCAACCACCGGTTTGATCTGGTAAAAGAGCAACGACAACCGATATATTTATAGACTCCCAAATAATTTATGATGCCCAGTACAACTCCCGTGCAACCCTGAACGCCGAACGCAACCAGCCAGCCGTTGTATGCTTTGATCCTCGCCATTTGTTGTATCATACACGGAGGTGGGTAATGAGGTATCTAGTGACGAAGGGTGTGATGCGAGACAGGACCTTTGAGTCCGCCCAAGCCACAGATATTAGAGTTGGATGGAGGAGGAGAATACGCGTAGTATTTATTTCTTGCCCTTCTTCTTCTTGGAGGGCGTGCTAGTGGTTGAGTCAACAAGAACGGCATCACCGTCGACACTGGGTGGGGCAGTTGAGTTCTTCTCGGACTCATCAAGCTCCTTCATGAACTCGGTCTGAATGTTCGCCCTGCGCTTCTCCCACCACTCCTTCTCCTGGTCGACGGTGTTGGCGACCTCCTCGAGGCGGTTGCGCACAATGGTGTTCGCGGCGATCTCGTTGGCGGACTGGAAGATGGACTGACCCCAGTTGGGGGCAAGAGCGTTGGCCTAAGTCGAGTTAGTCATACGATGTCTGCGCGCGCTGAACCTGGTATACGGACCTCCATCACGACGTCGCGGAGCTCGTCCTCCATTTCCTTCTCGGCGCGCTGGAAACGCTGCCACAAGTCATCGCCGACGCTTCCCCGCTGCAGCAACGTGCTGCAGGCCTGCTTGGCGGAACGGATCTGAACGAGACGGTGGATGTCCTCAACTGCGCGGCGGAGAAGCGCGGCACGGATGACGCTGTCGGGGATCTTGGGGGTCTTCGCCTTCTCCTGGCCCTCCTCGGGGGATCCGATGTGCAGGAGGGACAGGTAGAGGTTGCGCTGCAAATGTTCGGGGAACCAAGGAGCGAGATTGGCGCTTTGGGCTAAAAGTGAGAAAACAATAAGTCAGCAGTCATGTTTCCGTATTGTGCGGTCGCGCGCATCGCGGAACCGCGGGTGGAGGGGCGTGGAAGACACATACTCGCTTTCCGTTGTCTGTAGATCTTGGAGAAGGTCATGAAAACGCCGCCGAGGACCAAGAGGTAGGCGAAGGGGAGCACTAGGCCCAACCAGTCTATTTCGAACATGACTGCTGCTGCTGTTGCGAAAATCGTGCGCTCGTAAGGATCGTGGTAGAAAAGTGAAGAGGTCGAACGAGGGACAAAGAAATTGGTGGTGTCTGAAGGCGGATGCTCTCTGGCCTGGAGATTCCGTTGATGCAGCGTGTCCAATTACAATATGACAGCTTGGTCGCAATGGACACTTTTTTGGCTGCCCACCCAGGGTCAAAGATGACCCGCTGCTTTTACTGGACGACGGGATGCGGACCATCCATGTCACCTTGCAGAGCAAATCGACAAAAAAAAAATACTTAGGGAGAGTATATAAACACTCAGTTAGTTTAACATGTAGAAAAAGGCTTAGAATTACCAAACATCCCCCTTGATGTTTTACTATTCCAAAGCTGTTATGCTCGAGCTTGAATGTCTTCTTGACTCGACGGAAGCACATGGTAAAGCAGCGTGGAAATCATTGACCCTAGTCTAGTCGCAAGGTGGCACAAGGGACAAGGGTACCTCTTGTTGGTCCAAGCATGGCAAGTGTGGCTGCATTGCTCAATTGCTCTTTCCTCTCACTCGCGTTGCTTGGTCTCCTTTTTTTCTAGTTGTGCCGTGCAGCTATAATCATCATGCTATCCTCAACTCCTAAGGTTCTCAGAACCTCGCTCTTTGAGCAGTTCTCTTCTCGCTCTTTCTCTTCTCGTTCTTCTGCTTCTCGTGCTTTTACTCCTCGATTCCAACTACAGCGACTCCCGGCGCGTCGTTTCTATTCTTCTGAGCCCCCCAAGAAGCCATCTGGTGTCAAGTTCTGGCCTTTCCTTGCTGTCGTCATTGCAGGAAGCGGCGCTTACAAGCTCCTCGTTGACCAAAGAGCCGGTGAGTGGACGCCCTTTGTTCTTATGCAGCTTACCTGTCCACATCTGCATACACCAAAACCTACCCCTTCTCAAGTCTCGTCAATCTACGAGGAACTCAACTAATAGACTCACCTTTCAGAAATGGCATCCCTCCCCACCCCCGAAGCTTCCAAGCAGCTCCCCTCCCCGATAAAGTCCACACCTACCTTCTCCCCCGATGAAGTAACCGTCCTCTTCGTCCTTGGCGGTCCCGGCGCCGGCAAGGGCACCCAATGTGCCAGACTCGTCTCCGACTACGGCTTCACTCATCTTTCTGCCGGCGACCTCCTCCGCGCCGAGCAGGACCGTCCCGGCTCGCAATTTGGCCAGCTGATCAAGGACTACATCAAGGACGGTCTGATCGTCCCGATGGAGGTCACTGTGCAGCTGCTCGAGAACGCCATGACGGAGACCATCAAGACCACCGGCAACAAGCGATTCCTCATCGACGGCTTCCCGCGCAAGATGGACCAGGCCGTCAAGTTCGAGGAGGCCGTGTGCCCCGCGAAGCTTGTTCTCTTCTACGATTGCCCTGAGGATGTCATGGAGGGACGCTTGCTGGAGCGCGGCAAGACGAGTGGACGTGCCGACGACAACGCTGAGAGCATCCGCAAGCGCTTCCGCACATTTGTCGAGACGTCGATGCCTGTCGTTGATTACTTTGCCAAAGAGGGTCGCGTTGTGAAGCTCGATGCGACGCCCCCGCCGGCGGATGTATACTCCAAGACTCGCTCAGAGCTGTCCAAGAGGCTTGGAATTTAAACTCGAGATGCCCAGAGCAGACTTGAACGTGGATAAATGGTTGAATTTTCCACCGGCTGTCATTCCTTTTGGTCATGGTGCTGAGGAGCAGTAGACTCGTCCACTTGGACAGCATCTGCAAAGGGGCTGATGGAAAGGCTACAATACAATGCGTTGAGAGTAAGATAGTTACTTTGTAGGTTTTGTGTTAATAGAATTATCCTAGACTTGTCAAAGGGCTATAGCCATACAAGTGGTTTATATTATTTCATTATCCTTCTATTCATCATTTGAGGCGCGACCGTTTAGACGTAAGTAAGAATGCTTGAGCTTTCAGTGCTTCGTAAGGTAAGGTACGCAAGGTACGCAAGTACCTAGGCATGGGGAGCTTACGCCGTACCTATCGAATGGACGTGGAACCGCCAACTAACCACCCCTGCTGGGTGCGGTGAATAAGCTCTACCAAGGGGCAAGGTCTGCAGCACACTGAATCTGAGAGGTGTGCCCCCACCTCCGTCGTTTTGCCGGACCCACTGTAAGGCACCACCTTTGATGACGCTGTTGGCGGTTCGTTCCACCACTTCATCAGTGGGACATCAAGTCCAAGAGCTCTCTCTCTGCACATCCCACTAAGCAAAAGCTACCTCGGGCAACTTTCCACAAGCTTCCCTTGACCACACCTCCTTCCCTGAGCTCAAGACCACACAAAACGGCAAGTAGCAAAGGAATGGGCTCTTGCTAGAGAGATTCTGCATTATATATTTCCTGCCTTTTCTTCTCCCTACCTCTCCCGATCTGAGATCTCACACAACCCTGCACGGTTTCGCATCCCTCGCCCAAGATGCTTCTCAGACTCCGAGGGCCCGATGGCATGAGCCGCCTGACCATCGACAAGGACGAGACCTTCGGCGAGCTTGGACGTCAGGTATGATGTCTTAAACAAGCTACCGAATACTGATCTAACTCTTCTAGCTGCTTCCGAACCTTCCAAAGACGGTCGACCCCAGCACCATCACTCTTTCTAACGCCCCCACCGGCGGCGATGCTAAGAAGCTCGTTGATATTACGAACTTCAAGATTGGACAGATTGGACTGAAGTAGGCCCATGCATAATATTCAAGCTCGAGATCATATTCTGACACAGGCAGGCACGGCGACCTCATCTTCATCAACTACCAGCACCAGGACAGTCTCTCAAATGGCGCCACCAATGGCGCCCAGCCAACGTCCCATCCACTCGCGTCCTCGAACCGTCTCAACGGAAAGCCCATCCTCCCCACCGAAGACCTCCCGATCGATCCTCCTCCAGTGACTTCACCCTCCGAAAAGATCAAAAACCCCTGGGAAGTCGTTAAGCAGCACCCTCTCGACGACCGCTTGGACAAGAAGGATGGCAAGATTCCGAGAAAGCGCGACAAGATGTGCCGCCACGGCGAGAAGGGCATGTGTGATTACTGCATGCCCTTGGACCCATTCAACGCCAAGTATCTGGAGGAGAAGAAGATCAAGTACTTGTCATTCCACTCGCACCTACGAAAGATCAACTCCGCCACGAACAAACCCGAGCTGGGTAGCTCCTTCATTCCTCCTCTGGTGGAGCCATACTTCAGAGTAAAGCGCGACTGTCCATCCGGCCATCCGCTGTGGCCCGAGGGCATCTGCACCAAGTGCCAGCCTAGCGCCATTACTCTTCAACCCCAGCCATTCCGCATGGTCGATCACGTCGAGTTTTCGTCGCCCAACATCATCGATAGTTTCATTGACGCTTGGAGAAAGACAGGAGGCCAGCGACTGGGTTACATGTACGGCAGGTATACCGAGTACGAAGTCGTGCCACTTGGTATCAAGGCAGTTGTGGAGGCCATCTACGAGCCACCTCAAGTGGACGAACTTGACGGAATCTCCCTAAACGGCTGGGAAAATCAGAAGGATATTGACGATGTCGCAAGACTGTGCGGTCTGCAAAAGATTGGCGTCATTTGGACAGACCTTCTGGATGCGGGCGCTGGTGACGGATCGGTGGTGTGCAAGAGGCACGCGGATTCTTACTTCTTGTCTTCCCAAGAAATCTGTTTCATTTCACGTTTGCAGGCCCAGCACCCGAAGCCCACCAAGTGGAGCGACAGCGGCAGATTCGGTTCTAACTTCGTCACCTGCATCATTTCGGGCAACGAGTCGGGCGAGATTTCCATTTCTTCGTATCAAGCGTCCAACGACGCCGTTGAGATGGTGCGCGCCGACATTATTGAGCCCTCGGCCGATCCCAACGTTATGCTTGTTCGCGAAGAGGAAGAGGATGATGGATCCGTCAGTCGCACAAGATACATTCCGGAGGTCTTCTATCGCAGAATCAACGAGTACGGAGCCAATGTCCAGGAGAACGCCAAGCCGTCTTTCCCGGTTGAGTATCTCTTTGTGACACTGACGCACGGCTTTCCGGATGAGTCCAAGCCGACCTTCACACAGCTCGGTTTCCCTATCGAGAACCGTGAGTACATGGGTGAGAGCCAGGAACACTCAGCAGTCGCCAGAATCCTCAAGTTTTCGGGAGGTCAGAAGCCAGCTGAAGGTGGCCTTGAAATGTCCAACTTTCATCTACTGTGCTTCATCCACCAGATGGATATCTTGTCAAAGGTTTGTGGGCACCTTGTACTTTCAGAGCATTTACTGACAGCTGCGTAGGATGAAGAGTCACTACTCTGCCGAGTTGCGTCGCAGCACGATCTTGCCGACACATATCAGCTACGATCTACCCCTGGCTGGCAGACTTTGCAGGCGATTCTGCAATCGACTGGTGAGCGAATCCCCAAGCGCCCACGGGAGTCCGGGGGCCATTCCAATTCCAATTCAATTGATGCTACTGCTTATCCGCGACCCCCTGGTACCACGGAAGAACCGCTGGCTAAACGATTTGCTGCCTTCAGGCTGAACGAGCGCCGCCCACCGGGGTAAATTTACATACCTTTGGTCTATTTTCCTAGGATTGGTTGCCAGTTACGCGTCAATGACCGTGGTGTATCAACACGATCTTCCAGGAGTCCTGGGTGTCCATTTGCCGAAGGGATAGGGTTTGCGGGTGGTCTGGCTGCTCATTTTGAGGGCCAGGTTTGTTTGTTCGGTACGGTGTTTGGGGGTCGAGGTAGCATATCGGCATCAGGGTGGCATTAGTAGCAGTTCACGGAGGCGATAAGATGGCTGCGCCTCTGAACAACAGATATTCCAAAATAGATGCAGTATCAGTGAAGCCGTCTTCTCGCGGAATTCCATGGAACAGTGGTGAATATTGTTGTCTTGCGCATGGTGGTTGTATCCCTTTTGCAACTTCGCTACTAACTATGGTTAACCAGTGCCTCCTGCTTCTATGCTGTCACCTCGTCGGCAGATCACCTAGCCCGTAATAGAAATCATAACCGGGCGGATTACGAAAGTAGCAGGCCATCACGAACTGCTATGATGATTACTACTGCTGCAGGCAAATGTTTTCCTGGTCTGATAGTCGTCTCTGTCGTCTCTGTGTCAGCGTATTCACTGTTTACGCCTCTTGCTCTGCACGCACAACATGGTCATAATGGTATCCTGAGTCTTTTTTCAACTTTTGATTCCGCCCTAAATACTCCAGGCTATCTACAACAAAAATCAAGTCTTTTTGTTGACCCCTAAATCAGGATTTGTTTTTTCGTATCTCCCCTCCGATATCACACCATCGCCAGTAAAAAAAGACGAGTAGTTTCCGGCTAGCCATTAACTCCTTTTGAAAATGAAACAGAGAGAGGGGGTTCGCAGCTTTTGGTTTTTTCATCTTCCCTTTTAAACTCCTCTTCTATATTTACAACGGCTTGCCGCCGAGGAAGTCAGACCAGCGGCGGACCTCAGAGGGAATGCCCTCCTTGCGGGGAAGCTTCTCGCTCATGCACTGAGCGAACAGCATAGCAGTCTGTCACCGTCGTTAGCATTTGCTTCATAGCTGGGGTGTATTGTTCGTGGAATTAAGCTTACCTTGGGCTCCATGAACAGGGGAACGCCAAAGTCGACGGCGTTACGGCGCATGACGTAGTCGACGTCCATGATGGTCTTGCCACGGGCCTGGGCAAGGTTGAAGACACCGCGGATGTCGTACTTCTGGAAGACCTCACGGAGGGCGCGCTTGTCCTCCTTGGGGAACTCAATAACATCAACGGCGACGTTGCCCTTGGCGTTGGACTCGATGAACTGCTTGACCTCGTTGTCGGCGGCGTACAGCTTGTAGCCGAGAGGCTGGAGGTAGTTGACAACAGTGATGAGCCAGTCCTTGTTGAGCTCACCGCCGAAGAGCAGACCCTCACCAGGCTCGGGCATGCGGAAGTTCATGGTGGACTGGAGGGAAGTCCAGTAGGCCTCGACGAGGTCCTTGCCGAAGCAAGCAATCTCACCGGTAGAGGCCATCTCGACGCCGAGGAAGGGGTCAGCGCCAGCCAGACGAGTCCAGGAGAACTGGGGAACCTTGGTGGCAAGGTAGTCGCGCTTGACGGCCATGGGATCCTGGGGCTCAGGAACCTGCTGGCCAACGAGAGCCTTGGTGGCGATGTCGATGAAGTTGGTGCCAAGGACCTTGCTGACGAAGGGGAACGAACGAGAAGCACGGAGGTTGCACTCGATGACCTTGAGTGCAGGCTCGCCTCCCTCGGGGTCATCAGCCTTGATGATTTGCATGTTGAAGGGACCAGTGATGCTCCAGGCCTTGGCAACCTTCTGGGCAATTTCCTTGCAGCGATCCATGGTGGTTTGATCCAGGCTGGCAGGGGGCAGGACGAGGGTGGCGTCACCAGAATGGACACCAGCCTGCTCGACGTGCTCACTGACGGCGTGGATAATGAGCTCGCCCTTAGATGCAACACCGTCAACGTCGATTTCCTGAGCGCCCTCGATGAATTTGGTGATGACGACGGGGTGGTCAGGGGAGACGTTAGAAGCAGCCTCGAGCTTCTCCTTCAGGTCCTCCTGGCTGCGGATGACAGTCATGGCAGCACCAGAAAGGACGTAACTGGGACGGACCAGGACAGGGTAGCCGACCTGCTCGGCGAAGGCCTGGGCATCCTCGACGGAGGTAAGCTCCTTCCAGGCGGGCTGGTCAACACCGATGCTGTCGAGGATCTCGGAGAACTTCTGTCTGTCCTCGGCCTTGTCAATGTCCTTGGGGTCAGTTCCCAAAACATTTGCGCCGCCAGTCTCTTGAAGCCTAAGGGAAATATTTTGCGGAAGCTGACCGCCAACGGATACAACGACACCAGAAGCGCTCTCGAGTTCGTAGATATCCATGACACGCTCGTAGCTGAGCTCCTCGAAGTACAACTTGTCGGCGGTGTCAAAGTCTGAAAATGGTTAGCGCATGTTTAAAATTGGGCCATGTCGTGTAAGTCAGAGTCCAAATGCCGATCGTGGGCTCGGGGATCTCAATAATTAACGAACGACGTGTAGGCACATACCTGTAGAGTAGGTCTCCGGGTTGTACTTTCGGCTTGTAAGTATTCGGACTGTTTATGTGGAGGTATCGGGCACTTACGTTGATCATGACAGTCTTGTTGCCCATCTCGCGGAGGGCCTGGGTAGCACCGACAGCGCACCAATCGAACTCAACAGAGCTACCAATGCGGTAGACACCGCTGCCAAGAATGATGATTCCCTTGTCATCGAAGGTAACATCGTGGGAAGAGGCGTTGTAGGTGGTGTACAGGTAGTTGGTGTCAGCAGGGAACTCGGCGGCAAGAGTGTCGATCTTCTTGACCCAGGGGCGGATGCCGAATCCAAGACGAGCCTCGCGAACCTTGTCCTCGGTGCTGCCAACGGAGTTGGCGATCTGACGGTCAGAGAAACCAAGCTTCTTGGCCTTCAGGATCTGGTCCTTCTTGAGAGCCTCAAGGCCACCAGCCTGCTCCATCTCGCGGGTGCAGTCGACCAGGTTCTGCAGCTTGTACAGGAACCACTTGTCGATCTTGGTGAGCTCGTGGACCTTCTCGACGGAATAGTTCTCGTGGAGCATGGCCTGGCCGACGGCGAGCCAGCGGCGATCAGTAGGGTTCTGAAGCTCGAAGTCAAGGTCGTCGAACTTGTCACCCTGGAATCCGACAAACTTGGGGTCGACCTGGCGAATAGCCTTTTGGAAAGACTCCTCGAAAGTACGTCCGATAGCCATAACTTCACCAACAGACTTCATGGCACTTCCGATATCACGCTTAACGTGCTGGAACTTGGAAAGATCCCAGCGAGGCATCTTGGTGACAATGTAGTCAAGAGAGGGCTCGAAGTTGGCAGTCGTGGTCTTGGTAACGGCATTAGGAAGCTCGGGGAGGCTGTGGCCAAGACCGATCTTCGCAGCGGTATAAGCAAGAGGGTATCCAGTAGCCTTGGAGGCCAAAGCAGAAGAACGAGAAAGACGAGCGTTGACCTCAATGACACGGTAGTCAAGGCCGTCGGGCTGGAGAGCGTACTGAACGTTACACTCTCCCACGACACCAAGATGGCGGACAATCTTGATGGCGGCGGATCGGAGCATGTGGTACTCCTCATCGCTCAGGGTCTGACTAGGGGCAACGACGATACTGTCTCCAGTGTGAATACCCAAGGGGTCGAAGTTCTCCATGTTACAGACAGTAATGCAGTTGTTGTTCGCATCACGGACGACTTCGTACTCAAGCTCCTTCCAGCCCTTGAGGGACTTCTCAACCAAGATCTGGGGAGAGAGTGTGAGAGACCTGGCGGCCATGTTGCGCAGCTCCTCCTCGTTGTTCGCGAAACCAGAACCAAGACCACCAAGGGCGTAGGCGGCACGGACGATAATAGGGTATCCGACCTTGTTAGCGGCATCGAGAGCCTCCTCGACGGTGCCAACGGCAATGGACTTGGCGATGGGAATATCGATCTCCTCAAGAGCGCGGGCAAACAAGTCACGGTCCTCAGAGACCTCGAGAGTCCTGACGCTGGTTCCAAGAACCTTGACGCCGTACTTCTCCCAGAGACCCGCGCGCTGCATTTGGACACCGAGGTTCAGGGCGGTCTGACCGCCGAAGGAAAGGAAGACACCATCGGGCTTCTCCTTCTCGATAACGTACGACACGTATTCCGGCGTGACGGGAAGGTAGTAGACCTCGTCGGCGAGCGAGTGGTTGGTCTGAATGGTAGCGATGTTGGGGTTGATGAGGACTGACTTGACGCCGGCCTCCTTGAGAGCCTTCAGAGCTTGCGATCCTTCACGATGACTCCATGTTAGTCGGGTCCTCTCATTCATTGTGACTCATTCTTGGCACTCGAGACTCGAGAATGGTCGAGGAAACGAACCTGAGTAGTCAAACTCGCCAGCCTGGCCAATGGCGAGACCACCGCTGCCAATGACCAAGACCTTCTTAACGTCGACGCCGACGTGGGGCTTGATCACGCCGCTCTCGAGATAAGCCTTTGGGTTCGGCGCAGTTTGAGCAGCGCTGGGACGGAGCGCGCTGGCAGTAAACAGGCGCTTCTGAAGCAACTTCGCGCTGCTGGTCTGAAGAGAAGCTCTGGCGGAGGCATTGGCGGCGGCAAGAGTGAAGTTGCGACCGGCCAGAGCTGTAGGGACTCGCCGACCATGTCGGAGGACGGCCGGGGCGCGGCCTGCCAAAGTGTTTGACATGGCCGACGGCATTTTCAAGGTCTTAACAAGCCAATGCGACAAAGACCGGTAGGAAGAGAGTGAAGCCTCAAGGTCAGGGCCAATTGAATGGTTTAGGACCGAGAGAGCAGAAGAATATAGCCGCCGCTTTGGAGAGTTTGTGACTCTTCTTCCTGAGCTTCGTTAAGGTTGTGGGGGGAGGGACACTGAAGTAGAACCGTAGGTAGGTCAGGTCTTCCTCTTCAGCAAAAAAGGCGGTCCGGGTCCGAATACTCACACCAGATAAGATAAGGAAATTTTTCTCTGGGTGTTGTTGAATGGCCGATCGGGGGTGCCCAACAACCGTCCAACGCACTAACTGGGGTAATATTTCAGGCGGCCCTTTTCCTCAGGGCCCCGTCTGCAGACCAGGGACCACTTGGCGGCCGTTATCGCAGCCTCCGCCAGTGTCACCGCAGTGACAAAACCCTCGTCCCTCGTCCACAGAGGCTGTCCTTCCCCTCAGATAGGCGAAAAATTCTGCCAATGCAGCTGTAACAGAGTTTTACGGGGGTTCTAAACTGTCGAAACCTTCACTGCAGCATTTAATTGACCTAACGGCTGCCCCTCCATTGCGCCTTGTTTGCATCGTCTTGCCCGGTTGCTGCGTCCTTCTCGGTGTACGCAGCGGGCTGAGCTTGGGCAGACAATATGCCGCATTGTTTCCATCTCAGACAGCAAAGATGCACGGCACAGTCACCCGTCACACATCAGGCTGAGCATGTGAGCAATACAAGCGGACCTCCTGTCTCCCTGTGCTCCAGCTACAGCTCCCAAAACGACAGAAACTGTGACTCAACGCTGATCTATTGCAGCAATTTCACACAACTGCCAAACGTTTGCACGCACCTTTCCCTGTCTGAGCTTTCGTGCTGCGATCTGACGTCTGGTCAAGCCCCGCCATATCTGGCATGTGCCCCGCCATTCAATGCTGGGGAGTTCTGAATTTCCCCATCCTTACAGCGATTGGCCAATACCAATGCGCCGAACCAGCGCAAGTAATGCCGACGGAGAAGCCGGAGGACGCCAAAAACGGTACTGGCGCCGATGAGAGCGATGACGGGAGCTTCGATCCCTCATTAGGATCAACCAACACCCTGGTTGACACTTCATATAGTCTTCACGAAAACAGCTAGCCGTGGTCCACGACTCGCGGGTTCCATCGGTGTCCCGGTGAGAATGATTCATCCAGCAGTTGCCAATGACTCTTCAAAATGTGGTATCCCATTCGCCAACAAATGCCAGCCCAAGCTCATCTCGTGTAAGTCGTGTCCCTATTTTTTTTCTAACTTCCCATGCCGTTCATGTCTAGTTCTTCTCTAATCTCACCGCCGGGTTCCTCTCGATGAAGTTCAAATCCACCTTGTGGCCAAGCAGCTCACGAATGTTTGAAATGCCGTATTTGATCATTGTCGGTCTCTCCAGAGAGAGTCCCCAGCTAGTTCTCGTCGTCAGCAAGTATCATGATTAACGCAGAATTGGATCAACTTACCCATATACTCTCATGTCCTTGGGCAGACCCATCGCCTCCAGCATCTCTGGTCTGAACATACCGCTGTTACCAATCTCGACGAGCTTGTTCAAGCCCTTGTGGAAGGAGAAAATCTCCATGCTGGGCTCTGTGTAAGGGTTGTAGGCAGGCTTGAACTTGATGTCAGTGATGCCCATCTTGTTGAAGAAGATCTCCATGAACTCCATCAGACCACCCAGAGTCAGGCCGTAGTCAGCGATAACACCCTCAACCTGGTGGAACTCGGCCAAATGTGTGGCATCCACGCTCTCGTTACGGAAGACTCTGTCAATGGAGAAGTAGCGGGCCGGAGGAGGCCTGCCATCAGGTCCCTTCTTGGCAGCCAGCTGGTGAAGTACAGCCGTAGAGATGGCGGTCGTGTGAGTACGGAGAACCAATCTCTGAGCCTCATCGGCAGCCCAGGGATAGCGGTATCCGATCGAGCCGAACTTTCCATCTTGGTGCACCTGCTTAACATTCTCCCAGTACGTCTCGTAGTCCTTCTTGTCGTCCGCAGACTCAGGGCCGGGCTTGTCCGCAATCTTGGGGTCGGAAATATAGAAGGTGTCCTGAAGATCTCTTGCGGGATGTTGTTGGGGGACGAAGAGAGCGTCGAAGTTCCAGAAGCCAGACTCGACGAACTTGCTGGTGGGCATCTCCTCGAATCCCATCTCAAAGAAGATTTGTCTGAACTCGTGGCGGACCTTGTTCAGAGGGTGAAGGGCACCAGCATTTTGATCGGCACCGAGGGCCTTGAAGTTGTAGGGCTTGAAGTTGGCAGTCTTCCACGAGCCAGAGGCAATCATGTCGGCCGTAAGGTCCGTCTCCTCCCTCTTGATCTCGAGAGCGAACTCCGGTCCCTTCTGGATCTTGAAAGTAATGACCTTTTGGGTCTTGATGAGCTTGCGCTTCTTCAAATCCGTGATGACCTTCGAGTCATGGGTGTGCTTCTCCTGGATCTCCTTGAGTTGGGCCTGGGTCTCGTCTTGGATCGACTCAGTCTGTGAATGCACCATTAGCGCCAGGTGATTTGGACAATTTGATACAAAATACACTCACAGTCGCAACAAGCTTTCCAGTAGCCTCCTTCTTCACCCACTTGTTCTTAAAGGCCTTGCCCTGACCCAACTTGGTGACATTCTTGTCGCCAATAGCAGCCTCAAGCTCCTGGATCGTCAGACCCTCCAGAGCTTTGCGCACCGCCTCGAAGACACGAGCCTCATGACTGCCATGTTCGGCAATCTGCTTGCCCTCGACCTCGAGAACTGCTTCTTCGCGCTCAATTGACTCGTACTTTACCATGGAACGGCTGGCAAGTCGGTCGAGAGCCGCCTTCAGGTCGGCGAACTGGAACTCCGGGAAGTACTCGGCGGACAGGACAGGTTCCTTCACGGACAGAGCGAGAAGAATCTGGGATGTGAGGTCCCCAGAGGGACTGTTGCTTGCTGTCGCCATGATTTGGGTCGTTGGTGTCGGGATTTTGAGCCGTTCTTGATTGACACCAAGGTTGACGATGTTCGCTCCGTTGAGTCAGAGGGGCAGCCGGGCGGGCAGTACTGGCAGAAATTTGGCTCGACCATCAAATCGGAGGGGAGTGTGGACCCTGCGCCAGATAGGAAGGAGGGGTCCTCGTATCTATGTTCCACCGATCTCCGGGAGTTGACAGCCAGGCCGCCCGGGCAGGCCCACAAGGATTACGGGAGCTGACTGCCTGCTACTGGGGAAGAATGGAGGTCTTCGGACCGGCAGGCGCGTCTGTGCATCACCCCTCCATTAGAAGCTTGCCTAAGCTGTGGCGTCACTCTCGGCATCCCTGCAGCTACGGTCGGCCACCCTTATTCACAACGTCAAGTTGCAACGGTCGCCGAGGTCTCTACGAATGTTCCATCGTGAGACCGCACATTCAACAGTCCCGAACTCACATTCTCTCCGGTTGCTGGAGTATGTGAAGCGACGCCTCTTCTAACGCCGCAGCGATTTTCTTCGACACCAATGAGGCCCCAGAGCTATGGTCGATGATGCTGCGCCCGATACCCTCCCAGGCCGATCGATCCCTCCACCAGATGGTCAAGAGGATGGTGGAGGGGCCCCAGAGCTGTCGCTGCCGGCGGGTGACTCGATTACACGAGGTGCCCAGAGGCGACGACGCCGCAAGTATCGGAAGATCAACATTGGCCTTGCGAGAAAGTTCGACCTTATGACCAAGTTGCTGCGGAATCTCGATGCTCTGGTATACGCGGAACTTTGCACACTGTATTATATGGAGTATGGAGTTCGTGTTCTCGCTTCAATCGACTAGATTCTAACCCAACCGCCAGGTGTTCGATATTTCGCTTCGCTGTCCGCGTATATGGTCAACATCACTGGCTTACGCCTAAGCCCCATGACTACCCCTTGACGATGGAGGCCCCGCGCTCGCAGGTCATTTCAGTATTCGTTCCGAACCTCATATGCATTCTCCTGCACATATTCTCAGCCTTACCCACTGCCGGTGAGGCAGCCAGAGGTTATCTTCATGGCGGTGTTATCGTCGACTTCATTGGACAGAAGCCACCAACCTCGAAACTCGCATTCTTGGCTCTGGACCTCATCATCTTAGCTGTCCAATGTTTGATGCTAGCCGTCCATTCTGAGCGAGAAAAGCTGCGACCGCTTGTACAGCCTTTCTGGCCTCAAGTGTTAGGAGGACAAAACACAGCAACATCGACTCAAGATCACGACGCCGAAGAAAGGGGCGTACACAGGGATGCACCCGGATTAGAAGAGGAGGGCACTGAGAGCATAGAATTACAGCCCCTAAGATCCAACCGGGATGTGGAGGCCAGCAATGAAGGAGAGAGGAGCCGAGACAGCAGTCGATCTTCTCGCTGGGTTCGCTCGCTGAACGGGAATCATCTCTTCGACGTGCTCACTTCAGGGAATGGGGTTCTCGGCGAATTTCACATTTCTCACACGATTAGGAACGCCACGACAGACTTTCGTGGAGCAGCAGGGCATTCACTACAAACCTTGGGTTATACTGCTGCGTTAACTAGGCTCTCCGCGATGAGGAGAATGCCCCGTCTAGAACGCAATCAGAGGAATCAAAGATAGTGCAAATGGGTATCACAAAAGTCTTAATGCCGATTGGTCTTCAAATGGCGCCGGTGCACCTTGGTATCTTACGCAATCTTGCGACCAACATTACCCACACCGCTGCCCTTTACAGAAACAAGAATGTCACCCGAATCGTCGTCGTCCACGTCTCTCAAACCCCAACTGCTTGCGCCAAACGTTCGCAAGTCCCGGGCCAAGCCAACCATCTCCTCCGTACCTATGACCTCTTTCCCTATCCTCAATCTGCCCACATCCTCGGAGCCCATGGCCATCATCGTCAATACCGTGCTGGCAGACGACATGCTGACACATCCTCCCTGTGCAATATTCTCCAGCAACTGGTAGGCACAGTTCTTTCCGATATCTTCAGGCACGACACCACCCACTGGGGGCGCGACAACATCCGCCGAGTAGAGGACGCCAACAGAGCTCGATTCGGCGACCAAACTCAAGCCAAATCCAATACCTGTCCGCGTCTTGGACTTATCAGCCGCCTCAATGAGCGGCGCCTGGTCGTACTGAGCCGCAATGTGGATGTCTGAGACCAATGCGTTCAAGACCTCTCTCGCGGAGTGGATCATTCTGCTGTTGTTGGACGCTGAAACTCCTGTGCAGTATGCGACACCTCGTATCCTCCTGATCTTGCCGGGATTTCGGTTCAGATGAAGCGTTTTCGGAAGTCGGACCTGGCTAGCGAATCGGAGCTCGACAATACCTCCACCACCTCTGCCACCCTTTCCAGGGCAAGATCGTTGCAGAACCCTCAATTCAATTCGCGCCGGTGGGATTCCAAATAGACCGAAGAGAGGTAGAATAGCTGTGCGGAAGGAGTCGACAGAGATGTCGCCGGTCTCAGTCGCAGAGGTGATGACACCCGGTCCCATAAAGCGGACGTTGACGTGGGCTTTGGAGAAGGGCGCAAGGAGGCAGAGTGGCAGGAGGAAGTATGTGACGCCGCGCTTGTTGTTTGCCGGCAAGCTGTGCTCGATGACGTCGCCTTCGGATGCGCCAAACCCAGCAATTGTGCCGGTGATCAGACCGGGGTTGTACCTGATCGTGGTACCGGTGTATGAAATCTCCACAGAGCTACCATTGGTAACAGCTTCGAGGAGTCGGAGGAAAGAAACCTCATGCGGCGCAAGACCTGGATGTGTCGGCGACGAACTGCGGATTTTGGAGATATTGACGGGTCGTCCCGTGAGGGTGGACAGTACTAATCGTTGCGCAAAGGACCGATGTCCTGTAAATCGCAGCCATTCCGGGGCGGAAGACATCGTGCCGGTGTTTCGTGGCCAGCGATGCTCGAGTGACCGAGAAAAAAAAGTTATGTAGACCGAGCAAAGCGAGTCTGAAAATTATCTTTTTCTGCCACGGTGTGGCGGCCGGGAGCATTGCGAACGGCAGGCGGTATAGCTTTCAGTGGGCTTTTTGATAAGATAAGGCGATCCCGCGCAGCGCGCATCTGGGTTCAGGGTCCATCAAAAAATCTGACCCAGCCCGTTCACCACATTTCCTTGAGCTTCCTTTGCGCCAAACTCAACTCTTCCGTATTTCTTTCAATGTCGACCAACTTCGCGTCTCCTTATGTCTCATAGAGCTCTCTTTCGTGACATTACGTGTCGAAACACATTCATTTGCCAGTCCTGTCTCTCGTCATTAGGGACAGCTGCAACCCCGCAATCATGGGCAACCAGACATAGCTCTCGCTTGGCCCGCTCCCGAATCCAGAGACGAAATGCCCAGCATATCGACCCGCCGACGACCCAATCTGCTTCCGACGAACCTCCAAAAAGCGCGGCAGCTGCACTTCTAGAAGAGTTGACGCAAAAGAAAAAGAAGGGAGAGCCCACCTGGCGCTTCTTTGAGAAGAATGCGGCAGGCAAGGTCAAGGCCCTTCAGGGCGAAGATGCATACAACGATTCTCTAAGCGGATCGAAAGCGTTGGAGGAGGACCTCAAGAAGAGCATGATAGCCAATATCAAGTCGACCCTGTCAAGTCTTCAAGACGGCGGACTCCTGGCCCCATTCGGAGTCAACGACATCGATTCCATCGCGAAGGATTTTGAGGCACAATTTGAAGGAGCGAATACTCCAGAGGAGATGACGGAGACTATGGACCTGTACATCAAGAGCCTGGAAAAAAAGCTGGAAGAGAAGGGATTTGATGTAAGCGGATTCGACGATTCGAACCCAATCGCAACATTAGGGACGATCCACGAGGCGACACAAAAAGACCCGTCGGAGAGAAAGAGCGATCCGATACCACAGATACCCGAGAGCGCGTGGAACTTCAACCAGCGAAAGCGCATTTCTCGATTTAACACTACATTGAAACGAGCCACGTATAAAATACGACGAGGAGAGGAGCCAGATGCGAAGACGATACAAACAGTCTGGAAGCTTTACAGCTTGACGAGGCCAACTCTATCCAAAGCATGGGCTAGCGTACCCCATGAGGTATGGGACATACTCTGGCAAATCTTGTCGGTGGACGAAGCCAGGAATCCCGGCCGACTGACTTACCTCTCGATGTTGGCCAGAGACTTGAGCGAGGCCCAGATTCCTCTCAGTCCATCACAGCAACTGGTGACGATAGAAGCAATGTTTGTTGATGGATGGGATGCTAAGGCTATCGAGAGTTGGAAGAGATGTATGCCAACGTTGGGCGATAGCGGAGCAGAAAACTTCCAGGAATTCTGGGAGCTCGGAGTGCGCATGTTCTGCCAAAAGGGCGATATTGTCCAGGCAGAACGCGCAGCCAATAAGCTCTTGGAACGACAACTCGATCCCCGCATTCTGGTGCCGTTGATCAGAAGCTGCGCAGCAGATCCAGCAGAAGAGTCAAGACAGAAAGCGTGGGACACCTACCGACGGATGAGAGACCTGCTTGGTCCTTCGATGGGGCTAGAAGACTACGATCTGGTCATCTCATTTTTCTTGACAACAAACCAGACCGTTCAAGCCCTGCAAGTTTTCGTCGACATGATGTTTTCAGGAACGGTCGACGTGAGGAACCAAGACGTATTGCCCTCCAAGATCGGCAATAAGTTTTTCTTTGGGAAATGGCTCAAACGATTGATCGGTGCAGGGGATCTGGATGGGGCATATAGCGTCTTTCAGTTCATGCAGTCGAAAGGCATTGAGGCGGCTAGTATCCAGATAAATGGCCTTATCGGCGCGTGGCAAAGATCAGGAGGAGCCGACAACCTCCAATTGGCGGATAGCCTTGCGTGGTCGATGATCCAATCTCGCATCGAGTTTGTCAAGAACCGCCGCCGACTGTCAAGTATGGATGGGCCCGGTCGCATCGTGGAGGTGTCTGATTCCCACGCCGAGCTCGCTGCGGTCCCAAAGGCAACGCTGGAGACTTTCTCTTTGCTCGCCGAGAATTACCGTCTCCGAAGCCTGCTTAACAAACTGGAGGAGTTGTGGGACGCCTCGAGAGAAGCAGAAATCAGCCCAGACGCCTTTATGATGAACCAGCTGATCGAGTCTTTCTCCCAAAAGGGCGATCTCTCTGAAGCAAAGGAGGTATATCAGGTACTCGTCCACGAGCGACAAGTGAAACCCGACCCGTACACCTTCATGGCGCTCTGGAAGATGCTAGCAATCAACAGACTGCACAGCGTAACCGGAGATATGCGCATCATGGAAATCAAGAACGCACGTGAGGTGTTTGCGGAGACTATTCGCTTTGCCCACGTCTTCAAGGCCGAAGGTTTCGACAGTCAGTTCGCAAGGAAAATTCTTCACTCTTTCCGCCGATTGAAAGACAACCCTGGAATCGTCGTAGCCCTGCAGACACTGAAGGTAGTTTTCGACTGGACGCCACCAGAGATGCTTACTTTCGAGATGCTGTTCGAAACTACTAGTCTGAAATTCGATACTGGAGCAGCTAGGCAGAAGCTGCGGTTGGCCAAGCGCAACATGGACGCGTTCGTCGAGGCACAGCCCCGACAGCCCGGAGAGCCCAAGACACTCGAGGAGATGACGCAGAAGCAGCGAGGGCAAGAGATGTCCGATTACCTTCAGTCGAAATACATCAAGGAAATGGGTGTCATTCCAGAAGGTTTAATGGAACAAACGGCCGAAGAGATGGGCGTGTATGATATTCTCATCAAAAAGCCCTAGGGGCAAAAGTCCTCTCTGTATTATGTAGACTAAGATCTGTACACTTATAATGACACCTATCATGACTCCACCACCATATCTTGTAGCAGTGACGTTCCGAATGCCATGTCTGTGTTACGAATAACGACGCTGCACCGTTCAACGTGTCCAAGCAACCACGTCCTTGCCACTTAGTCGTGATCTTCCTCTGTCAATCCAGGACATCCCTCCATCTCTGCGTCCGGATATGTGTACTTGCACCAGAAGCAATAGTTGTGCTCCTTTCTCAGATACTCCACCAATCGCCGCAGCTTCTCTGCTTCCTCCAATTCGTTGAATTCGTCCAGCTCTGGATCCTCTTCATCGAGATCCTCCGCTGTAACGTAAACTGTCTGCTTCTTTCCCAGCGCCATCCGGTCGTCCTCATCTTCCTGGTCATCCTCGTACGTCGGCAGCCGCGACAAGCTCTGCTCCAAATCGTGCTTCATCTTCCGATCCCTCTCTTTCTCCTCACGATGCCTCACCAGCCCGCGCCATAACACGTTGATGGACTTGAGCGGCCTCGACTTGGCCCCCGTTGCCAACTTCTTCTTCCTCTCCTTCAGCTCCGCGTCTTCCACAATCTCCCCATCTCCGACGCCCAGCTTCTTCTCCTCCGCCATCCTCTCTGCCATCCTCTGCGCCGCAAAGACCTGACTCTGGACTCGCGCCGTCTCCCTCTCCTTCCTGATGCGATCGCGGTACTCGAGCGGGTCGATCTTGACCCTCTTCCCCTCTTTGACCTCTTCCTCGAACTTCTCTGCCGCCTCACGCAGCTTGCGCTTCCTTTCGCTCTCCATACCGATACCCCCGCGACCGTCCTTGATCTCCACAGCAATCGGCTCTGTCCTCGCAGTGGTGTTGCCGTCGGCACCCAGCGCGCCGCCTTTGAAGCCCATCTTAGCCATCATCGCAAGACCCTTGCTCTTCTTGGCAGCCGCGTCATTGAGCATAGAGCGCGAGAGGGCTTTTTCGCGGGTGGCTTCTTCCTCGGCGGCGTTTTCTTCTTTCGACTTGACGCGTCCTTTGATCTCGCCTTCGCGCTTGAGGCGCTGGCGGCGTTGCAGCGACGTTTCTGCGCCCCGTGATGAGGTTGCCGGGGGCTCGTCGAAGGTCATGTTCATGTAGTCGTCTTCATCATCAGAGGCGGTGGCCTGTTTTGGATCCATGGCGCTGGGCGGATGTAGAAACCTCTGGCGGTTCACAGTGTTATGGATGCGTGAGCAGATGTAAGTGAGAAAGAAAAGTAACCTGGAAATTTGACTCGAGGCTGAGAGACGGCTTGTGTGATGGCGCAACCTCGCACTTTCAACACCCAGGTCAGATGATGTTAGAGGTGCCCGAGTACAGTGTTATCTCATTCAGAAAGCTCGCACGGAAGCAATTTAAGATTGATGTGTTTTGGTTGTTGCGAGGAAGGAAGCTGAGTTGAATGAATGCAGGAAAGATGCCTGGGGCTTATTGTGGAGGAATCGGCGCTGGAACCAGCTGCCACCAGGTGTCAGTAGCTCACTATGGATCGAAGCCAACCTCAACGCACTTGAGATGCTCAACTCTAACTCCTTGTACAGAGATACAAAAAAGTGATGCTCCGAGGGTTGTTATTTTTTTCATTTCTTGAGCTAGTGTAATCTAATTGAACACTATTCCTTCTTTGGAAACTCAGACTTAGAAATACTCTCAGCGATTTATACATCACTATTGTTACTTCGAAATCTAAGAAACAAAGCAACGAAAGGGATAACATTTCAACCTCAGGAATTTCAGCTAAAAACGTCATTTCATATTGTTCTAGCTGCAAGCGTCCTCTACTCTGTTATCTGAGTTTGTCCGTGTAAGTGACCGGAGACCAACAAGTGTGACAAATCGACCGATCACGAATGGGCTCGAGAATATCTCAACTCGCGGCGCCTGCCAGTACCTAGGTAAGGCTATGTTCTGTTCTAATACGTTGTATTGCAGACAGTAGGCAAAGTTTCTCCAGCAATTTATAAAGATATTCTGACCCGAATCCAGGCACCAAACTAAGCAGCACCTCTACTAAGTTTGTTGATGATACTGAAAACACGAATATTCAGCCAATTCGATGCGCGAACCAGGTCTGACAATTTCCCTCGAGCGCATGTAGCTGTCTACTTGAAGCTGACGCGGTATATGGACAGAGCATGATTTTTGGCCACAGGTGTAGACACTTGATTCCCATACGAACGGACTCACGAACTTAGGACAAAGGCTTTGAGATACGTCTGTTTGCCTCGAAATCTTTTCTATTCCGGTCTTCATCTTCCCATCCAGACGTCTCGGCCCAGAAACAGTGGCGCCAACCCATCCTCATGCTGGTATTCAATACAAAGAGAAAATAAGATGCCGATAAGCACGTATAAACTTTTAATTACGCAAGCAAGCAGACGGACAACGAACATGTCTACCTGTGTCTCGCCCTCTTCCTGCCCGCCTTCTCCCTCTCGTAAGCATTGGACTCTCTGCCCTCCTCGTTCTGGATCTCCGCCACGAGCCTCTTGTACTTCTTCTCGTATGCCTCGTCCTTGGCCTTCTTGACGCGGAGATTCTCGCGGGCCATGAACTGGGCGTCCTTGCGCAGCTCGCGCATGGCGCCCTTGCGCTCCTTCTTGTGCTCCGCCTTGAGCTTGGCCATCTCGGCGCGCTCGCGGTCGGGGTCGTAGTGCTTGTTCGGATCGAAGGAGTCCTCGAACTTGGGAATAAAGGTCTTGATGGCAAGGGGTTTGTGGTGGTGTAGCTCGAGCGGGCGACGGGAGAGCTGAGCGATCTTAAGCATGCGGTCCAGCTTGACCTTGGACTTCTCCACTTGCTCGCCGAGGGCCTCGGGGAACTTGGAACGGCAGGCCTTGCTGTTTAGATGCGCGACGAGGTTCAGGGCAGGCTGGAAGGTCTCGTAGAAAGCCGACTTGCCAGTCCATGTGTCAGCGGCGGCACCCAGGAGCTGGACAGTGGTGCTTAACAAAGCGGCTTTCGTAGACTCAGCCTCCTTGCCGGATACACCAGTGGCGGAACAATCCTTTGGAGAGAGCTGACGGAGCTCAATCTTCTTCGCATTTGCTAGGCGAATACCGTCCGCAGGCTGGTGAATAGGGAAGCTTCCCGTGGCCGGAGGGGCTGTGGGAGCCAGGGCGGAAAGGGTGTTGAGGCAGTAGCTCATGACCTCGGGGACGTAACGCTTGGAATACTGCTGGTACTGCACGGCCAAGGTCGAGAGGTAGGTGCCAATAGCGTAGTCGTTGAGGGTCTGCGGGATCTTGCCGCCAAGGTAGCGCCCGATAGTGAGCATTGCAGGTGTCGTGACTTGGTGGAAGTGATCTGAAGTTGGGAATGTCGACCCAATCGCGGCTAGTAATGTCAAGTCTCCCATATGCAGAGCAAGAGGACGTTTTTGGCTGATTGTCTCGAGATGAGACCGGTACTGCACGGCAATCTCGATGGGGAACATCTTGGCTAATGAGTGGATGTGTCGAACGACACTCTCCACTGCTTGGAAAGACGGGCTACCATCACTGCGATCGCTGGCGACCAGATCGACAAGTGCTTTGGCAAAGTTTCCAAGCTTCTCCTTGTGCCTGCTGTCCAGCTTTGGATGGTAAAGAGCTCTGATGCGCTGCACGATGGTAGGCATCTTGTCGCTGGGGTATTTCTGCACAAGAGCCTGCAGCTCATCGTAGCTTTGCGGGCATGGAAACGTGAATGGCAATTCGCCATCCACAGCCATCATGTCGCCTGTAGGCGCACTTGTAAAGATTGAGCTCTTGGCTTCTTCTTCATTGAGCAGGCCCTTGGTAAATTCGTCGTCTTCGTCATCCTCGGCCTCTCCCTCTCCGTCACTCTCCTCGTCAGATTCTTCTTCCTCTTCGCTGACGGGTTCGAGATCCGAGCCACTGGCAACCAGGTCGTCGTCGATGATAAAGTCGTCCTCATCGTCGAAGCCGAGTTCGGTTGCGGTTGGACGAGTCTTGATTCCCTTACCAAGGCCAAAGTCCTCGTCCTCCTCTTCGGTGATAAACTCGAAATCTGGCTGCCCAGCAGGATCGTCTTCCATTTCTTCATCTTCATCTTCTTCATCACTAGAGACGGGCTCTCCGTTCATTCGCTTCAAACGCTTCTCCTCAAGCTCCTTGAGCCTCTTGGATTCCTCTTCCGCCTTCTCTTCGTCGGTCTTTGTTCGCTCGGCGGGCGCAGCTCTGCGATCCTGGACGAGCTTCTTGAGGCGCAAGTCAAAATCCTTGTCGAAGGTAGCCCTATCAACGCCAGCAATCAACCTCCCTGAGTTATCCGACTTCGCAGTATCATTTTTGCCGCCGGCAAACAGGAGAGCCTGAAGGTTTGGCAACTCCTTGTCCAGCTGCAAACGCAGATCTTCGTCTTCGTCCTTTGCAACCTGACGCTCATACTTGTACGCTTTCGATTTCGCAATAACTTCCTCCATGACTTCCTTCTTTGACTTTTTCCTCTCGGGTTGGTCGTCGCCGGCATCCTCGTCTCCCAATTCACCGGCACGAGCGCGCTTCATTCTCTTTGCCAGCATATCCGAATCATCGCTCTCGAAGCCGTTGAGGTCGTCTTCGTCAAAGTCGTCTGCGAGTGCTGAGTCGTCCAGATTGATCGATTGACCCATGTGGGTCAGTTCTGTGAGTGGCTCGGCCTCCTCAAGATCGAAAAGAGAAGTCTTCTTGTGTGACCTTTGCTTCTCCCGGGCGAAACGTTCAATCATCTTTTCCTCCTCGGCCATTGCTGGGTCGTTTTCACCGAATCGACGATCGAGTATTCCTCCGACCTTGTTTCGCTTCTGCATCTCGACGAGCAAAGTCTCTCGGCGCTGTGTTTGCAATTAGCAGATTGTTCCTGCGGTCAATGAGCTACTCTGCGTACCCTCTGCTCGCCAATGGACTTTGCTACTCCAGGACGACCGCTAACTCCCTTTGCAGCGGCTCCCGCGGGAGGTCTGTTGCTTGTGACATCGAACTTGGGTCCTCTTGGGTTGTGCTTGAGGTCAAACGGATTGAATTGCTCTCTGATTTGCCCCAGGGCCGCACTCTTCTGCAGACGCTTGTCATTCTTCGCTTTCTCCTCCTGTGCAATCTGGCGCTTTTGCTTTTTGGACTTTTGCGGTCCGATGATCCCCTGCTCCTTGAGGGAGGACTTGAGCCTTTTGAGCTGCGAGCCGGCCATTTTGTCGAGTGTTCCCCAAAAATGGTGTCGATTTCGCAACTGGAGAATGGCAGGCACTAATCTTCCAAAAGTTTTTTGAGAGCGACTGTGCCTTATCTTATCATCATAGTGGGGAACCAAAGGCGGTGGCGCATGGCAGAACCAGCGGCTTCCATCGTCAGCTAGTAAAGCAGCCGGCTTCCACGCAACCCCAACCAAATCTCACCCTAAATTCCGCCAACACTTCTTCTAAAAGTGCTTGCGACAAGCTACTTTACAATGTTTCAATAGCCTTGTATTCGAAGATTTTCAACATGACTTTCATGTCATTTATTCGTGATGAGCGCATCGTCCTGCTGGGGATTGGTGTCGCTACGTTCGGCATGGTCACTATGATGACCCAGATGCTGACGTACATCCGCGACGAGAATGAAGTGAAGGCATCACCTCCTAAAACGCAGTACATTACGCAGGAAACAGAGGACTCGCTTGGTCTCGAAACACTTGACAAACTTCTCTGCCATCCCAACTTCTCTATCCGGGATGTCGCAATCAAGATCCTCTGCGACCGTGCAGTGAACGACACCGACACCGTTCGATATCTGCTTTATGGCATTACCCGGCCTGACTACGATACTCGTATGCGGAGCCTTCGTGCTCTTGCGACTTTGACGGGTCAGACCAATGGTGAGAAGCTTTCGTGCGTTTGCGGAGCGAAAGAGCTGACTGACTTATAGACTTTGCAGAGGGTCTCTCCAAACTGCACACATGGAGAGCGTACACGGCCCTCGTGCGGTCCCTTGAGCTCAGCTTGGAGGATGTGGAACACACGAAGCTCGATGACAAGTACTGGGACGAGTATTATCTGCGCGACATGGCCGAACGGTTCTGCCTCATGTTCGTCCTCGAGCTGGTTACCAAGTACGGCGCCGACATGCTGGTGAAGGCCAAGTTTGTTGAGAAATGGCTGGCGAAGCAGCCTTGGGGAGACACCGAGTCCGAGGTTCAGGAGAACTTCATCTACTACATGGAACACAAGAACAACCGTATCGTCGACATCGTTACCAGGATTGCACACACCACCGCTGGCGCGAAGGCCATTGTTGCCTGCAAGTTGGCGTCCAAAACGAATTTCAACCTCACTCCGGATGCAAACATTGCTGGCTTTACAATAGCATTGCAGTCGACCTTGTCAAATGCTGAGGGCGATGAAGGCCAACAGTCCGCAGAGCAATCCGTAGAGCAGGTGCCTCGTACCAGAGAGCACTCGGCGGAAGAACAACGTCTGAGACGCCGACATCGAGAAGCTATGGTCTTCAATGATGGCACACGACCTATCCACAGAGAGGACATAATTGAGAGAGGCCACGACTCGCCCAGCTGAAAAAAAAAAAAAAAAAAAGCGGAATATCCATCGAAACATGTTCTGCCCAAGGGTGTCACTCATTACCATGGATTTACACCCTGTCACGGCGCATCGGAGAATGAACCAGGGGCTACTGAGTAGGCTGCTGATGGCATGAGAACGCGCACGCGATTCGGAGAAGAAAATTCCTGCAACTCAACACGGCCCGGTGCGGCCGATAGCAGGGAGTACCCCGAGACCGGTAGCGCGTCAAGATCTTATTGCCGACGGCCTGTTGTGGTTTTGTAGCACGTGGAAGAGGGCGCATAATTGCAACTCATTTGCAATTCATTCCCTTCCGAGGTGGGAGATCCAATGGCAAGTCGTTTACGCACACGCCAGAATGGCATGGACTGGACAACGCGTCTCGAAACGCAACAGAATTGTTGCCTACAGATTCAATAGGAGAATGTGAACCAAGCACAGTGAGAGTCCGCGCGGGCTATGCCATGATTAAGTGACAAATTACCACAGACCGATTTGCGATTATGCTTTCAGATGATACGTATTCTTGAATGCGAGAGGTCGGAAGGCAGATTGGCGAGATTATTTTCGTCTGATCGTGAGCTGTAAGATCCGTGCTTCACGTCGGTCCAGTCGGCGGCCAGCTTTGAATGATTTAGCGTGGTGATGCACCCGTGGCACAGGTCAGGCAGGGCAAATGCCAGCTCGGAGATTCTTAGCGGTTTCCCCCACTGTTCCTGGGATTTCGGAAGCTTTGACGCTAAACCCCAGGGACCCTCTCTCGGCCTGGAGCCATTCCCAGAAGGAAACGCCCAGGCCGTCCCTGTCTGATTCCAGGAACGGGGTCTCACCCAAAGCAGCGGTATCCAACGACTGAGAAAGATTGAAATCAACCTGGGGCAATTGGGGTTTGGGCCTGGACGGTGGGTTTCCGTCCGCGAGAAAGTTCTTTCTCTCAGAGTTGCTGGATTAGGAAGCAAAACAAGAACAACACATCTCGCGACATAAAATGCACGCAAGCCGCAGCCGGCGGAGGGCATCTGTCACCGTTGGCAGGCCCTGTCGGACCTGATTCGCATCACGCAGCCGTGTGACGACTTGCATGGGACCCATATCTTGCCCAACGCTATCTTGACTCTTTTGGGCGGACGACGGCGCTGTCCCCTGGTTCATTCCAGCTGGATCCAAGCCCGCCTCGGCCAAAGAATGACAATAGAATTCGGGTCGCCGGAAAGCGGGAGCTGGTGCTGACCGATCAGGTAGCATCTGATGTGGCTGCCATGGTTCAGTTCGTTGACGGTGACCATCTAAATTTGGGAGGCGTTAGACAGGTGACTGGGCAAGGGAACCAAATCTAAGATTAAATGTCAGAATCGAGAGGCGAGTGGTCGATTACAATTATTGGCCTGATGCTACGCCGGTTAATCAGTTTCGACTTTGGGGTGGTAGTACTCGTACATGCTTTCTGATGAGGTGTGGTTGAGACTTTGTGAGGGATATTACCTACCGACCTAAGGTACTCTCCGGTATCAGTAAGTGGACGAAGATGGCATGAGCGATGCGTGAGGCAGAGACATGTGTGAAGTGAGGTGTTCACCCCGCGACGGCCACGACAGCCACGACGGACAGGCGAACACGTTGCATGCAGGCGGTCAAGTCCCCTGGGCTGGGCGGCTCCTGGCCCCGCTGTCTGCATGCAGCGGTAAAGACAGCCACGTTCGGACGATGCAGAGCTACGACAGCGTCATGGCAACCATGAGGAGATGGGTGCAGCAGGAACCACTGACGACGGCCGTGGGCTTCAAGGGGTCGACGTCTAGAAGATCTGCGGCTGCATCGCAATGGAGATGATGAAGGAGCGACGCAGCTACACTGTCCAATTGCAGCCATCGACAGCGCAGAGTCAGGGCCTGTCACTGCCCAAGCCCATCACGAGCAGCCGCCACCTGTGACTGCTCTTTGCTGAATCTGGATCCACGTAAACATCGGGGAGCCGTTGCTCGTGATACAAAGACCTCGTCGTCGTCTTCTGTCTCCATCTCGGGTTTCGTCTCTGGCTCTGTCTGTCTCGATCCCCAGCAGCCAGCCAGCCAGCCAACTCGCTCGACTCTTGTCGCTAACCTGTCGTCCACCTTCTTGGTGTGTCTTGACTGTCTTGACTTTGTCTCTCCTTACACCAATCTGTACCAGTGCAAGTCACACACAACCACGACTCACTGCCATTCAATTCTTCACCCTTCGTTGCCATCTCCCATTCCACCACGACACGCACAAACACATACTACACCACCAGTTCTTCCCAAGGGAGACGGGTACCTGCCGCTACATCTGCATCGTCTAACCATCCCACCACCGCCGCTACTACCATCACCGCCAGCAAGGATAGCGCTACACTCCTGACGGATCACCAACTCCAATCCAATCCCCCTTCCCTGACACCCACCGCCCCCCCTGCATCTTGTTGGCCATCGGATCCCTACCCCAAAGGCTGAGCCAAAAAGTGGTCAACGTCTGAGGACATTAGAGCGACCGTGCTTTCAAAGGGGATAGGAGGCTCAGAGCGCAACAAAAAGCCCCTCATCTCGCGAGCTTCCCTCTGTCGCATTGGACTTGCCCGTCCTCTTTTTCTTTTGTCGCCGTCGCCGCTTGACAAACCCCCTGTCATTGCCCGGACCATCGTCATTGTCATTGTCCTAGTCTTCCCCAGCTGGCACTGACCACGCAGCTTGGAACTGCTGCCAGAGGACCCTGACAAGGTCACCATCGCAAGACATATCGACCAGAGAGACAATCTTTTGCGCCCAACTACACGCTACCGCCCCAACTTGGCTAAGGCCAGATCCAGAGACAGACGTCAAGCTATCGGGACGATCACACCTCGCGGGTCTCTGGTTTTAGCCTCTTCTCGGCCAGAGCGTGCCTCTTCTCCCTCCCACGCGACCAAATCGACCCGAAATTTTTCCCGCCAGCCAGGTCTTGTGTTGCTTCTTCTGCCGTCCCGTCCGCCAAAGAAGGATCTCGTCGCGCCTCCCATTCGCTGTCGGCTGCCGCCACGACTAAAGCAAGCAACCCAACCTTGCATTTGCGCTACGCCGCGTCCAGTGGGGCGTCGGGAAACAACACACCACAACCTGGAACCTGGCCTGACCTGCGCGGCCTAACAAAGGCCACGTCCAGTAAAGTTGCCATTCAGCGCTCCCTCTAGTGGTCGTGTTTAGTGGCCGGGTCCCTGTCCACGAACCGTGGCACCCACTAAATATTACCTAGAATTCGCCCAAACTATTTCATCATGTCCGTCACCACAACAACAGCGACCGCCGCATACGCGCCGACCCATCGGTCTCTCGCCAACCAGCCGCGCTCTCTTCGCAAAGCGACCAGCTTCACAAGCGCTTTCCCCTCCGCCGCAACCGCTTCTTCTCCCAGCCTCAACTCGCTTTACAACGCCCATTCGCGTCTCACTCCTTCGCACAAGACTCTCCCGCGGAAATCCTCCCTTGCTGCCCTTACTCCCAACTCGCTCGCCTCCATTCCCGATGTGAGCGAGTCTTACGCCTACAACAGCGTGCTAGCCGACTCGCCCGATCGCAACATGGCGCCCACCACTCCCGGTAAGCCCGGGAATGATTTTGTCATTGGCGATGTCGTCGAAGTGCCGGGCAACATGCTCGCTACTGTCCGATTTATCGGTTCGGTTCAGGGAAAGAAGGGCACTTTCGCTGGGGTGGAGCTGCATCCAGAGTTCTCACAGCGGGGGAAGAACTCTGGTGAAGTAGAAGGGTATGTGCACTTGTTCTCATGCGGTTTCCTTTTGAGAAACAACGGCTGACTTTGATTGCCCAGTGTTTCATACTTCACGACGACTTTGCCCGGCGCTGGTATTTTCCTGCCTGTCACGAAGGCTGTAAGGCGAGACTCTCCCCCCGGCTCCTCCGCGAGCTCATTCCCACATACACCCACGGCGAGCACATTGGGTGGCCTGAAAGTCGGCAACCAGAACTCGACAAACTTCACTCCTCCTACGCCATCGCTGCCCGCATTTAGCAAATCCGTCGGCCCTGGCATTGGACGTTCTACTAGTCCTGGACTGAAGAAGCCAAGCAAACCCTCCCTGCGCCCAGAGTCGCCGTCGCGCAAACTGCAAATGACGCCTGGGCCGAGGCCTTCACTGGCAACCCCCAACAGAGTCCCTTCCAAGTACACGTCTCCTACTGGCAATAGATTTGCTCAGAGCGTGCGTGGAACGGCTGGGGATCCTAGCAAGACACCCGGCAGACTCGACAGGAAACCTAGCGTGGGACCTCGCAGTGCTTCTGCCCTGGGCCTGTTTGACGAGGAAGCCACACCCACCGCCTTGCAGCGGACCAAAACAAACGGAAGCGTAACGTCGGTCTCGTCATATAGCTCACAGTTTCGGGTTCCTTCGCGTGCGGGCTCCAGAGCAGCATCGAGGGCAACCAACGATCATGAGGTGGAACGGTTGAGGACACAGCTTGAGGATCGTGAGAGACAGTTGAGAGACCAAGCAGCCACGTTAGCAGAGATGGAAAGCAGTCTTACTGAGCTGCAGACACTAATGGAAAACTCCGACATGACAGCCATGAAACGAAATAGTCTCGATGATAAGGACTCCGCGCAACTTCGAATGCTGGTTAGAGAAAAGAACGACAAGATCGCCATGCTTACGGCCGAATTCGATGCGCACCGAGCCGACTTCCGCAGCACCATCGATACCCTGGAGATGGCTAGTACTGAAACTGAGCGAGTGTATGAAAAGCGCATCGACGAACTCATGGGAGAGATTCGAGAGCTCGAGTCTCGCACTGATGATGTAGATGTGGTTGCCCGGCAATTGAAGCAGCTTGAAGAGTTGGTACAAGAATTGGAGGAGGGCCTCGAAGATGCACGACGTGGCGAAGCCGAAGCCAGAGGGGAGGTCGAATTCCTTCGCGGTGAAGTCGAGCGAACGCGTACCGAGCTGCGCCGCGAACGCGAGAAAGCCTCAGCTACGATGAACGGCTCCGGAGGCCCATCAAACGGCGATCGGGCTTCTGTATCCAAGGAACTCGAGCAGAAGGAAGACGAGATTCGAGGGCTGAAGGCTATCATCCACTCCCTCAGTCGAGATTCTGTCCCCGATACCGAGAAACCGGAAGACCCCTCGATCCGCGAGAACGCTATGGCGCGCGAGAAGTTGGAGAGAGAGCTCGCGGAGCTTCGTGCCGTTGTCAAGGACAAGAACCACCGCGAGGAGGAACTTGAGCGGGAGGTGGAGATGCTGCGTAGGGGTAGCGCCACAACTCAACGATCTGGTTCCATGACAAACGGTGGCGCCCAGCGCTCGTCACTCCGCGACTCACGTGACACCGTGGTGTTGACGCGGAACAACGAGCCTCGATCCCCCGAGGCGACGCACAAGCGTGGCCGCACCTTGGACACCATGCCTGAGAGCGATACCTACTCATCAGTTACTGAGAATAGCACTCTCTGGTGCGAGATCTGTGAGACTGGCGGTCACGACATTCTCACCTGCACCAACATGTTCGGCACCGACGGCGGCAAGACCAATGGTGACGGGAGGTCCATCAAGGACGTGACAAGAGAAGCGTTGAAGCCCATGGACGATGAGCACAAGCCCCCTCCTCTGTCGCCGAGACCCAAGGCATCATCTTCTCCTCCGGCTACCCTGCCTGCTGCTCCCCCAATCGTCAAGATCCTGCCCAACCCCATGGATAATGGACCTGTTGCTGGCAAGGATAGCGGCGTGGTAGACAACTCCAAGTGGTGCGCCCTTTGCGAGAGAGACGGGCACGACAGTGTCGATTGTCCGTTTGAAGATGCGTTCTAGGGGTACTGACTTCTACTCTTGGAAGCGAAGGACGCCCGCCACTTTTTGATGGTCCAGGTCTTGGTCTCATTGTTATATCGTCTTGAATCGCTTGGAGAGGTCAGCCTGTACGATGGGCGGGAGTTGTGTAGGATTTTGGGTGACAAAGCGGTGGTAGTTTTCTGTTCGTCATAGCATTTGTAGCGATGATACCACAGTTCACAGTAACGTTTCGAGGAGTGGAGGAGACGACACAATGGCCGTGGGCTTTTGGTACTGAAGCCACATGGCTTCTACAACATCTTAATAGTAGACCTTAAAAATAAGAAGATCCTACTACAGATTACAGGCAACATATCGATGGCTCTGTCGCATGTGATGAATTGTTCTCGAAATCTGAGGCCGGCTGCCAGCACTTGCTGAAGGGACGGCTGCATTCGGACGGCAGGGGTCTTCCCGTCGGTAGCGGCCGGGGCTGCTGAGCATTCAATGCCGTCTCCCGAGTTGGGTCTGTAGGGTGTTCCCCACCAGCCAGAAGGAGGTCCCCGTGGCGTTTCACGGTCTCTGCGCACGAATCCTTAGCTCAGCCGGGCATGGCGCAGCCAGGACAAGTACCACTGACTGGATGAGAAGGGCGGCAACCTTCAGCAGCAGCAGGAGCAATTGATCTGATGTTTCCCGTTCAATCGTCTCCCACGTCTCAAAGTTTGCAGTATTTTCACATCCTCAGATCGCGCGTCTATCCTCACATCCACCATCGATTCTCGTCACCCTCTGCAACCTGCCTTTGCTATTTGCGTCACCTTTCGCGCGGTTCCGGCGGATACACTAGAGCACAGTCCCGCGTTCCCCGAAAACGACTTACAGAGCGGCACTGGGACCTGACGTACTACCGTACCCATCCTTGGCCTCTTTTTTTTTTAACGGACCTGCGTCAGCTCCTTGCCCACTCACGGTTGCCGGGGTTGTGAGAGCTAATAGCTGTCCACTGCTCTGCTGTTCCTGATTCTTCACGGAGCCCAGTGACGCGCGCGCGGAAAGGTCGACGTAACCTCAATTCGCATCGAGGCTGTGCAGCTTTTCCTTTCCTTTTTACTTCTTCCTTCTTGCTTTTGTCCGTTGTGATCGCCTCACCGTTTCTAAACTGTTTACCGCCAACGAGGAGCTGTGTGATTCGACTCCCAATTGTTTGAAACCCCGATTCCGCCGAGAGAGAGAGCAGACCCTCCCCCGGACGAACCTCGAAACCGCAACAGCATCATACAAATCGCATCGTCGAATTGTCGAATTGAAAGTAGCCCACCATGGCGCAAATGCTCCTTGATATCGTCTACTCCTTCGGGAACTGCCTAAACTGCTTCCCCGGCTCCCCGACCCTCAAGATCAACAGCCGCAACTTCAAGATTCTCCGTCTCCTCGGCGAGGTAAGCCCACCTCAGCATCTCCAGTGACTGGCCCAGCAGCTAATGAACCCCTCCCCTTCGCACAGGGCGGCTTCTCCTACGTCTACCTCGTCCAGGACACATCGACCAATGAAGAATTCGCCCTCAAGAAGATCCGATGCCCCTTCGGCGCCGAGTCCGTCGCCCAGGCGATGAAGGAGGTCGAGGCCTACCGCCTCTTCGCCCGCGTCCCGGGCATCATCCACGCCGCGGACCACGCCATCGCCACCGAGCGCGGCGGCGAGCCCGGCTCCAAGACCGTCTACGTCCTGCTGCCCTACTACCGCCGCGGCAACCTCCAGGACCTCATCAACGCCAACCTCGTTAACCACACCGCGTTCCCCGAGCGCCGCCTCATGCTGCTGTTCCTCGGCGTCTGCAAGGCCCTCCGCGCGATGCACAAGTACAGTGGCGGCCCGCCGGTGGCCATGGAGCGCATGGAGATGGGCAACGGCGACGAGGAGGACTCGACGGAGAACAACAGCAAGAGGAAGAAGGGCAAGAACAAGGGCGGGAACAGGGTCACGAGCGCCGCGGCAGGAGGCGCCGACGACGAGGACGAGGAGGACCAGCAGAGGCCCTTGATGGAGGGGGAGACGCCTGGGTCGGGCGACGTGAAGTCCTATTCGCATCGCGACATCAAGCCCGGTAAGCTTCCATCCATCCACTCAGTAGACAGCCAGTACAGGGAACTAACAGTTATGGCAAAACAGGAAACATCATGATTGACGACTCGGGCTCCAACCCAATCCTGATGGACCTCGGCTCCATCGCCCCGTCCCCGATTGCAATCACCTCGCACTCCCTCGCCATCGCGACGCAGGACATCGCCGCCGAGCACAGCACCATGCCCTACCGCGCCCCGGAGCTCTTCGACGTCCGCACAGGCACCGTGATCGACACAAAGGTGGACATCTGGTCGATGGGCTGCACGTTGTACGCATGCCTCGTCGGCAAGTCCCCCTTCGAGGCCCGCTCCGACGAGACGGGTGGTTCGCTGAGTCTCTGCGTTCTCGGCGGCGACTGGCGGTTCCCCGACGAGGGCGTTAGGCGCACCGGCACGGGCATGAAGGGCAAGGCCGTTGATTCGGGCAACGGTGGCGCATCAGCCAGCGAGCCCAAGATCAGCGAGCCCATCCGCGACGTTGTGAGGAAATGTCTCAAGGTCGAGCCGGCTGAGAGGCCAGACATTGACGAGCTTATTGACATGGTGGAAACCGTCATTGAGGAGCTGCCTCAGGAAGGTTCGCTGTGAATGGAAAAGTTTGGGTTGGAACCGTGTATTGTATTATGATCTGTTCACAATTATTCCCGGGGAATTTGCAAGGCTTTTTCAAAGTCACCGCGGCGTTCTGGGGCGGGCGCTTGTAGGATCAAGGAACTAGAAAGTCATTCTGATTTCAAGTGTTGTTTTACATAGGTATTGACGCGTCCTCAGACTCAAGTCAGGAGCATGTTCATCTCCTGTTATCCATCCATCACTCATTAGGTGCCGAATCACACCGCCAAGGTCATCTTTACGCTTTCTCAAAAGTCATCAAATGGCGTTGCAATTTCGTCGACTTCGGCAATGTCCGAGTCGCATTCATGATCGAGACCGCAGTCGCTGAGGCATTCATCCTACAGTTCCAGACGGTACGATGCAATCTCGAACGGTCGCAAGGTGATGTTGAACTTTCCATCGTCGATCTTGATCTCCTCGAGGTCATCCTCAAGCAAGTTGCACTTGTAGACGCGCTTGACGTCCCAAGTCGTCTCAATGGTACCCTTGCTTTGTCCACCAAGACTGTCATATACGCGCAGGATGACATTGCGGCCCTTGCGCTTGGGGAGGTCACCGCGAGTGACGTCCTCGTCATCCTCGCCACGCTTGACAGTGTCAAGGACCAAAGAGCCGTCTCCAGTGAGGGTGACTGGGCTCTTCGTCAGGGTCGACTGCGCAGCATCCGGCGCCGAGAGCAACTTCAGAGGGTTGTTAAAAGCGTAAGCCGCGCGGACAGTCGACGAACTGAGATTACCCTCGTGAGGGAAGATGGCCCAGCGGATTTGGTGTGTGCCCATATCGGCATTGCCGTCAGGGGCCTTTGGTGATCGCAGAAGCGAGAGACGCATCAAGTTGCCGACGGTGGCGAAACCGTACTTGCTGTCGTTGAGAATGGAGACACCGTAGTTGTGCTCGGACAAGTCAGCGAACCGATGGCAACAGACCTCGAACTTGGCCATGTCCCAGCTTGTGTTGTAGTGAGTAGGGCGTCTGACGACGCCATACGCTGACTCATAGGATGCCTCGGTGTTCCTGACGTCGACGGGGAATTCGACCTTCAGGAACTTCATTGCCTCGTGCCAATCGACTTCAGCGTGGCACTCAATCCATGATTGCACTCCCTTAAGAGCAGCTGAGAGGGTAATCGTAGATTTCAAGGAGCTTTGCTCGCTGATCTTAATCTCCGTCGTCAGGCTGACACGGTGTGACTTTTGCTCGGAAATGGAGGTCTTCCCGCAGGTGAGCTCCTTCCTGGTGTCAAGATGGTAGACTTCGACATCCCAGGCTTGCCAGTAAAGGGGCTTGTCGTCAAAGACGACGTACTGGTTTGCCTTGCCTCCCTTTTCAATGACTTCGCGATCAGCGACGCGGTCATACAAAGAGGTGATGTAACCATCTTCGACCTTGACACGGAGCTGGTCATTCTGCAGCACGAAGACACCATCGCTGACCTCCTCGATTGTGACAGCTGGCTTCTCCTCATCGACCTTGAAGGGGCGAATGGCAAGCATTTGCCCGTCTCCGCAAGCCACACCAGCCTCGTTCTCAGCAATCTCGACAACCTCTCTTCGGTGCCAAGGGAGTGTATTCAAGGCTACGGTCTCGCTGATGCGACCAGTGGTAGTGGTAGAGACGCCGAGGACGTTGTGGAGATCCTTGAGGATCTTCTCGCCCGTCTTGAATACTTTGTCGTAAAGCTACCAAGATTAGCGGATTCGACGGTGAATCGAAAGGCAGTGCTCACCTCATCAGAGTCATCATAACACATTTCAATGGAACTGCCAGGGAGACAGTCATGGAACTGGCAGAGGAGGACAGCCTCCCACATATCGTCAATGTCCTTCTTGGGATATTTGTAGTCCTTTCCATTGTCGCTCAGAGTGGCAATGGTGGCAAGCCACTCAATGTCCCTGAGTAGGCTTTCAGACTTGCGGTTGTTGTACTTGTTGTTAGCTTGAGTAGTGTAGGTACCACGGTGAAGCTCAAAGTAGAGTTCGCCGTACCAAGTCACGAACGTCTTGGCCTTGGGCTCCAACTTGTCAAAGAAGTCATCGACGGTCTTTCCCATGTGCACTCTAGGCAGCATGCCAACCTGATCGGACATACCGCGGCATCGGCGAAGCTTCTCAAGGTGCTGCCAGGTAGGGCCGCCGCCACCGTCACCCTTACCAAAGACAAGCAGTGAGGTGTGATCTTGGTCCATGGACTTGTGCTGACTGACACTTCGCTTTACGTCGCCGAAGTGGGCTTCGGCAGTGTAGGTCTCGGAAGGCGGCATGTGGCAGATGACCTGGCTACCGTCAAGAGCAACCCAGTTGAAAGTGGTGTGCGGGAAATTGTTGATGTTGTTCCAGCTCAGTTTCTGGGTGAGGAAGCGGCTCATTCCAGCCAAGCGGCAAAGCTGAGGAAGCTGGGCAGAGTACCCAAAGGTATCAGGGAGCCAAAAGGTTTGGCAGCGTTCGCCAAAGTTGCTTTCAAAGAAGCGCTGGCCGTAGAGAAACTGCCTTACCAAAGACTCTCCGCTGGGCATATTGGTATCGTGCTCAACCCAGCTGCCACCAATCGGGTGGAATCTGCCCTCCTTGACCTTCGTCTTGACGCGATCGAACGCGTAGGGGTATAGCTCCTTGAGCCACTTGTATTGTTGAGCCTGCGAGCACGCAAAGTGCAATTCGGGATAGCGGTCCATCAAATCGCATTGGTTGGACCAAGATCGCACAACCTTGCGTTTCGTCTCGGCCCATGGCCACAGCCAGCAGCTGTCGATGTGGCAGTGACCAATGCCGTAAACCTGGTGGTCCTTGTCGGTGCTGTAGACTTTGTGAGAGTCGACATCTGGACCAAGGTACTCTTGTGCGATCTTTCGGCATTTTAGAATGGAGTCTTTGTTGCCGAGCTCAAAGGCGTCAATGATATTAGTGGCGACCTTGAGGGCCTTGTGCTGCTCCCATGACTCCTTGGGGAATTCGCGAGCAGCATCCCCAATGATCCAAATGTCGATCCAGAGGGCTCTCGCCTGGGGGTTGACGGCGACAATGTCGGCCTTACCGAGCTGGAAGTACTTGTTAGGATCCGGGGGTTGGATAGAATCTCCGCCGGGAGCGTTGCCGAACATGCCATTGCAGGCCATTTCGATGTAAATGGTGTGCTCCTTGCCGTCTTTAAACTCCTTGGGCAGAATCCATTCCGTACGTTCGCCGCCTCCGGTGAGGCCCTGGAGTGGCTTGCCGTCTTCAGTCCAGACCAAGCCCTCATTGTTGGCGTCCCAGTGCAATTCAAGTAGCTCCTTGTCACGCAGCTCTTCTGGTACGGTCAGAATGACCTTGAACCAGTGGGTGGACCAAGACGGTCCAAACCAAGCGCCAACCTCGGTCTTTTTGAATTCGTGAGATACGGCGTCTTCGAATGTCGGCCGGGTGGTATCAGGAGCGTCCCAGACGGACAGCTTGACATGAGGCTCGCCTGACGCGGTGCCCTCCGTCATCATCCTGGTCTACAATTAGCTGAATGTTCCCCAGATGGGGTACAGGGCGCAGTGGGGTTCACGTACGCCAGCAGGTTGTATTTCTCCCATTGTCCGCTGGAGTAGAACTGGTTAATTCTCTCCTTGTAGATGTTGGAGATCCATTGTCCGACGGGCCGCTGGGCCAGAGCTGGGTAGTCGCTCTTGCTCTTGAGTTCTCTGCCGCCACCCATAGTGGGCTGTCCTGAAGTGTTCTCGAGGGCGTGCTTGCCGGTCTGTTTCAATCGATTGAGGGAGCTGGGTGGAGCTGAGCGATTGTTCAGGCGACGATTACGCTGGAGCTCCGTGAGATGGTGATGGGTCGGCCTTGGGGTGGGTGATGGAGATGATGCGCCCTTATCAATAGCTTGTGAAGCTCTTAGGGCGTCGTTCATATACTGATTGAGGGTCTTTGATTGTTTTTGCTCACTGCGAGAAGGATGTCTGGTTAGCTTTCCTTGAAATCGAACGAAAGCAAGACGGACTCGAAGCTCCCGGGGGGAGCTAAGGCAGAGCACGGGAACACCCTGGCGCAGCTGGGCGACCACTGAAACACAGCCAGTGGGAGCGTGCGGGGACAGGCCGGTGCAGCCAAAGTGCGGGGAGGTTGGGTGTAGGTGGGCGTGTGATGGAGGGTGACGCAGCCGTCATGCGATCCCCCTTGATAGCCGGCGCATCACCGAGCTCCTCGGCGGATAAGGTCGTTTGGCACCGGGAATGTGTGTCTTACCTCATCTCGTCGACTTGGTGATCCAACGCCCAGAGTCTAAGACAGGAAGGTGATGGACGCGGAGAAGGACTGGATAGAACAGATGACTAGTGATTCGGCAGAATAGGCTGGTAAGGATACGAAAAGAGAATGAGGACAGACAAGCCACGCCGCAGAGGTACTCCAAGCAGTGCGATCACGATGCACAAGGTTGACGATGCAGGACGCCATGTGGCAGAGGACCGTTGAAGGGGTGGTGATGGAATTCGTGACGGAATAAAAACCATCAGTAACTCGAGAAGAGAGCGCTTGCCATGTTGACCAGAAACCTTCGACGTTGACCAGCTGCGTCGGGGTCGAAAGGCAGCTGGTATCCAGAGTTTCGGAAGCATGCATGCCTCGCCGCCTTCCTGCTGGTCAACTCTATGATGCTTCGGAAGGCGAGATGCTGGGATATTGCCAGAGCGAAAAGACGGCACGACAAATGATGAGGTAAACTGTGCAAGGCTCTTGCTCCCACCTGCTGTCCATTCTTGCTGCTATTCTCGACGATCCTTCTTGCTGCCATTCTCTATTGTCGCTATTGCCCTGCCTCTTGCCATGGCGACGGCTGGTAATCATGTCGCCGACCAGTACGGCAGGTTAAACACAGTGCAGGGTGGTGCTGCGGTTGTGGCAGGTGACGAAACCAGAATGCACAGCCAGTGCAACGTCCTGCCACAAACACATCAACAAGAGGGAGACAGTAGTATTCAAGGTCATCTGTATGCGAGTAGAGTTGCACAACAGTTGCACAGCAGTTCCACAAGACTCAGTACACACGAGGTGCAACCTTGAGAGACATCGTCCTGTCCGCGTGTTTTAGCGATGCATTCGCCTGTATGTATGGGCTGTCAGTCGGGGTGGATATCTGGGGAAATCAAGTCATCGTGCAGCATCGTATCCCCATCAAGCGAAATGCGGCACGATCGCGATTCGGAATGCCCTCGCGGCCCATCTGCCCCAGATGACCAGCCGAAGGACGATTTGTTTTCCGGAATCCACGGTTGACCGAGAAATTGATCGGAAACCCCATGGATCGGGGCGACGACGGGAGCTCGGGGGATGGGGACGGCTCCAAGCGAAAACAGAAGGCAACGTGGAAGTGGTTCGAGGTCCATCTTGGTGCATTTCGCGGCGCCAAAAAGCTTCCAGAATATCAGCAGATGTCAACCAATTAAGGTTTACCGACCCATCTCGCTTAAGTGGTCACGGCTCACAATAGGACGATGTTCGCCCGATCTGAAAGCGTGCGCTCGGAACAAGATGAACTGGTCTTTGAACTGGTCTTGAGATGTGTGGAAAATATTCGTCTTGTTTCCTATCGACGGGATGCGGGATATTTAAACTACGTAGTAGCCAGAAAGTGAGGTATGCAGATCGCCCAGGGTAACAACCAATCATCACATCATTGTCCATGTCCGTAACACCGTAGAAAATCCGAAAAAAAAAAAAAGAGTAAAGATGCGCCTCCAACACCGTCCGTGCCGTTCCAAATCAAGATGACAGACCCGAGTCCTTGGCCCGGCTTCCAGTGCCGGTGCCGGTGCCTTTGTGAACAACTTCCGAGCCGTCTTCCTCATCCTCATCTTCATACAGGTCAAGGTCGTCCTCCTCATCGTCGTAGTCTTCCACCTCGCCCTCCTCGAGCTCGTCATCCAAGGGCTGGTCAAAGTCATCGTCGGCCTCGCTCTCACTCTCGCTCTCGCTTTCCTCAAAGCCGAGCACGCCGAGAATGGGCACCTCGATTTTGCGGTACTGGCTCCTGATCATTCCGTCGGCCATCTCGAACAGCTTGGAGTCCTTGTCTGGTGGGGGCTCCTTGTCCATGGAGAAGTGAGCCTCCTCTTGGTCAGCAAGGTCGTCTAGCGCCGGGATGTGCGGCGACGGAAGACCCTCGGGGATATTCATGACCCAGCGCCGGACACCTTCGCCCTTGGCCACTCGGGAGCGGGTGCTCTGTGCTCTTAACCCCGACCGGAAATGGCGCTTTTGCCTCCGGCGTCTCCGCTGAATCCGGTCGCGAATGTACCACGCCACGACCAACATGGCAGCCTGCATCATTTCCTGGCACTTTTGCCTGTGCATGTTTGCCCAAGCCTGACACCTTTGCTGCTGTGCATTAGAAATGGCCTGGCACCGTTGCTGGTAGTAGGCGGCAATGCGTGATACCATGGCGACGTATCTCGGGTCCATCGGTGGCTGACTAGGGTCCGTGCTTGGTGTCGGGATAGAGGTCGGCTTCGCCTGAGCTGTAGGCTGGGAGCTTGACGGCGATGGTGACTCCCTCTTCATCGGGACATTATGGTCGTCGAGGTTGGCCTCGGCAGCCTTGCGTTTCAGTTGAGCAGACAGCGGAAGGGCGGGTTTTCGGAAGGAGAGATGTTCGGGGGGAGGCGTGACGGGGGCTAAAGGGTTGAAGTTGATGGTAGGTAGATGCGCAGCCATAAAGGGTGGTTTTTCCAAGCAGCTTTGCTGTCGTGATATGTGTTGTTGGGCGGCGGTCTCGTTGAAACGGCTAATGTCTGATATCGTGGATATCGATGGGCGAGCGGCGGGTCGCTCTTGTTTCGGTTGTTTTTTGCTGGTTGGCAATAGACGCACTCGAGAAGAAGGCGAGTGAGTAGTAAGAAGTATTGTATTTGCGCAACTCTCGAAAGTCGTAGGAGAGGCGGTAGTAATAGTAAGACGAGAGGAAGAGACGGATGGTCGGGGGGTGTGGTGGTGTAAGAGTAGTTGTACTGGTGGCAGCAGATGAGACGGATTTTGGTGTGATGGGTGTGTAAGTGGACGGGGATCCGCTGAAGAGCAGACAGGCAGGCAGGATAGACGTATCAAACCAAGTGCTCGGTAGGAAAGGAGGGGGAAACGGGGCGCTGAAAAAGAGATATATACCTACATGGCCACATTTCAAATCGGAAAGGCAACATGACGGCGCATGCTGCCATGTTTGGGCCAAGGGTCTGATGATAAATTTGGGGAGTGAGCGGGAATGGGCTGAGAAGGAGTCGAAATCGGTCGATACCGAATGGCAACCGCGCCGTGCTGTTGGGGCCAGGGCGATACGTACCCCAGGGTACCCTGCCGCCCTACCGCGTGCGCGCAGGGACTTTCACCGACTCGTTGCACACTTCCATCCGCTTCAACGGCCAGCGGGCTGCCCGTCAGTGACAGGCAATCAATGGAATCCAGTCGCCTTAATTTTTTCCTTTCTTTTTTCCCCTTCCCTTTGCCCTCCTGTTCTGCTTTGTTCCATGTCTGTCATGCCCTGCAGCACACCCCTCGGGTACTCTAACAGACCAATCCGAAGCCAAGGAATGCCTTGACCGCACTCAACAATGGCATTCTGGCATCCAACAGACACACCCAGCACCGCTGACTGCAACCAGCGTGCCGGCATAGGCTTACAGCTGGCGTCCTTCCGACCCGACCTCATTACATTCTCACATCACCAAGGTGGACTCTCATCCAAGCATCATACACTTTCCTCGCTATGGCATGCTACGATCTTAAGCCACGCTGCCCTACCCACACGTTCCCCATATGCCGTGTTCCCACATCCACATACGATAATGTTCTCAGGGAGGGTATCATCAGTTGGCAGGGCCAGCATACCTAACGTCAAGCACCCCATCCTACAGTAGCCACACTCGCACAATAAGACGCACCACACCTTCTATTGACTCCAGTCAGACCCTATTTCCCCTTCTTTTCCCGAAAGCCGCGCCGGGTCCTGACATGTTTCCGTCATCTGCCATGCCGCGTGCTACTGGCTTCAACCCGGTAACCATTCAGGAACCATGATTCCCATTGCGTGCCTACCAGGCCTGGATTTGGACATGGGGAAGTTGGCGGCTGCCATCAAAACTCGAGATAGAGTGCTCCGGGGTGGCGGCATCCCATATCGTCTGCCCATCTTTGATTGCCTACAGGCCACAGTCATCTGCTGCAGCGAGCATTTGGGAGCACTCCCTCGGGCTGACTGTTCCCCTTTTGGGGGCCCAGCGGTGCGTTGATCACAATGGTTAGCGAGCCATGATATGGCCATCCATGATGCGACCCCCGCCCTGTCAATCTCAACATGACGGTAACATCATTCGACCATCGCCCGCACAGCAGCGCCAACGGACCTGCCTCGCTGCCAACTGGTTGCTCCTACTGCACGTCGACCGCGTGTTAGTGGTCATCTAGGCGCTGCTGCCGTCCAAACACTGTGTTTATGCAACCCCCCCCAACCCAAAGTGCTGTAGCGGTGCGGCCCAACTTACAAACGAAGGCGGTGGACGGAGGGAGGAAATACAGTCTCGACACAGTGCTTCGACCCCACCACCAATACACACACACATCTCACTGACATGGAATCTACAGACGGGCCTCCAACAGCGCGGTCCTTTGGTCCTGCAGCTCCGTTCCATTTCTGTGGTCCCTTAGTTGTTTGGACCCAACAATGCACCAACGGTGCCCATGATTGTCGTTCCTACGTACGACTGGCCCAAATAAATGACGCTAGACGCAACCGACTCTCGTAAGACGATGATGCACACCAGGCAGGTACCCGGAAAAAGCACCAACACTGTCTCGAATCTTCTCTCTTGTTTGCCATCTGTTTAGACTCACAGCGAATCTTGCTGGGCTGCTTATGGATCATTTACCTTATCTGAACAACTCCTCACACTCAGACCAGGACAGCCGGAGCATTGCAACGGATACAAACGAAGACCCCTAATTCCGATCGTGGCCCTGCTCCATAAACCCCGTTTCTTCTCCGCCACGCGTGTCGCGCATCTCCAGTTCCATCTTACATCCGGTTTGCGATGTTTCGGCGATAACAAAACCTAACGTACGGCGAACAGTCATCGACTTACAAACCATCGGCCGGTGTCGTTTGCTGCTATCTTGGTCCGTCGCATCTCCCCCAAGCCTTCGGGCCAACTCGACACACATCCGTACAGGGTTGTCGCCTAATTTTATCGCCGCCCCGACCATGCCATGCCATTTCTCTCTCCATGTCCGTTCCACGCCGTCCCATCCCTTTCGCTAGGTAGCCATACCTACCATGCCATGCTACCTGGCGTGCCTAGGTGCCTAGATCCGTTCCAAGCCCTTCCCATAGGCCCCCACCCCCTGGCGACCTGTCCCAGCCCGGCGAGAGCCGCGATGCAAATACGCTGAGGTGAACGGTCCCAGACGCCTGGACTACCGGCCCCACAGCACAGCGCAGCAGCCTGTCAGGCGCCCGCCCTCCAGCGAGATCCCCCCTATGGGTCCCCATGGGTTACGATCGATTCGGGCGGATTCGAGGCCACGGTCCCGAAAAATCTCGCGATGTTCTACGACTACAACGCCGCTCGCATGATTCGCGTCCAGCCTGAACCAACCCCGGCGCCCGCCCTCCACCCGGCTCATTATCTCATCATTTCCCTCCCCCGAACGTCACAACACCACATTCCTCGCCGCGCCTAGGCCCTTTACCCTTACCTTCTTAGGGCTATTCCTCTTGTGCCGAATCGGACAAACGCCTGAACCGACGTCACTCCCGAACAGCTCATATTGATGATATGCTCACATGTTGGCCCGATCACTCACCACACTCGCCTGTCATGACCTGGTGCCCCCGTTACTGACTGCTTCCCGATTGTCTATCCCCGCATCTCTCCGCCTGCGCCGCAATGGCTATCGATGGGGTTTCGGCCAAGACGTTGGGGTTGTGGGAATGCCGTCCTGGCAATCGCCTGCTGGTGTCTTTGCCAGGGGCAAGAAGACAACGTCAACCGTGAAGCTTGACGATCTACCCCAGGGACTCCTGCTGCCGTTAGATCCCTGTCCCACGCAAGATGAGGCACCGGCCTATCCAACCGTGGTGCTGCAGGCCTGTCAAAACATGCAAAAGTTCGACAACTGCGTGCTACTGACGCGTGTTGGTGGCTTCTACGAGCTGTACTTTGAGCACGCCGAGGAGCTTGGCCCCTTGCTCAACCTCAAGGTCGCCCAGAAAAGGACGAATGCGGGCCCCGTTTCCATGGTAAATCTTTCTCACTTTTGTTCAACGCCGTGCTCGTATCCTCCTCAGGTCTGATATGTGATGGCTAGGCCGGTTTCCCTTTCTTCCAGCTGGACCGTTTCCTCAAGATCCTGGTCCAGGACCTGAATCGCTACGTCGCCATTGCTGAAGAGTTCCCCAACAAGGCGCCCGAGAAGATTAAGTCTGGTGGGCTGATGTACGATCGCAAAGTTGCTCGTATTATCACGCCAGGAACTCTCATTGATGAGAATTTCATGGATCCATATGCAAACAACTATGTGCTGGCTGTCCATGCCCATACGGCCGCGGCCCAGTCCGGAAGCGAGGGGGAAGACTCGACCCATTCAGCCGCTGACCAGAGTCTGACTCCGGCAGCTGGTGACCCTGCCGAACCACTACCACTGGGCCTCGCGTGGTTGGACCTGTCCACCGGCCAATTTTACACTCAGGCTTCCGATCTCACAGCGCTGCCCTCGATCTTGTCGAGAATATGCCCCAGAGAGGTCGTCTTAGACAGCGAGCTCCAGACCCAAACCGGCCATGGGCTGTTTTCCATACTGGCTGAGGACCGGCACCTGGTCACGTATAGCCCGTTCGGCGAAATTAGGCGTCTTTCTGATTGGACACCCATGCTCGAGACTGAGATCCCGCAGCCTGTCCGGGACGCCTTCACTGACGATGAGGTGATGGCGGGGAGTCTGCTCCTCCACTACGTCAAGGAGCGGCTACTGGGGCTAAGCATGAAGCTGCAGCCGCCGCAGCGTCATGAGAACATGCAAATTATGACCATAGACAAGAACAGCATGCGCTCCCTGGAAATTAAACAGACCATCAGAGATGCGAACTTCCGCGGTAGCCTGTTACACGCCATCCGGCGGACTGTCACGAAGAGCGGTGCTCGACTGCTCAATGATTTGCTCAGTGCCCCGTCAACATCCCTCGAGGTCATCAAGCTGAGGCAGGATCTCGTCGCACGATTCATCGAAGACCCGGACTTGCGGGACGCTGTGGTTGTACTGCTCCGCCGCAGCCACGATTCCCAGCGGCTGGTGCAGAAGTTTGCGCTGGGCCGAGGAGAGCCGGACGACCTAGTAGCCCTGGCCAACACCACTCAGGCCACTGACAGCATCAAGCAGCTGCTTCTAGCAGCATCCGACGAGTCCGCATGCCTATCGCGGATGAGCTCTCGACTCGACCTGAAGAAGCCCTTGACTATGGCACGTCGCATCAAGGAAGCCATCGACGAAGAAGGCATCATCCATCAACATCAGATCGAAGAGAGCCAGGCAGGACAAATGATGTCTCTCGCGCAGGAAATCGTGAGCATGGAAGGCTCACAAGAAGACGCCGACGCCCTGCCAAAGGGTGCTGCTGCGGCTGCCAAGAAGAAACGCCCGACCTCTGTGCGAGAGGCGTACGCCGACGACAACGAGACGTGGATCATGAAGCCGAACGCCAGCAAACTTCTCCGCGAACTCCACAATGATCTGGCCACTCTTCATGCCAAGAAGGAAACACTCACGGAAGACCTCCGCGAACACCACGGTGCCACTTCCTTGACCCTCCGCTGGAGCCCCGCTCTCGGCCACTTCTGCCACATCAAAGGCAAAGATGCTCGCTCCGTCTCCGCCGACATCAAGGCCCTCAGCGCAAGCCGTTCGACACGTTCGTTCCACGAGCCCGAATGGACTCATCTCGGCCAGCAGCTCGAACAGGCCCGGCACAGCATCCGCACCGAAGAGCAGCGCGTCTTCCACGCCCTCCGCGCCGCCGTCGTCCTGAACCTCGTCAAGCTGCGTCGCAACGCCGCCGTGCTGGACGAGCTCGACATTGCAACATCGTTCGCCAAGCTCGCCGAGGAGCAGGGGCTGACGCGGCCGCTGCTCAACAACTCGTCGGCGCACACCATCATCGGCGGCAGACATCCTACGGTTGAGGGCGGCCTACACGAGCAAGGGCGCAGCTTCGTCCGAAACGACTGTCTCGTGGGCGGTCCCTCGGCCGGGAAGCTGTGGCTGATCACGGGTCCCAACATGGCCGGCAAGAGCACGTTCCTGCGGCAGAACGCCCTCATCACGATACTCGCGCAGATCGGCTGCTACGTGCCCGCGGACTACGCGGAGATGGGCATCGTGGACGCCATCTTCAGCCGTGTGGGCTCGGCGGATAACCTGTACCGGGACCAGAGCACCTTCATGGTGGAGATGATGGAGACGGCACAGATTCTCCGCAACGCCACGCCGCGGTCGTTCGTCATCATGGACGAAATCGGGAGGGGAACGACGCCCGAAGACGGCACGGCGGTCGCGTACGCTTGCTTGCACCATCTGGTCACAATCAACCAATGCCGGGCGCTGTTTGCGACGCATTTTCACAAGGTGGCAGACCTGGCCGAGGCCGAGGGGCTCTTACAGAACGGAGGCGTGGACACGTATTGCACGGACGTAGAGGAGGATGAAGATGGAGGATTTGTCTATATTCATAGGCTACAGAAGGGCGTCAACCGACAGAGCCATGCTCTGAAAGTTGCGCGGCTGGCTGATTTGCCGGAGCCGGCTATCAAGATTGCCAAGCAAGTGCTCGGTCACTAAGAATCTCATCTTGTACAATCACTCATACACACGGGCAATGAAGCAAAAGGGGACACACTGGATACGGCAGCACTTGTATTGTAGGACCTGCGACTTTGTGTACGTTAGCCATGATACCCAGTAAAAAGTAGGCTGAACGAGAGGAAAAAGATTTGTAAAGCATCCTCATAGGGTGGTGATGTGTGTGTCATCAAGAAAGATTCAGGGTTAAAAAGCTCTTGAACGTTTATATAATCATAGGACGCAGGTGGGTGAGTAAAAGTGAGATAGGAGTGGAAACTAACCTTTTGGACTTTGGGACGAGCATGCTTCAAGCATGTCACGTTCACCATTTCATCAGTCATGAGCCAGTCTTGCCGTCAAATGCGATGTGCTTAATTGACTGGCAACCCATCTATGTAGCCGTGCTTTAGATCGACATGTCGTCGTAAACCCAGTCGTAACCCAGATAGAAGCCGTCGTAACACCGATTTCCCGTCAAAGCATTTAGTCGCTGGGAAGGAAGTTAGCAAACACTGCAACACATCACTGGAAAGGGGTAGGGAGAAAACATACAAGAGACCGCCGAAGCCACCATCCTCGTCAGACTCCTCGTCCTTCTCGGACTCAGCCTTGGTCTCCTCCTCAGCAGCGGCGCCACCGGCAGCGGCGACGGGGGCGGCAGAGGCGTAGGCATCGGGGTTGGCGATGCGGTCCTTGAGCTCCTCGATCTCGGGCCAGCTGATCTCGGTCTCGATGGCGACAGCGAGAACGTTCTTGTAGCCGTTGAAGAAGGAGTGGATGACGGAGGGAAGGGTGGGGAAGTTGATGGCCAGGGAGACAGCGGCGATGGTGGCAATAGCACCGCCGAAGGCCTTGAGGAGCTGGTCCTCGGAGATGTCGAGAACCTCGGAGGGGAAGGTGTTGCCCTGGTCGTAGACCTGAGCGACGCCCATACCGTAGGTGAAGGGAGAGATGTTAAGCATGTTAAGGAGGGTAGCCTCGGAGGGGCCGACCTTGGTGTTGGCCTCAACGAGCTTCAGGTCCGAAACGATTTCAATGGTACCACGGGCAATCTTGGTGGGGACACCGAGGGCCTGGAAGAAAGAGGTCTTTCCGGGCTCCATGCCGGTGTTGCCAGCGGGAATCCAGACGTCGGAGGGAGCGACGGCACCGGCACGGGCAGGGGCGGCGACCTTGTTGGCGAGGATCTTGTCACGGATGTCCTTGAGGTCACCGTTGGTGAAGACGAAACCGACGTTGCCCTTGACGAAGGGGAGCAGACGCTCGTACTCGGGGGCATCGGGGATGAAGGTCTTGAGGGCACGGCGAACCTGGAATATTTGTTAGCATCGTGTCGCGCGATGGTTGACTCGCCATTGACTCCCCGAGAAAACGTACCATGGTGTTCTTGCCCATCAGGACGACACCCTCACCACGGAGGGACTGTCTGATCTCGTGCATCTGCTGAGACGAGACATTGTCGACGGAGACGATGAAGATGGACTTGTACTCCTCGAGCAAGCCCTTGAGCTTGTCGAAGTAGCCGGCCTTGTTCGCAGATTTGCCCCCCATATCTTCTTATTTTATGAAGGCAGGATGTTTAAGGGCAAATGAATTTGTTCCTTGTTGGTTGATGGGAAATTGGGGTATCAAAATGGTGATGTAGCAGGAAAGAAAAAAGAGCCTCCGCGAAGCAAGAAGGTTTTTGCTCTCTGCTGCTTCGCGAAAATGTGTGGACCCACCCGGGGCCGACGAGCCAGCCAATTCCACTGGACCTTAGGGCAACCAACGGGCGGCCGGGGGTTGCAGGTCTGAGGTGAGAGGGTCAAGCATCTGCTGCTGCAGGGTATGGTGGTCCAAGCTTTTGAGAAAAAAGATACATGCCAGAAGTATCTTTTTTTTCACTTCCATAGTGGGGCGCATTTCAGATGGCCGATGAGTTCTTCAGTGAAAGTCCTATTCTGACCTCAGTTCCTGGTGTAGACAAGCTCAATTGATCTAAATGAGCCTAGTCAACTTCCAGCAACCCGTAATGACGATGAAGATTCCGTACAACTTTGTCCAGCCCTGCGGCAACGTCATCTTTGCTGCCAGGGGCGGCAAGATTCACTCCTTCAGCCTGCAAGACGGCTCTCACATCTCAACATGGAAGCACCCCGACGTCGAAAAGGTCGCAGCTGCCTCGGCCACCAACGCCGCAGCAAAGGTTGAGATCGAAGTGAGCTCAGGAGTTCCCACACCTGATTCCCCGACCAATGATGAAGATGGCCCACCAGCCAAGCGCCAGAGGGTTGAGAAGGAGGATGAGGTCAAGGACGGCGATGCCATGGTTGTGGACGAACCTCAGAAGCAGGCCGAGGATCAGCAGCAGCAGCAGAACGAAAACGAGAAGAAGGGCAAAAAGGACAGGAGGAAGGGAAACAAGGGCAACAAGGCCCAACATCAGCAGCAGAGCAATCGCTTTGCGCGAGTTCCGGACCAGCCCGTCATCACACTCATGACAACAACCAGCACCGGCAGTCACTTGCTTGCCATCTCAGGTCATGACAAGGGCCTGTGGGTACTCGAGCACGACGGCAAGGGCGGCTTGAAAGAGCTGAGCCAGAGGTATGTCAGCCCTCGTCTCCCGTTTCCTGGGTGAGATAGACTTTAACACATGCAAAGGACAATGCCTAAACGCCCCTGCTCCGTCCTCATCTGCCCAGACGACGAGACGATCCTGAGCGCAGACAAGTTTGGCGATGTCTTCTCCCTGCCCCTTATCCCCTCTGATAAGCCTGCTTCCACTGATGCTCCCGAGGAGCCCGCCGGGCCGGCAACCCAAGCGTCAGAGGCCCAGCCCTTCAAGCCTGAAGCCAGCAACTTCACTGTGCACTCCAAAGCCAACCTCCGCGCCCTCAAGAACCAGCAGCGTGAGATGAACAAGTCGAAGCGCGACGCCCCCAAGGAGGATCCGACCTTCGAACACACCCTCCTGCTTGGCCACGTCTCTATGCTCACCGCCATGACGCTCGCCGAGAAGGGATCCCGCCGGTACATCATCACCGCGGACCGCGATGAGCATATTCGTGTCTCGCGCTACATGCCCCACGCCCACATTATCGAGGGTTTCTGTCTTGGCCACACCAACTTCGTCAGCGCCCTGACTCTCCCCAGCCAAGACGTTCTCGTCTCGGGAGGTGGAGACAGTGAGCTGTTCGTATGGAACTGGGAGGCCGGCAATATCTTGTCCAAGTTCGACATCTTGGAGCAGGTTCGCCAGGTCGAACAGGAGGCTGCCAAGGTCGCGGTCTCCCAGCTCCTGTCTGCCACTGTCCTCGCCAATGGTCTGCCGGTGCCCGTTGTTTTGGTGGTCTGTGAAGGGTACGTCTCTGTTCGCCATGTCTTGAAGTGCTCACACTGACCTGTCACTTAGTGTCCCTGCAATCTTCGTGCTCCGTGTCTCAGAACGAAACACTCTGTCCCACGTACAGACAGTCTCTCTCCCAGGCAACCCTCTACACGTTGCCCCCATCTCCAGCGATAGTCCTCTGAGTACCATCCTCGTCACGATTGACCCGGCGGAGTCAAGCACTAATGAAAACGGCCTCGTGTCTTACAAGTGGACCGGCGCTGCCTTCTCAACAACGCAAGACTTCGTACCCCAGGACGCGAGCTTGACGGAGAACGAGTTTGATCTGACCCAGGAGCAAGTACGCAAGCTGCTGTACAACATTGGAGATTTGCGCAAGAAGAACGAGGAGCAGGGTGAGGAAGGCGAGGAAGCTGAGCAGCCAGAGCAGCCACAGGAAGCATCATAGTCACATCTTCAAAGTAGACAAATACAAAAACATGTGTATCATCAAATCGATTCAACGGATTATCCTCTATGACCGTGAAACCGTGAACGCCTTCCTACCAAGTCTCGATGTCCGTCGAGCAAAGAAGCCAAATGATGTTTTTAACACGCAAGCGCTGGACCAGAAATCCCTGTACTGTGCTGGTCCATCGGAATCCAGCCTTCATTCTCGACGAACCGACTCAGCGCATCTAGTCGAGGCGTCCAGTCAGCTGCTGCCTCTTCCCACATGCAGCCGCCGAATGGCAGGCCTCTCTTTACCATTTCCATGCAACCGTTTCCATCCATTCGTGACTGGGAAAATATGCATTTCCGTTCCATAGAACAGATGTGAAGAACTGCCTCGATCCACGCCCCCTTCCCCAACACGCCGAAGATGCTCGTAATGTCAAATATCGTCAGAAGTTATGTCGTCTACTGGGAAGCGCACTGCACGCGCTCGGCGCCGTGGGGACCATCCTCGTCATCCTCGTCCATCGAGCCAGCGCCGCCAAAGACCTTAGCCTGTGCGCTGTTGTCCAGATCCTCGAGGTCCGCAGGCTCGGTCATGGCCTCAGGGGGAGGCACGGTCTGCAGAGACGGGACGGGAAGGAGCTTCTGGAGAGCCTCGAAGGCCGTCGGGTCGTCGGTCCAGTTCTTCTCAGGGAACTTGACGCTGAACTGGATGTACAGGTTTCCGAAGTCGTGGTGTCTCGGGGAAGGCATACCCTGGCCACGAACCATCTTGACAGCATCTACAGGTTGTTAGTTGGTCCGTATGGAAAACGACGGGATGGTATAACATACCAGGCGCAATAGCTTCACCGGGCAGGATCTCAATGCTGAGCCACCTGTCGTCGAGGTGCTCAATGTAGATGGTTCCACCAGCCAGAGCAGTGACCAGCTCGATCTCACACTGATAGAGGAGGTCGTCTTCCTTACGGGTGAAGCGGGGGTGGGGCTTCTGCTCAATCTCGAAAACGACGTCACCGGCCTGGATGCCAGGGGCCTGGTCACCCTCACCACGGAACTCAACCTTGGTACCGCTCCTAACACCGCGGTCGACGTGAACGTGGAGAACCTTGCGGTCGACGATTGTCTTCTTGCCGTTGCACTGCTTGCAGCGGTCCTTGTCCTTGATGGTCTCACCCTCGCCATTGCAGTCGGGGCAGACGGTCTGGAAGCGCTGGATCATGGGACCCATCTGTCTCATCATGGTCTTCATGCCGTGGCCGTCACAGCCGGCGCAGCGCTTAACGGCGCCGTCCTTTCCACCGCGACCTTCGCACTTGGGGCAAATGATGGAGCGCTGAAGGGCAAGCTTGGAGATCTTGCCACGGTAGACGTCCTCAAGAGAGACCTTGTGAGTGTGGTGAATGGTGCGGGCCTTGGGGGGACCGCGGTTGGGCATACCACCGCCGCCGAACATGCCGCCGAGGCCACCGCCGAAGCTGCCACCGCCGAAGAACTGAGCGAACAGGTCCTCGGCAGCCATACCACCACCACCGCCGGCACCACCCTCAAGACCGGCCTCGCCATATTGATCGTAGATCTGACGCTTCTGGGAATCGGAAAGGATCTCGTAGGCGTGGGAGACCTCCTTGAACTTCTCTTCAGCCTCGGGGTTGTGGGCGTTCTTGTCTGTTTGCAGTCCGTCAGCAAGCTACTGGCAGAACAGCGCAACTTGATTCACATACCAGGGTGGTACTTCAGGGCATTCGTCTTGTAGGCCTTCTTCAGTTCCGTCTCAGTCGCAGTCGGCGCCACCTGTCTCCCACGTTAATATTTCCGAACGACCATACAAAGAATATGCCGTGGGAACATACGCCGAGGGTGTCGTAGAGCTTCGTTTCCTTGACCATGGTGTATGTCGGTACAGTAATCCTTATCTAAAACCTTGGCGCTGAAATCGGGATTTGGGGGGTAAGGGTCCTTGGAGGGGCCTGCGGAGTCGGAGCCTGTCAGCGAAAACGAACAGCCAGAGTTTTGTAAGTTTCGTGGCCTCTGGTCATCGAACTTGCTCTGCCTGTGCAATTTGTAGGGAGATGGGTTTGCGCAGGAAGGAGGCCTCGGTGTTGGGCGCAGCAGGTATCGCAGGTTAAGGCTGGCTGACCAGGGCGAACAGAGAAAGTGTATCCGCCACCTCGCCTTCACCTTGAGGTTTGCGCCGGCGGAAAGCAAACGAGAGAGGTTGCACACATACCTTCTGAAAATGGTCGGCACAACGTTGTCTGCGCAACTGGGTATCTGGTAAACGGGAAAGAGATGTTGCAGCGAGAAAAGTTGAAAAAGATTGAGGAAGGTCGAGGCCGGGCTGGGGGCAGGCAATTATTGATGCAATTCGTGGCGGGGAGCGAAAAGGGTGGAAATCTACCTGGGCTGAATGGACCGGCTACGCTAGTGACGGGACATTGGATTTTTCAAAATAAAGGGAGAAAGCAGGCTGCGAGTGCGGGTCGCCTTGCGCATTTCCCGCGCCCAAAGGGCCCCAATCTGAATCCCATGGAAAGGTGTAGAATGTTTTTGAGCCACAGTGGCGGTGCTGATGATGCAATACCTGCACCGTCCTGCCAGATCCGGTCCGAGGGGTCCAACAACCCTCCAACAACCCTCCAACGACCCTCCAGCAAACCCGAGGAGGACCCTGATCCGCTTGTCATGCTCCAGCTGCGCCGTAACATACCTTTGGGTGCTGGGCGCTGTTGGACCTGCCGCGGCACCCTCTGGGCAGGCAACCATCCGCCTGGGAGGCAGGCAAAATCCAGGCTTCTGCGTCCTGAAGGGTCTTTCACCGCGCAATCGCTCGCTGCGTCCAGCCTGAATGTCCTCCCCTAACCCGCCGCAGAGGCTATTCTTATCCCATGAATCCAAAGTACCCCTCTAACAATTTCGAGCAGAACTCTCTTCCCCACTCCCCGATCAAGTCTTAGCTAAGCGGGTCTGGATTTCTCATCCGTCATCGTTATCCACACCTTCCTGGGTGCCAGTGCTTCACCCACGGACTTTATTCCTGTCGGCGATAGGATGCCACGGAACACGGAACCCAATGGTTGTTCGGTATCAAACGTCGGCAGACGAAAGGACCGCCAGGCTACCCGTTAGTAGCTCTGGTCAGGATTCAATGGCGCCTCGAAGCTAGAAATGTGCCAGCAAACCGCCAAGCGAATACGTGCCTTCAGGTTCACGTTTCAACCCGGCTAATCAACTGTCTGAAGGGACCACCCGAAACTGCTGCAAAGCAATAGCGGGACCCCCACGACATCGGTTCAACCTTCAACGCTCTCTGCCGTCTCTTGTCTTCTTTGACGTTGGGCTATTCAACGTGTCAATTCTCTTTGCGAAACGAATCCCCTTGCTGTCATGTCCCCTTGACCCAACTCACACCCCAAGGCAGGGCGTCCCGCATTGGTTGCGTGGGGCGGACATGTAACCCTCCTGTTCGCTGATCTCTTTGATCTAGTGTTTTTTCTCTGATCTCGTCGCCATCTGCAAGCGGCGCGTATCTCACGACGCTCAGACGGTTGTCGTCCGAGGGACGGAATGACGCTGGGAAGAACGGTCAGGAACCGTCGTGTCAAATGCCGTCAGTGCTCAGATTACCAGAAAGAAAGCCATATTTACACTTGCCGAACAATCTCAACCATGGAATACTGGGCAGGGGTCCTGTATCATGTCCTGGTACATGAAGCTACCGTCATTGAATGAATTGGTTGCAGATTCTGCGAGCGCAACGGGCATTGTCCATGCTGGCAATTGTCTCCTCATTCACCACAGATTTGGGGTCATGGCTGCGAACTTACTGCATCAAATGGAAAGAAATCTTGTCAAGGATATGCCGACTCGGCCTAGGTATGGGTTATGGCATCTCAAGGAATGACTCTGTCGGAACGAGCCTTAACAGGTGCGGCGATGTGATTGAATGTCGAATTGAGATGGCGGGGCAAATCATCCATTCTTCAGGCTTCGTTGGCAACCAATCACGTAAGCCCAATATGAATGACAGACCGAGCAGTTACCCACCCCCGCGGCGGGCCATCCACCAGGGAAAACCACCACATTCCCATGTGCTGCTGGGCCTAATTCCCATGTCGTGACATGGCGTGTTTTTGCGTGTGCTTGCGACTGGCTTTTAGTACACATTGAAGCAAGAGAGAGAAAACAAAATGGAGCAGCCAGGATACGTACTTCATGCGCTCATGTCTTATCTCTTATCGAGGCTTGAGATAGGTGTATTGGTTGTTGTGCGCCTCCATGATCGGGTTGTTGATGCCCCTCGGAGAAGCATCTTTCGGCTGGTTTACGTCTGGCGTGGAGGTGACGGCATCAGCCCATCCACGGGCCCAGACCACCAGAATAAATGGTTTGGACGTGAGAAGATATGCGATTCTCCCCATTACATCTAACATCATGGACGTCAATCAACATTTACATGACCCATCATCGACTTTTCGCGAGTCGTTTCCCAGTTGATTCTGTCCAGACTGTTGTACCTTCATGATTGGCGACTACATCTAACATGGATACCACCATTGATTTCAGCCCTTACCGTGCCGATGGCAAGCTCGTGAGTCAAATGCAATTTTATCTGGCGTCGAAGAAGATTCATTTTAGATCAGTACGGATTTGTTTGCGTCGTAACTGGCGCCGCCCAGCCCGTTGGGCAGGCTATCATTGAGGAACTGGCCGGTATGATTTCCCAACACCTATGCCATCATATCACTCATAAGTAGCCCTAACGCGCGAGAGCAGCACATGGCGCCGCTTCCATATACGGTCAGTCTTACAATTTGAGACCCTCTTCACGGCAATGGTTTATCTTGGGCTGACATTATCCAGCATGCGACAAGGCGGCCAGCGATGAAGGCTTCAAGCCTTTGGTCGACAATGTCCACATCGAGCACCCAAACACGAAAATCATCCCTTACCCCTTTGACGTAGCCAAGGAAGAAGAGACGCTTGTTCTTATTGACGAGTTACTTAACAACTTTGGGCGTCTCGATATATGGGTGTCATCGGCCGGCCTGCTGGGTCCTCCGTCCATCACCGAGACAACACCGGCAGACCTGCAACGCTGCCTCGAGGCGCATTCAATAGCACCGTTCTTTGCGCTCAAATACGCGCCTGCGGCCATGGCCAAGCTCACAGAGAAGAAGTCGTACCCCAATGCCGCGCCCAAGACGCAAAAGTACGGCAGCATCATCGTCATCGGCAGCGTGGCATCAACGTACGGCGGCTGCTGGGGCCCCGCATATGTGGTGGCCAGCCATGCTGCGCTTGGTGTCGTGAAGGCTGGTGTTGCGGTCTTGAAAGGCACAGGAGTGAGAATCAACTGCATCTCACCGGGCCAGATTGACATTGGCTTGGACTTGAACGGGGTACGAATGGGCACTTCGTGGTCGACAAGAATGTGCTGACGAATTTGACAGATCGATCTCAAGGGGATGAACTCCCAGTTCCCCCCTGCAAGCCTCCAGACCCAAGAAGTGAGTTGACATCCTGATGTCAACCTAACAACTAATGACTGAGGCTCTGCAGGCTTCAAAGGCCACCATAGGTCTGGAAAGGCCAGGCAATCCACAAGAAGTGGCACGAGTAGCCGGATTCCTCGCATCGGGCTTCAGCTCCTATATCACGGGAGCAAATCTGGTTGTCGATGGCGGCGCGTCGTAAGTCCAACCCCGAGCGACAAGCCTCCGCGCGGGCATCTCCCTGCGCGAGGCGCACCCCGTGATCAAGGCCATTAGCTCATGGATTGCTGGATCGCTAGTGCCATGAACCCGCTTACGATTCCCATCGGCAAAGCCCACCCGTAATCTTTAGGCCATGAGGAATGAACGGACTGCGGGGTACTCGCTCCAGAGGCGCCGAGAACTGTGTGGTTGGTCATATGGGGAATTGCCCGTCCAATCCGGTGCCATCACCCGGGAATGTAGGTTGCCCAAGAAGGCAGGAAGTCTTGACGGGCATCTGCGATGGTTGGTGAGATGGGGTTTCGTTGTATCGCTTCGTTGCGGGTTCCGGTTCCAAAATTGATAGCAAATATGATTGAACTTTGGCAAACGCAAACGGATGTCGGAGACGGCCGCGGGGTACAGACCCCCATAAATGGAACATTCCAGTGGCAGCTTTCAGAAGGTGTCCCACCAAGTGACTGCCCCAACACACCTTCGCTCTAGCACCCGTGGACCCACCTGGTAAGCCATCGCACCCGAACATCAGCCAAGCTCACACGGACTCTCAGCATCTTAGACCAACTGCACATCATCCAGAGTCTTATCAACCCCACCCTTCCCGCAACCTCATCCCTTCCCTCTTCTTCCTTTCCTTTCTTCCCCTTTCTCGAATTTCGTCATGTCGTTCACTCCGGAAGTTTTCGATATTGCCAATGACTCTCAGACGGCGGACACGGCCAAGAATTACGGCCTGACGCCTGACCAGGTGAAGGAGCTGGGGAAGAGGGCAACCGCGGCCAAGGCGACGGCTTACTGCCCGTACAGCAAGTTCCGCGTCGGCGCAACCCTGTTGTCCAACGACGACAGATATACCGATGGAGCAAACGTCGAGAATGCGTCATACCCAGTCGGGACTTGCGCCGAGAGAGTAGCTTTTGGCACGGCCATCACAGAGGGTATCCGGGGCTTCAAGGCTGTTGCTGTTGCCACCGACGTCGATGCCCCCTGCAGCCCATGCGGCATGTGCAGACAGTTGTGAGTCCTTTGTTTCTTGAAGCCTCCATCCAGCCATGTGGGTTTTTGGTAGTCGACCGCAGACTAATACACTTTAACAGCATTCGTGAGTTCGTTGATCTTGAGACCCCCATCCTCATGTTCAACAAAAACGGCAAGTATGTCGTTATGAGGCTCCAGCAGGTATGCTTTTCCCGCCATGATTCGGGATGATGAAATTGAATACTTCCTGACCCAATCTTAGCTTCTCCCGCTCTCATTTGGTCCTGAGTTCCTCCCTCCCCCGGAGGTATTGGAGAAGAACTTGGCTAGTGGAGCTTAGAAGGCTAGCCCTCACACATATCACACTGAGTGGTTCCCAATCTCATGAAGGGGCCCGGAATTATATGTGGTTGCGACGGCATAGCCAACTACATCTTCCATCAGAAAGGTGAAATAGATAACGAGTGGCTGGCGCAGGCGTTGTTACGGTGTGGGTGATTTGGAGTTGGGGCGGGTCGAGTCTGCCGGTCGTCGCTGGTTGGCATAAGCTGGTGTTAGGACGAAAGGTTTCGAATGCGTCGAAGTGATAAGGAAGCATGATTGAGAGATAATGAAATCTATGGCAGTTTCAAGAAACATTTTTTTCTTCTACTTATCAACCACCTTGTGTAATGGCCCCCTCATCTCACCTTTCCTAGCACTGAGGCTGCTCGTTGGAACTATCATTTCCTGGCAAACAGATCCAGGAACTGTCTTCGACCTAGCAGCAAATCAGAGTAATGTTGTGTGAATCTTTCAAGGCATAGAATTCTTGATCTTTGATGATCAAACTAAGCTTCTTGTTTTCCCTTTCCCGTTTCCTTTTCTGTTCACTTCCCTACTAGCCCAGGGCCTGTGGATTGAACCTGGAATTGATTCTTGCCACGGCTTAGTATAGAAGGTAGACCGAACGTTCATGACATGTTACAATAAACAGTATACCTTGGGGCGGGATTCAGCTGAACTGAATCTCAAAAAAACAGAAACCCCTATATCACAACGTGCACACATCCCATCTGAACGCTAGCAACCCGGACGATACCTAGACACAAATGTCTGACTCATTTCATTACTTGCCGATGGTAAAGATATACACTTACATCTTGTGAAAGAGACCTTGGCCTCATCGTGTATTTCTAGCTGAGCATACTGAGTTTCGGATTCTTCATTTTTGCTCATGCAGCATCGGAAACGACCCGAGATTCTTTCTCCTGCGGCCCAACATTATATCACGCGGAACCACCGTGCGTCTTTACGATGGCCCGTTCATTTCGAACTCTTGGATGTCTGTAAATCTTGCGTATGACTTGCATGGGTCACAGCTTTCCTGATGTACTCGTAGCTTAAATCTTCCGAACATTATTATTCAAGATAGCAGGTGTCAAAAACCAGTCAAATTCCAGGATGACAGGATCTCAAACGAATTATATGTGGCTCGCAGACGGGAAGCTAAGTACCTAAGTAGATGATATTTTTTTTTGGAGGTCATATCAAAGCTGTGTGTTATCCAACATTTGGGCTACGTTGAGTATCTAGGACAATTTCACATATCACTCGCAGTGCAGCACAACGGATCCCTACATCTAACCTCGGTTTCTAAACCGCCGGAACGGAGAGCTAATATTCAGATTCATTCAAACTTGTACATTGCGTGGAAGGTAGTCACTTGCATACTAGCATCCATGTGTAAGTCAGCAAGCCAGTGACGACATGGGTGCGACGCCCCGAATTCACGCCCACACGCCCCCCTGTCATCCGAGGCGTCTCGATAATTGCATATTCGTTGTAGTTTCATCCAAACTCCGTTCCACTTCCTTGCAACCCTAACGAACTGCCCAAAACGAAACGAAACAGAAAAGGGGGGGTCTTGGAGGTCCAGGGAACGCAGCAGAGGGGGGGAGGGAGGCGAGGGACGGACGGCGGGAGAGAAGGGGGGATGGGCATGCACCAGGAAAGAAAGGGCAAACCGAAAAAAACCGGGTGGCAGCTTTTTTGAAACTTTTCCCCCTTTCCCCTCCACTCACTCGAAACCCTGATCGTGGTCTCAGGGCGAAAACAATTGGAAAAAAAAATTGTTGACGGCGACGTCGCGGCCTTGCGTCTGCGTGTTCTTTCTCGCGACAAGGAAGGAAATTTGTCACTGCAGGTAACGCTGATCTCCCCCTTCAAGGTCTCGCAGTCGCGCGCTCAAGGCACTGTATCTCTCTCCGAGATTGATGATGGCTTCAATTTTTCGCCGTCGCTCCGTTGGTGCGCTTTTGGCGGGGTAAAGGCGCTGTCAGTCGATCCCCCACCAAAAAAATTACGGTGTTTGTGTTGAGGGGTCCTCGCTCTGCTGGCCTGAGGGTTCAGCAGGCGAGGGCCTCTTTGCTCCCCGCCCTAGCCAGTCAGGGGAGACCCTTCATAAGTCGGGAAAAAACCGGCGTTTTCGCCTTCGGGCATTTGGTCAATTTGAAACGATACAGAGAAGATGTAAGCAAACCCAGAGGTCCCACGTTCGAGTCTGGGTGCGGTCACTAACAATCTCACAGTAGCATGGCCCCTGCACTAAGGATGACACGCTCAATCAAAGAGAAGCTACCAACTTTTTTGAGCTATTTTCTCTTAAGTAGTTTTTCTTTTCTTATTCTGTTCGTCTTCGTAGTTCACCTCCCACCCTAGCGACTTGAGTAGATCTTGTGATCCTTTAGACGCAGTATTTTTATTAGAGCCATGTTGTAGTACGAACGCAAGCGCAAGGCAGTAGAAAACTGTCTAAGGCTGGCGTGGAGCAAAACACCATAAATGGTTGTGAATCGTTAGGTACGGACAGCACATCGAGCTCCGTGTGCTGTGGCCCGCCCACGTGGCGCTTTCACCCAGCCTCCCCTCATCTCCAGTCTCTCTATCTCCGTGCTCCGTGGGCCTCGCTGGCTTCTGGCTGGCTAGGTAGGCTGAAGTGTCACGATAAGGGCCGCCGTTAGCCCTGGCTTCCATAACGAACCCATGTTGTCTCAATGCACGTCGTGTAAACGGCTCGGCCACTTGCAAGCCTGTATGGTGGAACGAATAGAGGCTGATTCTCCATCTCGGCTGGGTAGAAGTCACCCTGCCACTCCCAAGTATCCAGTCTCGTGCATGCTCACCCCGCTTCCATCACATTGGCCTTTCGAGAAGGCATCGATGGATGGGGGACATGTAGGCTTGGTGGAGAGACGGGCCACATTTCAGACGAAGTTCACCATGCGGAGACGGCAGCGTATTTTAAATGCAGATTCATCGTGACGAGGCCCCTACGTACAGAGAGACACTAGGAAACTGAAAGTCAAAAACTAGAACCCTGCCAAATGATTCTTTTAGGTACCAGTCCGCCGCACCTTCGTGGTATTAAGGTGCCAATAGACTCGTGAGCCCTCCACATGCAAGCCAGTTTTCAATCCCACCCATGAGCCGGGGCGCGGCGTGCAACCAAAGAAGCCAACCGCGCCCAGTGACTCGCTAGGTAGCCTTCCGCAATCTATCAACAAACAAAGTCCTGATGAATCTCGAGTAAACGCCCCCAACTGGTATGCCAGATCCGTGCGTGATCGATCGGCAGACCCAAGGGCTTAGTTCGTGAAAAGAGAGTAGTCGTATCCCGTGAAGCGTAACTTAGATGAGGTCGGCAACGTTCATGGGCATCTCCTCAATCTGGGTGCTGTAGAACTGCTCAATCTCTCTCATCATGCGGACATCCTCGGCGGTAACGAAGTTGATGGCAACACCCTTACGACCGAAACGACCACCACGACCGATACGGTGAATGTAGTTCTCACGGTTGGCGGGAAGGTCGTAGTTGATGACCAGGGAAACCTGCTGGACATCGATACCACGGGCCAGAAGGTCAGTGGCAATCAGGACACGAGAAGAACCGGAACGGAACTCCTTCATAATCAGGTCACGCTGAGCCTGGTCCATGTCACCGTGCATAGCAGAGACGGTGAAGTCACGGGCAGTGAGCTTGTCGGTGAGCCAGTCGACCTTCCTGCGGGTGTTGCAGAAGATGACGGCCTGGGTGATGGTGACGGTCTCGTACAAGTCGGAAAGGGTGTCGAGCTTCCACTCCTCCTTCTCGACGGCGATGTAGAACTGCTTGATACCTTCGAGGGTAAGCTCGTCCTTCTTGACGAGAATGCGGACGGGGTCGCGCATGAACTTGGTAGTAACCTCAAGAACGTCCTGGGGCATGGTGGCGGACAGAAGAACGACCTGGGTGCTCTGGGGGAGGAGCTGGAAGATGTCGTAGATCTGCTCGGTGAAACCACGCTACATTGGAGTGTTAGCAGGCAAATTTTTTCCCACGATAGTATTTATAAGAAACATACGGAAAGCATCTCGTCGGCCTCGTCAAGGACGAACATCTTCATGCCGTCGGTCTTGAGGAAGCGGCGCTGGATCATGTCGTGAACACGGCCAGGGGTACCGACGACGACCTGGGGACCGTCCTGGAGGGCCTTCATGTCGTCGCGAACGCTGGTGCCACCAATGCAGGCGTGGCACTCAATGTTCATGAAGTCGCCGATGGCAACGACGACCTTCTGGATCTGCTGAGCAAGCTCACGGGTGGGGGCGAGGATGAGGGCCTGGCACTGCTTGACGTTGGAGTCGATCTTCTGGAGGACGGAGATGGAGAAGGTGGCAGTCTTGCCAGTACCGGACTGAGCCTGGGCAATGACATCGTGACCTGGGCATGGAGTGAGCAGAGTTTACGGCGCACCAGTAGGCGAAGTGACATACCCTTGATGACGGGCATGATGGCACGCTGCTGGATGGCAGAGGGACGCTCGAAACCGTAGGCGTAGACACCTGGCACAAGCGATGTCAGCAAATTGTCGATCGGTGAGGGTATTTCGACCCAATTTTGGGCGCGCGAAAAACATACCACGGAGGAGCTCCGACTTCAGGTCCATGTCGTCGAAGGAGTCAACGGTCTGGTCATAGTTGGACTCGATCTGGCCTGCGAAGAAGATTGTTGTTAGCGACTTGAAGTCTCTTGGAATGCGCTACATGCGAGAGAGGAGGGGAAGAGGCCGTGGTCGTGTTGGTGGGCAAGCGTCAAAATTCGCAGGGATGGCTCGCTGCGACGGGTAACGATGGTGAAGAAAACTGTCGCATCACTTACCCTCAGGCACGTCCTCAAGACCCTTGTCAGCCATGATTGCGGTGTTGTTTTTGGAAGAGATCTAGATCACAAGCACAGCTTGGGACCTAGAAATATCGTCGCGAAGGTGGGGTTGGGCGAGGGGCTGGAAAATTCGCAAACGTCTCGTTGGAGCGTGCGAATTATGTAGACGAAGCGAAGTCTAAGAATTAAATTCTCTTCTAGATTAGATGCTCTTGGCTATAAGCAAGAGCGAAACTGAATCTAGGAATAAAGTGCGTTTGGTTGTTCGTGGGGTGACGGTGCACGTTGATTGTTCGGTGGGAGGTGAAGTTTTTATCAGCGAGCTGCCAGAATTCTTGACCACGTAAAAAATTTCCTGGCGGCGGGCGGCCCCTCGAATTATGCGGTAAGCGAGGTGGCGCTAACGGAGTTGGCGGGCAGGCTGGTACCCTCCATAGCTGCACTGCGGCATGATTAGGGCACGCCCACCGTAGTGAATGGGCTGAAGTGCCCAAGGTGGCACCTGGGACTGGTTGAGAGCCGCGCTGGGAACACCGGAGATAGCTACTGCAGAGCACCAAGGGCGGCAACTGGACGACTGGCTGGCTTCTGACTTTTTTTTTTTTTTTTTTCTGCGTCCCGCCCCCCAGACGCAGTGTGGCGGGATGCCTGCCCAAAAATTTCATCTAGGCATCTTCATGCATTAATTGAATCGTCTAGACATCTCTACCGGAGCATGTGCCCGCCACTCGTACCACCAGCGCCTGCGATGCTAGCCCAGTGACATGATTCCTGGTGCAGGTTTTGCAGCGCATGTCTCTTTCTCCGTTGTCACTGCCTCTTTACTTCCCCCCCATTCTTCAGCCCATCTGCTTGCGTTTAGTTTCTCCAACGCCGCCCGCCGCAGGATCTACCTGCCTGTCTAGCTTGCTTTATTAGCAGCAGGCACATGCTATTGTTCCTGCCTTTCTCCTACAGCAGGAAACATGGCCAACGACAACCTTGTGTCGACCCAGGGACTTTCGTCCAATGACAGGATCAACGGCAACGCTGACACCAACGGTCATGGCTATGACTCAAAGCCTCTCGCGGATGCAGTCATGACCTCTGAGTCAATTCCAACTCATCCTTTGGGCGTGAAACCGCTGGGCAACCAATATCTCTCGGACCGTCCGAACGCTCGGAAACACATCGGAGTCTTCACAACCTTTCCCGATGAGGCTCTTATGATATTGCTGGAATACCTTGACCAAAGCAATTTGAGAAATCTCGGATACACCAGCAAGTTTCTTTATGCCTTCTGCCAGTCCGACGAGTTATGGAAGGCTCTTTTCCTCGAGTAAGTCCATGGCACAACTCGCTGTTAGCCAGCCCTCTACGAAAGTATAAATGGTGGCACCTTATTATCAAGTTTGGGACTACAAGGCGCTGAGAGCTTTTGGTCATCAATTGTTTATTATACCTGGTAGTGTGGTCATGGGGGTCACAGATGACTTTGAATATGGGAAGGACAATGACCACCCGAATGGCCGCATCTGATGTGTTCTGGCTGACAGCATCCTGGTTGTGAATAAGGTCCGGCTAACAGATGGTTAGGTCCCACAATTCGGGCAGATTCGACGGCAAGTGGCAAGGCACCTGGAGGTCGACTCAACTTGGACTGTCACCTGAAAAACGATGCAAGATTGATTGCAGTAACGTCTTCTCAGATGTCCTGCATAGGCCCTTTGTGTGCAGCCATGTGGACCTGACGCAGTTCACCTCGAGGATTCCAAAGAGTAATCAGATCCAGCGTATGGAAACACTGACTTACGAGGAGTTTGCTCAGGAATGGACTGAGGTGCCGTTTATTCTGACCAGCTACATCCAGACATGGCCTGTATGTCATGAGTGGACCATAGATGTCATTCTGCAAAAGTACAAGGATGTCGAGTTTCGCGCCGAGGCAGTTGACTGGCCTTTCTGGACGTACCACGAATACATGAAGAACAGCAATGACGAGAGCCCTCTTTACCTCTTCGACAAGAAGTTTGCCGAGAAAATGGGAATCAAGGTTGGCTATGAGGAAGGCGCGGCGTATTGGAAGCCGGAGTGCTTTGGGCCTGACTTGTTCGAACTGCTTGGCAAGGAGCGGCCTGCCCACCGCTGGCTCATCATCGGACCCGAGAGGAGCGGATCAACCTTTCACAAAGACCCTAACGGCACCAGCGCGTGGAACGCTGTTATCCAGGGAACCAAGTACTGGATCATGTTCCCGCCTACCGCACAGGTTCCAGGAGTCTACGTTTCAAGCGACAGCAGCGAAGTGACGAGCCCGCTCAGCATCGCTGAGTGGCTCCTTGAGTTTCATGATGAGGCGCGCCAGCAGCCAGGCTGCATTGAAGGCATTTGCAGGGAAGGCGAGATCTTGCATGTACCAAGCGGATGGTGGCATTTGGTCGTCAACGTGGAGAACGGCATCGCACTAACACAGAATTTTGTGCCCAAATCCACCTGTCTGTACCAGCTCACAGAAGTCTTGAGCTTCCTGAGAGACAAGGCAGACCAAGTCACGGGCTTTAAGCAGGAAGTAACGGACCCGTACGGTCTGTTTGTCGAGCGGCTACGCCTGGACCAGCCAGAGCTGCTGGAAGATGCCATGCGAAACTTGGACAAGAAGACCAGCCAGAAGAAGAGAAAGTGGGAAGAGGCTGTGGGTGTACATGATACCGAAGCAAGCGGCGGGGGAGGCTTCAGCTTCGGATTCGGCGGTGACTTGGATGACGATGAAGTGTCATGAGGGAGGAATTGCGGACGCAACGTGCTCGCTGAGAAGCCGCCGTGCGTCTCTACAATTCAAACAGAGGCATAAGGTTACTGGTTAGCCGAACATCAAAAGCGATACTGATTTCTGATACTTGCACGTTGACGGGTGACAGAGCTCTATGGTGTTCCCGATTAATCAAGACACTACCATCAATACACGTGTGAAATCCGGGGCTGAGGTTAGTGTCACTGTCAGTAGGTAGATTGGACGAAGATCATCCAACCAGAGGTCACATGGTCTTACCACTGCGGCAAGTATCAGCCATCACACTCTGTGGGACACGATATAAAAATGGGTTGGTGTGCCATGAGATGGCATAAGGGGTGCACAGTGACTGGCTGAGAGTGCAGGTGAAAGGATAATGGCCTTCCTTCTAACAGGTTCTCGGTGAAAGAAAACCTGCAACTCGCAGCCTTGGTTTCGGCGTCTCTCAGCTCGCACCCATTGTCATGGTTCAAGGTGCCTAGCTGGTCGCCTTGTTCTGCGGTAGTGTTGCTGCAGGTGGCCCAATCAGACGAGTTCATCCAAAGGCTCCAAATCTTGCACCGAGGGTTGTTTGTTTTTCGTGCCCTCGTCTTCGACTCCGCGGGCTTGAGCTTTGCGTGCCTGGCCTGCGCAGTCACGCAGTTTGGCAGTCAACTGTCATGTTCCCTTCGAGCCAGGAGACGTGGAAAAGGGGAGATCTGAGCCAACCTGGGCCAGACCCGGCGAACTGCCCGTTCCCTTTAATGAGGTGGTAAGTCTGAGAGAGGGGCCACCGCAGTGGAGGGAGCGACCCCACGCTCCAACCTTGATCGCTCACTGGACGGCCAGCTGGGGCGCTCCCCGCCCTGCGCTTCGGATTGGATGTCTGGAGGCAACTCAGGGGATACGTACCGCTGGGCTTTGATTTCACTGACACCGGGCCCCCAGTACCCCGACCCCCGGGAGCTGTTGGCGGCCTGCTGGTGTTGCTATTGCTGGCGCCGCTGCATCATCCCTTCCTCCACTGTCCACAGCAGTCGGTCAGGGCAGCTCCCCAATGGAAGGTAATTATTGCCAGCACCACCTAGCACCGCAGCAGCACCTCTTCCCCAGCAGCGGGCACCACGCACGCACCCCAAAGAGATACCTGCCTGCGTTGCCTATCCTCCACCCACTCATCCGTACCTCTTCCGCTGCAGCAGCAGCGACGGCAGCAGCAACAGACAGCAATAGCGCCATAGCAGGCCCCCCCGTTCCCCAGCTGGTCCTAGTCATCAGCTGAAGCCTGAAGAGGGAAAGTAATACGTGTATGTGCACCTTGTCGCCGCGTTTCCTCCACCATCCATACATACCATCATCTCCCGTCCCCCTCACGCGTGTCTTGCTCTTCGCCTTCCAACGGTCGGCAATAAAGCAGGCCAGAGCCAGAAGGGAAACCACAAATACACAAGGACCTGACGGCAACAGCTCGAGCTCGAGCTTCAAGTCTCCTTTGTGACGGAAGCATCAACCACCTCATTCAACCCGACAAGGAGCTCGAGACAATCCCTCCTCCGCCCCTGGCTCCGAAACCATGTGACGGAACCATCGAGTCTCGCCCACCATCTTCGCTCCCCGTCCCATCGCTATCCCGTTCGTCTTTCCTTCGATCACTCGTCGAGCACCTCACACACGGACACCAAGTCTCTAGCGCATCCTTTCTCTAGTAATACCGACGGTGCTCTTGCACGCACAACGCCCTCCTCGTTCGACCTCGTCCACCGCCGCCATACCTTACCGTACACGAAGGCTGACATCCCACGTCAACTCCAACGCCAACCCTCAGCCCTGCCTGCCACTGCCTCTGTCTGCCCGTCGCCTGCCTTACGTAGTACTTGCTCCACCCCAGACCGAAGACATACCATAGACTCGCTGCCTCGCCGCCTCGCTACCGGCTCCAAACCATACATTCGCAAACAATACATATTCTTTACCGCATCATACCTGCCTGATTCTGCCCCGAACGGGCTGCGTCTCGGTCCCAAACCGCGCAATCATGGTTTCCGACGAGCACTACGAGATCTGCCTCCCTATCCTCCAGGATGCCACCCTTGAGGACGAGGATAAAACGGATCAGCTGGAGGATCTACTCCGAAGCCAGACAAGCTTGTCTGGCCCTTCATTAGACAATGCGATTCTCGATGTGTTATGGCGATACCGCGATGGCGGCGGCAGCTCAACCTCGCCTCCTCCCATCCGCCAGACCATCCTTCGACGACCTTCGCCGTCCCCATGGCGCGGCAATGCCACTCCTCTCTCTGGCTCGCCACGCCTCGGGGTCAGTCCACTGGCCCCTCCCGGCTTCGTACCGTCTTTCTCGAGAACGAAATCGTCAGCCGCCTCTCCTTTTTCTTCGCCAAGGCCGTCTCCGAGACTCGCCTTCGCGACGCCCGTCATACCTAATAGCCCGAATCTGAACGCGTATGAGTTCGCCAACGATAGATCCCCTTCCCAGGAAACTTTCGGCGATTACCAGACCGAGAACGTAGAGTGGCTCGTTGCGGACGATGCTATAAGCATCACATCATCAGTCGGGACGTCGAGTGGTCTGAACGCTGCCGCTCCCGAGTTCTCGTCCATGTCATCGCAGCAGGCTGACATGTCTCCTTACGATATGCTTCGCTCTATACTCGGTCAGACGAGAACCGACGATGAGATTGAAGCTGCTCTTGCGCTACATGGGTACGACCTGAGCGCAACGATAGTGTCCATCATGGAGAGCCAGGCGCAAGAGAATGGATTTAGCGCTGCGTTGCACCCTGATGACTCCAAGACTTCTCTTATTGGCAAAGCTCTAGCTGCAGAAGGCCGCCCAACCACACCTGCTGGTGGTCAAAGATCAGGGGTCATTTGCAAGTTTTACATGTCGACCGGACAATGCCTTCGGGCTGATTGCCGATTCAGCCATGACCTGAGTAATCACCTTTGCAAGTGAGTTGACATATTCTAAACATTCAACAAAGCGATGACTAACAAGATGTTTAAAGATACTGGGTGATGGGAAATTGCTTAGCTGGCGAGACTTGCATCTTCTCTCACGACCCAGCGCATTTGATGAACAAGCTTGCGTTGGATGGCTCCAGCACTCCGCCAACAAAGCAAGCCAATAACCTGGACTTAAACTCTTTTCCGGCACTTCCTCCGGGCACCCCGGAACATCTCGCTGGTTTCGCTGGAGGTGTTAACATCACTGTTGGAATCACACCTCCGCCTGGTTTGAAGCCCTTTTATCAAGACCAAAGCCCAAGGCCCCGATCTCGTCCTGGAAGCCGACACCAGCAAGCAAGGGAACCTGTAGCCCCGTCGCTGGACGACGCAGACGCTTTCCCCACGCTTGGCTCAGCTGCAGCAAAGCAAGGCAAGAAGCATCATGGAAAGCGCGGTGGACACGGGCATAATCACAAGGAAAACTTTGGCCCTAGTTCTCTGGCTGAAATCGTCAAGATGTCGCCCTCTCCGAGCTCGGCTTCCCTTCGCCAAGATACGAAGAAGCTCGGTCGAAATGGGAGCTCCACGAATATCCGAAATGGAGAAAACAGTGCCGCGGCGCAGGCAATTCCTAACCCTAAACACATTCCCTGGCTAGAGACCGGGGAGCGCGCCAACAAGGCATACCTCAAAGCCAGACAAGAGGCCATCAAGCATGGCGGTCTGCGCAACAAGTTCCTTCAGAGGTGAGTCAAAATCAGGGTCAGCGGTCCAAGGGAAGAGCTAACCATTTACCCAGCGCCGCGCAAGCTTGGAACCGCAATGACGCAAGGGCTGCCAAAGCCCTGAGCCTCAGAGGTCAGAGCGAGAACGACCTCATGCGAAAAGCTCATAGGGAGGCTGCTCGTGAGTTGTACGAGGAGCGTAATAAGGGCAACGCGAACAGCTTAGAAATCTACGTCGACCTCCATGGACTTCACCCTGAGGAAGCAGTAGAGTACCTAGAGCGGGTGTTGATGGAGAATGTTAAGGAGAGCAGATCGATCTACGCCATCACAGGTACCGGGCATCATAGCAAGAACGGCAAGGATAAAGTGGGTAAGGCAATCCGCAACTTTTTGAATGAGTGGAGGTATGCCTACCGCGAATTCTCCGTTCCAGGCGACCGCAACAACATGGGAGGGATTCTGGGCATTGATGCTCGAAGCTACGACAAGTCGTTGGCTCGCGAAGGGACGTCGAGTGCGGATGAAAGCAAGGAGGAGGTTGACATCCTGAGTCAAGGAGTGGAGATCGGGGATGGTAAGGTTAGGCTCCTGGTGAGGGACCCTCCCAAGGGTCCTAGTGGGCGGCGATGACGAAAGTAGAAAGAAAGAAAAGAAACTAGAAAGAACGAGTAGAAATGTCAGAAAGACGCTCCAGGGAGCAGTCTCCCCTTTTTTCAAATCTTCGAGTCGGCACCTAGCATGTAAAGCGTTTGGCAGAATGCGGCGGTCGTTGAGCGTAAGGTGCCGGGTACATAGAAGAGCCGCTTCGTCCTGAAGTTCATGCAGGGAAGGAGCATCGAAAGCTTCCAGCTTGTGTGGAGCCCCTACACTGACTGACTGCACCGGGCTTTGGGGCGGATTTAGGCCGGGCGCTCGGTCGGCAGGCAAACCGAGCCGGACGGGATGCACAGCTGTCGCTGTCGCAGCTTGCCGCCTGCCTAGTGCCGCCTGCTGCCTCTGGCAATTGCCCTTTTGGGGACGTGCGGACATGCATCGAGCCCCCCCTGTATGCCAAGCGATTGAAACCGTCCGCAGGAACGTGAGACACCTTCACTGCGTTTGCCTATGAAACGTTCCTTTCCCGTTTAACGCTCTAAGCTGCATCTTCAGTCGCCTCGCCCGTTTGCTTTTGTTGAGGTTCCTCATCACTAAGTTTGCAAGCTGTCGTAATATTCGACCTGCCCGTTTTGCTCATACTTTTGAGAGGCGCAAACTTCCAGGAGCTGTGGAATCCTAGTGAGATTGGTAGGTACCCAGTTGCCAGTCCACCGCGCTTGAACGGGACCCGCGCGTCGTCGATCGAGAATAGAAACCTTGGCTGACACTACCACCTTTTGCGCAGCTGTGCCAGTGGCTTAGCTTACCTCATCGCTTGTAGGCTTGCAAGTAAGCGCTTCGAACGTCGCGACTGCCGTCTCGTCCGTTCCTCTCCCTCGACAAAGCTCTCTCCCACACCTCATCCTAGTGTCCTTCTTCCTGTTTTGTTTCCATTCGAAATGGCTAGATGAGTGCCGAGCCAGTCAATTGCGAATCACACCTAGACTAGAACAACGAACCCCTCGATCCGCCCGACTGCCCCGCGGCATACCTCATCCGGAGGCTCCGGTCCCAACCCAGTAAACCGACCGTCCACGATGCCGGCCGACTACGAGTCCGCAGCGCGGGCGCTTTCCATCTCCCCGAATCCTTCATCCCCAGAGAACGACCGCAGCGACATCCGCCCGCCATGGTCCACGTCGCGATCATCCCGCCGCCTGTCCAGCGCCCGCTTTGGCAACCGTAAGACGACCGCCCTCTCAGCCGTCAACCGTGCGATCCAGTCAGCAGTCAAGACCGGTAACAGGTTATGGACCATGTACCTCGGCCTCTCCCCCGTCCAGCGTGTTGCGGTCGCAGTATTCCTGCTCGTCGTCAACGTTCTCGGCCTGCTCTTCCTCATCTACTCGCACGCAATCTTCAAGTGGCTGGCCCCGGTATCACAAAAGTGGAGGGCGCTCCCGGGAGGATGGCTGATTATCTGGGCCTTTACGTTCATGACTGCCTTCCCGCCCATGATTGGGTACAGCACGGCCATTTCCGTGTCGGGGTTCGTCTATGGCTTCCCGCTGGGTTATCCGATTGTCGCGACGGCGACGGTGGCGGGCAGCCTGACGGCGTTCTATACAAGCCGAACGATATTCAGCAGCTATGTCCATAGACTGGTCGGGCAGGATCATAGGTTCATTGCGCTGGGACAGGTACTGAGGAAAGACGGCATAAAGATGTTGACGGCTGTGCGCTTTTGTCCCTTGCCGTACAGTTTGTCCAACGGCTTCCTTTCGACCATCCCCTCGATCAAGCCGTGGGCTTTCGCAGTCTCGACCGCTCTGGCAAGGTAAGCCCCTCTCTCCCCTATATGTCTGGTCACAATGCGACGACTAACATCAGATAGCCCCAAGCTGCTTGTCCACGTCTTTATCGGCAGCCGCCTGGCCCTCCTCGCTGAAAAAGGCGACGAGATGTCCGCCGGTGGCAAGGCCATCAACTATATCTCCATGATCCTTGGCGGCGCCGTCGGTCTGGTCGTCGGCTACGTTATCTACAACCGCACCATGGCTCGCGCCGCCGAGCTGGCGCTCGAGCAGGCCGAGTCCGAGGGCGCCGTAGCCCCCGGGAGAGAAGGAGCGCCGGATTACTTTGACGTCGAGGCTGGCCTCGTTGACCCCGAGGACGTCGCTGCGCTTATGGACGATGACGACATTTCGCTCTGGGCCCGCGAGGCAGTGGATGACGAGGAGACCCAGGTCGGCGGGTATTATGACGATGATGACAATGACGACAATGGAGATGGTCTCAAGGGACAAGGGACAAAACACAAGGGTGACGATGACCGGGATGAGGAGAGCACCGGGTTCAAAGATGCGGATTAAGGTGTAGGTCGTTCTCTACGCCGATTGTGGTAGACATAGAATTGGACTACTAGACATAAGGCGCATCATGAAATTGAGTAAAATGAACGTAGCCAGGGACTCAACATGTGACGCTTTCATGACCAAATATCTCATATTTTGTGTCTCGTGGTATCATACGGACGAGTTCTGTCTGCTATCCCCTGCGTCCAATCATCCCTTTTGCCCGGACTTCGTCAATCTGTACGTAAAACTCGTGCTACACCACGGAATCTCGAAGGTGACATGAAGCAATGTGTCAAAAGTCCCATCCCAACGCCTTCGCTAAAATAAGACAAACTCCTCCATCCCGATATCAAACCCGACTGTTGTAATTGCGTGTGAGAAGAAAATGTCGTAGGGAACGGCGGAAAAAGGATTATTGCCGTCCCTGAAAATGCTGCATGAATTGTATCGCTTGCTCAATAGGGTAACCGATGAAGACAGGTCCTGTGAACACCATCTGAGGGACGCCGCCAGCGAGGGGTTGCTTGTATGCGTCTAGAGGCGGGTTGATGAAGGCTGGCTGAGGCGGCGGAGGACTGTGTGAAGTCTGGGGCTGGGGCTTGACCGGTGTTGAAGGGAGTTCCACCGGGTCTGGCTCAGGCTCCGGGTGCACGAAGGTCTGCTCGCCGGTGTTGGGCGTTGGAGAGGTGAAGCCCATGGCGGCCAGCTGAGCATGGTCGAACGGGCATTTACCTCCGGTCTTTGGGGCAGACCCGGCGTGGTCGCTCGTTCCGTTGGGCATGAACATGGGCGCCGGCGGTGGTGAGACGGGTCCGGGGTCTTCACGGGGCGCGGCCATTGCCGCCATCTTTGTGTGGTCAAAGGGACACTTGCCAGTCTTCGCCGGGGTGTCCTCCGGTGTGTCCTCGACGTCTGTGCCAGATGGCATGAAGACGGGAGCAGGTGGCGGCGACATGGGAGGGCGTTCGTCGTCATCCAGGCCGTTGCGCTCGTACACTGGAACCGAGATGCCCCACGGTCGGCTAGGTGACTCGCCTACCCGAACCTCCTTCAGGGGCCGATCGAAGTGACTCTGCCGCGCCTCCTCGGCATCCTCCAGCGCCGGCAGCGACTGTTCGGCATCGTCAGTGGCGGTAGCAGTGACGGCCTTTGCCCAGTTCTCAACCCTCTCATTCGATGCCCGATCAATCTCTTCTTGCTCCTGCTGAGACGATGGCAGCATGGGCTGGTGCAGCGCACTAAGTCCTTGTATCATGTTCACCAGGTTGCCGTACTTTGCATCGAGCTTCTTGATCTGCACTTCGTTCTTCTGATATCTCCTCACGCAGACCTCATGGCTGCGAGGCAGTTCGTGCTTGTGTGTTTCGACGTAGTGCGCAATCTCTTCGGGGGAGTGTTGATCGAGGTAACGGATCGGGCATTTCGCGGGCGAGCCGCCGTTGGCAGCCGCCTGAGACGTGGATTCTTCGAGCATAGCAGCGCAAATGGGGTCGGCGGAGTGATGTGGCGTGGGGTCCTGCGACCCGTTTTCCGCGCTTTGCGCATCACCCTCGACGGCGCCATCCACCTCCGCCGTCTTTGGTGCGGAGAAAGGACATTCCAAGTGTCCCTTCTTGCCCTCGATTGTAAAGTCCTGCTCGAGCACAGTCGACATGGAGGTTCCGGTTTCGGCTTCACGAGAAGAGGTCTGTCTGCTAGAGTCGCTCGTCTTGCTCGTTTCGCCGACGGACGACAGTTGTTGGGCGACGCGCCGGCCGTCTCGGATGATGAGTGCGATTTGGTTCCGGGTATCCAGCTTATTGCGCTTCGGGAGAGGGACTGCTTGGGAAGCTTCTTCAAGAGATGGATTTGCTAGTTCGGGAGGCAGCTGTAGCTTTGCCAGTACTTCTGAAATCTCGGGAGCAGCAGGTGCATGTTTGTCGGCGAGGTATTGGTACTGAAGGCACTGTCGGGTCAGCATGAGTTGTCACCGAGGCTGGCCGGAGAGTCGCAAGTCAGGAAATGGTAAAAACTGGCCGGTCTTTGCTCCTAAGTAGTACAGAGGAGCTCTTGATCTAGAGCTAAGGTTGCTCATCATGCAAGGCAAGGAAAGGGGTGCGTGTGTGAGAGTGTCGCATGGCGCCGGGGCGGCGGCTGACAAACCCACTCGCGTGTGTTTCGAGGGTTCTCCGTACCTGTTCGTGAGCGAACCTGAGCTTGTGCTCCAGGATCGTCTTCCTGTCGGTCAGGATCTGGACTTCATCGGCGAGGGCGTTGAAAGAATCAACCAGCGTTTGAGTGAGATGTATGTAATTCATCCCACTGTTTGTGACTTCGCGATCGGAGCATGTGGGATGTGGCATGAAGGGGCGGAGGGACGTCTTTGATGTTTGGAGTGATGGGGAGACTTTCGTTTCGCTACCCATCTTTGCCGTCAGGACGCTTGTCCCCCGGACAGTCAGTCACAGTGGGAAGGGCGACGGGCGGTCCATGGGCTTGGAGTCCCGACCATATTTTGCCGAGCCGAGCAACGCTTCGGATCCTGGGCGTGGGGGCTGATGTCATTGGCTGGCTATCGGCGCTAAGCTTATGTAAGAGGTCTAGACCGAGCTGTACCTCGAAGAAAGTGAGCCTATCAAACCATACCTACTAGGTAGGCCATATTTACCAAAACCTCAACCAAGGCGAAGCCAAGAAGAATTTAGTTACTTTCAAGACTGTCCAAAATTCGGACTCATTGCGTCGTCCCTGGTATGCAACATAACATGGGCTTTCGGCGTTGGGTTTTGTCAAATTTCCTGCCTTAAGCCCATCAAAACCGACTTAAGACTAAGCTAGCCAGCCAAGTTGAGTTATGCTAGCAGAGCTTAGAATCCACTTGGTATTTTTTACATGCTTCCAGGGTGCATCAAAGGACGACATGAAGCTACTCATGCATTTCCGGCCTTGTTCTTGCACAGTTTCTCCATACGTTGATTTTTGATCATGCTTACCCGCAAGAGATAATTGGTAGGATCTAACGAGACTACAGCAAAGAATATTCACTGGAAGGACATCCAAGAAGATGAAGTTTCGAGGCAAGAAGCAGCTTGTGGGGTTGGATCGGGAAATTGCACTGTGTCCTCCGGCAAAGGTCGCCGCTGCTTACACTGTGCGAAAGCCCCAGTTGCCGTTCTGAGAAGGTGCGACGTCTCACTGCACTTATCTCATTCAACGACTGCGCGGGGTTGCCAAAGTCGCTCAAACCATCGAACTTACAATCTGCCACGTCAAGCATTCTTCTCTGCAAAGATCAGTCTAGTACTTTCTGTATCTTTCCTTGGGGGTTTTCAGTCCCATCATGGCGTCCAAAGTGGTCAATGCAGCAAAGCTGCTGAGCAAGAGATCCCATGTCATTCCAGGTAAGTTCACCCAGATACCATTTCCTCGCGTCTTATACGCATAGAAACAACACTAACGCACCTCCAAGGGCAATTCCTCGTATCTGAACTCTTCTTTGAGGTACCCAAGGACTACAACAACCAGTCTGCAGGCGTCCTCAGGCTCTTCGGCAGAAGTGTCACCAAGCACGAGAGACCCATAGTTGCCCCGACTGAGTCTGAGAAGAGGCAAGCTGAGCAAAAGCCATGGATGGTGTTCCTGCAGGGAGGACCCGGATTTGGCAATCCAGAGCCTCAAGACAGCCCTGTCACCCATACCGCACTTGATCGGGGATATCAAGTTCTGTTCCTCGACTACAGAGGCGTCGGCCTGAGCTCGCCCGTGTCAGCTGCTGCTCTAGCACTCCATGGCGATGCTCAGAAACAGGCCGATCACCTCAAGCTGCTTCGTCAAGACAACATCGTCAAGGACTGCGAAGCCGTGAGGGCCTACCTCACAAAGGATTTCCCGGAGGAGAAGAAGAAATGGTCCCTTTTCGGACAGTCTTTTGGTGGTTTCGTCATTCTGACATACCTCTCCAAGTACCCCGAAGCTTTGCGCGAGTGCTTCCTGACTGGCGGCCTTGCCCCCGTTGGCAAGAAACCGGAGCAGGTCTACGAAGCAACCTTCAAGAAAGTCATGGAGAGGAACCACGCATACTACGAGAAGTACCCTGAGGACATTGAGAATGTCCATCAGGTGGCCCGGTTCATCCAGGAGAAGAAAAAGATCAATCTACCTGGTGGCGGCTTTCTCACTGTTCCTCGGCTGCTCACCTTGGGACTCGCATTCGGCGGCCACGGCGGTCTCGATTCTGTCCACAGCACGGTTCTCAAGTTGAAGACAGACCTCAAGAATTTCGGCTTTTTCACCCGCTCAAGCCTCTCCGATATTGAGAACGCCACAGGATTCGACAACCACATCATCTACGCTATCCTCCACGAGGCCATCTACTGCGAAAAGCCAGGCTGGGCTTCTGACTGGGCGGCTTACCGAGTCGGCAAGTCCTTGGAACAGTTTTCCTGGTTGGCACAAGAGCCTATAATCTCCGAGGTCGCTGGGCCTCCCCTCTTCTTCTCTGGAGAGATGATTTTCCCGCTGCACTTCGAAACGTACCCGGAATTGATTGAGCTGCGCGAGGTCGCCGAGATTCTTGCCAAGTTTACTGACTGGCCTGAGGACCTGTACGACCACGAGCAACTTCGCAACAACGAGGTTCCTGTATATGCCGCCAGCTACATTGACGACATGTACGTCGACAATCAATTCGCCAGGGACACGGCGGCCCTAGTCAAGGGTTGCAAAGTATACGAGACGAATCAGCTGTACCACTCTGCGCTGCGCTCCAAGACAGAGGACGTGATGAGGGAGCTCTTCAAGCTGCGGGACAACCCTATTGACTAGTCTATTCTCCCCTACATGTCTACGATGCCAAGGGCACTTCAGATGGGTATCTTTGATGCTGTCTTCCTCCAGAAGCCGCATCTCTTTTCCAAATGGTCCAACTCAGCGGTCGCAAACCCCGCGTCCACAATTGTCCATTCTTTATTTTCTTTCAGGGAGGGCACTCCGGCCGCCGTCGATGGCGACAGTTTGAGAGCGTTAGGGTCACCGGTCTGGAAGAAGGATGCAAAAGCGCCTGAAAGTGTTAGTTAGAGTAGCGTTCAATGAGAGCTTTCTCAAAACACCTACCAGCATAGCCTTGGTATCGGGCTGGATCCGTCTTCTGCACCGCGTTGACCTGGTTCCACTGCTTACTGTCAGCCGGTTGCCCTATCCATCATTCAAAATCCACCTACCCAAACGGTATCACTGGCGTGCTTGGATGGGTTGAGCGAATACTCGCCCAACCACCCACCCTTCGACGCCGAACCTGCGAACCAAAACGCAGGGCACGACAACACAGCGTCCCTGTAAACAAGACCCGCTCTCACATATGTGGTGTTATATGAGATGGTCTCCGTTATACCGGCTGGGGGGTAAAGCTTTTTCGCGGCCTCGATCTCGCAGTCACCAAATCCGGGAAGAAATCCTCTCAGCCACTTCTCAAACGACGCCTCACTCGAATTGAAAGAAGGCGACCCCGACCCCGCTTCGCTCTGCAGCCCGGGCGGGATGAAGTTCTCGCCCTCATGCGTGTTGTGAAGCGCAAAGGCCAGGTCCATGTTCACGTTCCCCTTTTCGGTCGCCTCGCTCAACGGCTCTCGCAGAAACTCCCCGTCGATCACGGGCGACCACGTAAACGAAGACGTGTTGTACTGATGCGAAGTCGAAATAGCGAGGCTGGCATCCCGGATCGTTTGCACCTCGGCCTTTTTCAAGCATGCCAAGCTGTCCGCTCCAGCACAACCCGTCCGTCTCGCAAGCTCATCGTAGAGAGCCTGCGCTTCGGTGCTGTCGTAGCGGTACGTCTTCGGCCAGAACGGGCTGCTCGCCATCGCCTTGCGGAACAGCTTCTGCTTCCCTCCTCTTCCGAGTGCTTGGGCGAGCACGCTGCCCCCGCCGGCCGACTGGCCCCATATCGTGACGTCGTCCGGGTTTCCACCGAACTGCGCGATGTACTTTTGTGTCCATTTCAGCACGGCTTCCTGGTCGAGGACTTCGCGCAACGTTAGCATTTTCGCCATTTCATATTCCAATGAATCTACTTACGGCCCGGGTTGAGGTCGGACTTGGGATCAGCGGCGATTTCCTTGCCTGGGAGGAGGCCGAAAGCATTCGTGCGGTAGTTTGGATATATGAAAAGCATGTCTGAGGCATCGGAGACGTTGAGGATCGGATACGCGGACGGCGGGATCGAGAAATAAGCACTGCCTTGTACGAAACCTCCCCCGTAGAAAGTCACACTGTTTGCGTTGCTGGTCAGCTGGAAGACGACTCTTTTCGACGCCAGAGGCTACTTACACCACTGGTTTCAAGGGCTGCGATTTCGTCCACGGACGTGAATAGAGGCCAAGATACAGACAGTCTTCGGAGCCATTGACCTGCAAACCCAGGTTTCGTCAGCCTACACCATCCTCTGATGACTTTTGCTCGCATGGAAGCCAGAAACTCACTGTCCGCTGCGGGCACATGTCAAACGGCTGGCTCGAGTCATAGACCCCCTCGATACTCTGCGGCGGCTGCGGTCCACGGAACCGGTTCTCTCCCACGGGCGGCGAGGCGTAGGGAATCTTCTGCCAAAACGAAATGTTGTAAGTCTCGGAATACGCGCCTTGGAAGCTTCCGTAGTCCGTCTCGGCGAGGAGGTACGTCTGCGTCTGGCGGGCTTGTGCTTGGGGGAGCGCAGCTACGGCGCCGGCGGCCGCGAGGGCGGTGAGCACCGCGGTGGTGAGTGTCGACGGCATCGCAGGGCAGGAGACACGCAGCTCTCAAGCTCTCGGGGAGTTCAGCACCGTGAGATCGGTCTCATGATGCCCAGATCCTAAGGGCTACAGGGCGGATATATACATGGCCAGCTTCGCAACGGCTTCGGCCCAAGACGAAGCGACGGAACCCGGGGGGGAGGGGCGTGATCCCAAGGGCATGGGAAATTAAGCAAAACCTAACCTCGTCATCCGAATCCAGGCTTACCATCAGGAACCGGTGCCCCCCGTCCTTACACTCTGGTTTAGACTCCGTCTTGTGGGGTAAACAACACCAATGGTGGGGTTCCGGAGCTTGAACCCCAGAATCGTGAATAGTTTGCGGGGACCCCGGGAGGGGGGCTGGGCTCGGTGATTCTCCTCAATCATGTACCGAAGCTGGATGCTGCAATTTCTCCGCACCGGACGAGCTGTGTAAGTTGGTCACGCACCACACCATCACACACGAAAGAAAAAGAGATGGGATGTTCTTCACGGCTGAAGGGAACCACTGGTCTGCGAATTTGCTATGAAGCTACTTGCACGGCATCATCTGTGACGACGTTCGGATGCAACGGCAGCGGCGGCATGGGGAAAAACGTGTTTGTTGCTCTGTTTCGGCCCAACTCAACAAACCACCCCTGCCTTCGGACCAGGAGTGATGAGTCGCGCGGTTCTAGTTCAGCTTGATGATACCATCGAGTACCACCTCATATCAATAGATCACATGCGCCACGGGAAAGGGACCTGCATACGTCGATCGGATGAACGGACTGAGGCGCAATAGTACACTGGGGTATGTAATTCTGCTTCGGAATGATGGGGTAACAACCACACAGCAATGGTCCCCTGTGGATGGGAAGCTGGGATAGTACAGCCCGCTGGAAGGGCTCCATCAAACAAACTTTCGCCGCGACGACCAACGTTACTAGACTACATTTCAAACCCGGAAACCCTTCACAAACACCATTGGACAAAATATTGACAAGAGATAAGTGTTCGTGTTTCTGGTCTCAAAAGTAAGCAGCCGTGCCAAGCGCACGAATAGAGAGAAAATATTACGCCGCTCCTCGTTAGGAATGTCTCCATCACCACGGAGCCGGGTGCCAGTGAGGTTGCGGTGGCGGTGGCGGGGGATGCCGCATATGCGGAGGCAGAGGCGCGCCGACCGGCCAGACGGGCATTGGATGGGCGTGCGTTGCTCGTTCCATGGACGGAAGCGTCCTGCTCCCCAGGTCCTCTTCTCTGCGCATGGCCGTCTCGCGAAGCATCAGGGCCGCCACCTCCGGGTGGCCGATCAAGAACTCGGACGTCTGCTGCGGTGCTCTCTGCCACAAAAGCGGCTGCAGAAAGCCGACTCTGGCAAATATCATCTTCAACAGACCGTCGGACTCGGGCACTCCGGAGTACAGTTTCGAGCACAACGCCAAAACGGCCGGCTGGGCCGCATCGGACCCGGCGGACTCGAGCATGTCGACGCAGTGACGCATGATTGCCGTTTTGAAGTCGTCCATCAGGAACTTGTTGGCGGTGATGTACACGTCCAGGCTGAGCTCGTACGTCAGGAGCCAGGTTCGCATATCTTCACCCCGTATACGATCGCCATCGATGAAGTCCTCGTTACCCGACGCGGGATTGTCATTCGAGGGCGTTGAACCAGGCGGTGTGAGAATCTGGGGCCGACTGCGACGCCGGCGGTGCGGAGGGATGAATGCTGGCCGCGTGAGAGGCACGGGAGGCCCTGGCATCATGTGCGGCATGGGTCCGCCGGGCATCGGCCTTGAGCGGCCGACGCCACAATTCCAGCATGGCGACGTGGACCCGGTCGTGGTGGTGGTGCAGCGCGGACATCTGCAATCTGGGCGGTGTGCGCCGGGTTGCTTGCGGTTCTGACGCTCCCATTGCCGCTCTCGCCGCCGTTGCCGCCGCTGCGCCCGTAGTCGACTTCTAGCGCTGGCATCGCTGGCCTCCGACGATGAAATTTCCGATTCCGATTCGCTTTGATATCCAGTTTCTTGTGCTTTGCCCCGGGCCGACTCCTCCTGGTCCAACGCCGATGCGGCGGGCCTGATGGGAATGAAGCTCTTCTGGTAAAGAAAGGCGACGAGAAAGTGGAATATGGCGGGGTCTTCTTCTGGGAAATCCATCGATTGTGCCTCAGCCTCTTTGAAATCGCCACAGAGCGCTTTGCGGAAGTATTCGGTCGTCACCAAGATGTCCCTGTGAACTTGGAAAATCTCTTGGTTTGGGACTCGGCCAACACGAAGCGGAATGATGGCTGAATTGTATCGGCCATCTGCGGATGTCAACCACAAGTCCTCGCGAGGGCTGGGTTCATCTTTTCGCTTCTTCTCCTCGAACGTGTCATCAAGTACAATCACACTCGGAGAGTCGGCTGTTGATGTCCTCAGGACATCGCCCAAAGTCCGCGCAACATCTCCTGTACTGCTGCTGCTGCTGCTGCTGCTTCCTCCATTTAGACCGCGAGAGACGGCAGACATTGAGAAAAACGCGCTCGACACACTATTGGTCGGTTCCTTCGGTGTGGTGGTACCGGTCGGCGGTGGATATCGAGGATCGTTAGCAACCTTGGAAAGCTGACATGAATGGCCGGGACAGGACTGCAACCAACAGACCGGAGAGAGACGTTTCCAGCTGGATGAATGAGGTTCGAGGAGCGACGGGCTTCATATAGGCTCGGATTGCGCGCAAGACCACCAAGGTCAGGCAGCCACACCACTGGAGAGGTAAGAATTATGCACAAGTCGAACAAGACGTGGACGGATGAGGGTGGGTAGCTCGGTGGGCGGTGGCTGTCAGACCTTTGTTGGCCGCGCCCAGCAGCCTTGCGACCGCCAACTATGGCGAGGCGCATCTGGGTCACTAGGAGTCCGCCGGCCGAGTCCCGTTCGGGACATGGTCGATTTTTCTTTTTCCCGCTGCGTCTTCTGCTTCCCTGCTGTTCCTGCTGTGTAACTAGTGCATGAACGGTTCTATCGTCGCATGGAAGAGTCGAGTGCATGTCAGGTGTTACCTACAACTTGGTGTCGGCTTGACACCATTCGCCAGTCTCCGTCAGTCGCAACCGAAGTTCTGCGTCTGTCTCTCCCCTCGGCCTTGGTGCTTGGCTAGCGACTTTTCTCGGGAATGCCACCCACCTCGGTCTGCGTTCCATCCCATGTCTTTCTTTCTTGTGCCTCTTGTCTGTCTACCTATAGCTTGGCCCTTGGCCCCGCGCAACTCCGGAACGGGACGCACGCAATCGCCGCACCGCACCGCAATGCACCACCATCCCGTATTTGTCCATGTGACGAGCCAATGTTGCTTTTTCACGTCTCGCGCCGTTGACACCCATCTTCTTCTTCGACGACCTGACGGCGGCTTTTGGGGCATGGGCTTTGTTTGTTCCCGGCCGCGGCTAGTCAGACCACTGAGAAGCTACCGAAAGTCCAGAGTGGCGGTGGGAGTGGAAGCGGAGCTCTATCACAGGCTGTCGGTCGCGTTAGACCGGTCTGCGAAGGACGTGGGCGGGGCTGCCGTCCGATGCAATGCAGGTTGGGCGTCTTTATCACCAATAATTGACGGTTGTGCGGCGGCATGCATACATACATACGCATCTGCGTCTGCGGGAAGTGGTGGGAATGCGCCTATGAGCGATACCGCCAACTGCCCGTTTGTTGGTTTGCATCATCCTTCTTCCTCATAAACCTCTTGTTGCATCTGCATTTCTGTTCAATCTTGTCAGTTGCGGTGTGCCAAATATCGTCACCGTCCTCACTTACGCCATAGTCGGTTGGCCGAGTTCGAAATGACCTGAGCCTTGGCCATGAGCTTCTCCTCATACTTGATATTCTCCTGCCCTTTGATTCGAAGCTTGCTCGGTTGCGCCTGTCTGATTGTGAGTAGTAATCCCTTGATCAGGTGGGGTACCTGCTTGCCTGCATGAGGATAGGTAACAGTTCTTTAGGATCTGCATTCGCAACAGCCGCGACGCTTCGAAAGCCGTTTTCCCAGAAAACTCTCCTGTTTCACAAAGTTAGACACATTCCCGACGTGACTTGAGGTCGCGCAACGTACGCGGTTCGGCTCTTTACGAAGGTAATCTGTGCTAAGGCCAACAAGTCCGACTTTGCGCCTGCTCTCAACCGATCCGAGAAATGGTCCAACGCAGCAGACATGACGCTGCACCGTACGATTAGTGATCTGGCGTGTTGTGCAGACCAAAGGACGACTCACTCCCAGCCCATATGCTCACAAAATTTGATCATGCCAGCTGCGAAACCGTGGCAGGTCTGCGAAAGGTTTTGAACCGCGCCACGGGGCACATCGTACTTGCGCGCAACGGCGTGGACCGGCACTTCGTTGCACAAGTCTCGTAACTGAAAGGCCAAGTAGAACCGACGGTGTACACGGACGATTTCCTTTTCCTCGGGTGTCGTCTCCTTCAGTGTACTACCTTGTGCCCTGAAGACGGTTAGCGACATCGGAAGAAGGGTCGACACGACTTACAATCGGTTGATCACAGCACGTTTAAGCCCGAGAAGCCCGAGCACGCGGTGTCCGCTATCGTCGAGGTTCTCCATTTCGTTGCGGAATACTTGCCAATTGATGTTGGTGCCGAAATCGTGGACAGGGGTGAATGTGTAAAGAATATGCATCTCGCCGTCCATTACGAAGGCTTGGAGCGCCTTCTCCAACTCTTTGTGAATAAACACTCCATCATCGGGATCCAAGGCAGAGGCTACGATGGCGTGACCCAATTTCGTGGGTTGATAGTTGCCGAGTACGTCCGCCGTAATGAACCCCATTGATTGGAGATTCTTAAGACTCGTCTCAACACATTCTTGCAATGGCTCCGGTGGTCCAGCGTGTGCTAGCAGGGTCTTGCTCAGATAGTCATCCAGGGCATCTTTACTAGTTGCAAGCCGTACCGCGATGACCTCGAGTAATGCCCTGGGATACTTAGCTTCGTCGTAAAATTTTCGACGCAACCTTCTCACCTCTGTATGCGCTGCTTATCTGTTATCAAGCCGCTCGTGATTTGGGGCATGTCTGCATGCATCAGATCCACCACCTGCTCAAGATCGTCTTTTCGACAACATAAGTAGGTTTCTCCGACTTCGTCTTTGCCCTTGCGACCAGCGCGTCCGCGCATTTGCCGCAGCATAGATGGGCCGACGAAGTCTCGCCCCATGCGGGCATTATGAAGTATAACCCTTCGAGCAGGTCTAGCAAGTATTAGGTCACGAATCAGTCCATTTATTCGCGGAACCTACAAATTGATACCCGCAGCGAGGCTGCAGGTAGCTATGCATACTTTGATGACACCGGAATCATAGGCACTGGCAATGATCTCGCGCTCCTCTGTTGTGAGTCCAGCCTAGAAAGATCAGTAACCCGGCTCAAAAGCACGAGGCGGCACACCTACGTCTAATGAACGATCAGCCAATGGTTTGTATAGAAACCGCTCAGGAAGACTTACGATGGAAGGCAACTCCCGCAGGAACCGTCTCTTCGAGGACAGGGTCTATTCCGGTTCCGAGACTTCGCAACTCAGCTAGTAGATCGATTCTTTTGTCAACCAGGGCAGGGTCAAGTTCGTGTGAGGCGGGCATAACCCTAGCGATCCAGCGAGCATCTGATTCGCACCCAGGACGACTGCTCGCAAAGACCAGCACACCGTAGCCAGACCTGGCAGTCTCGCTGGCAAGGGAGACAACTGCATTCAGCACAGGATCTTTGAGTTCCTTGTGATCTGACGACTCGATGCGCCTTATGGCCCTGGTATTTTCAAGCTGCTGCGTCTTCAGCTCATTAGCCGTTTTGAGCAGCTCGCTCGTTGTGGCGGCAGGGTAGATGTTCCCTTCGTAGACGAGATGCTCTTCGATTGGCACCGGCCGATACCGTGTTTCGTAAGAGTGAGCTCCCAGCCAATTAGCCAAAAGGTTGATGTTCTATAAATAATAATCAGAGACGGTCTCTGACGAAGCTCGGGTTTTTAATCAATACTAACAGACATTGTAGCGCTCATGCCAATAATTTGGACTGGCTGGGGTAGACTGAGCAGCTTTGTCCCCATCAGTTCCATGAGGTATCCGCGGTGGTCATCATCGATCATGTGAAGCTCATCTAAGACAACGGCTTTCAAGTACTTGATCGAACAATCGTCGATGGCAGTGTTTACGAGTGCATTCGCCTGGGTTGTCCGTATTCAGTTGACATCTAGTTCAATGCAGCTGCGAATCACATACCTTTTCGATAGTACAGACACCGATATCAAAATCAGCCCATGTAGGCTTGATCTTGCTACCCCCGAAGAATCCAATGACCCTGATGGAATCTTCGTCAGCACGCCGCCTCCAGATCCGCTTTTCATCATCAATTTCGTCTACGGGCTTGGGCACCCCTTGAACGATGTTCCGAAGCCATCGTACTTTCTCTTGTACGAGAGCAACGTAAGGTAGCACCAGAAGCACCTTTGCATTTTTTTCTTCGAGAACCCTCTTCAGCATCAGCACTGTGACGAGGTTAGCAGGACGTCTCGGGAAGGGCATGATAGGAGGGTAAACTTGCCATCAGCGACCAGAGACTTTCCACCGCCGGTTGGGGCACTATAGACAAGATTTCTCTCCCCAGACAAAAGCCCCGGTCCGCGGAGGCAAGCCTTCTGCCATGGATACATTATCTTGATGCCAAGACCGTACAAATTCCGGATCAGTGGCCGAGGAAGACCATAGTACGGATGAGCGAGCGCAAGTAAAGGGTCCGAAGAAGAGGACGGGGTGGACTGTATGGCATTCCGTTGCGTGTATTCGGACGGCCCCTGGTGGGAGGTAAGCTCTAAAGAGGTGATCGGGCTCGGCGTCAATCTCGGCGGGCCTGGAGGCAGACTCGATGTCCGTTGCACACCCAAGGCGCGACTTGGAAGGGTAGTTGGCCGCGGCGCTGCGGGATGCGAAGCTTCAGAGCGAGCGCGCTTACTCCCAGCGATGGTTGTGGTGGTCGAATAGGCATGGCCTTGTTCCTGGGCGGCTTGCACCGAGGTTTTATGCCATGTGCCGTTATTGGAGGCCATGACGAAGCAAATATTTGATGGTGAAAAAAGAAGAATCCATGGATTAATGCAAATTCAAGCTTGACACAGCTTTGAGTCTAAACGCAGGCAGGTGTTTGGCTATTTGGGCAAGTTTTGATGGCCATCAATCGAGCTTCACCGATAGGCAGCAGGCGTCCCGTTCATGATGCAGATGGCACTTGTTGATAGAAAACGGGCAAGCGCGTTCTGCAGACGTGTGAAAGGCACAAGCAGGGATGACCCGCCTTGCAGGGGTATCGCGAAATCATGTGTCAAGAGCGGTATTACCTCATCTTGCTCATAATGAGGGGGGGAAGGTACGTACCGGTGCTGTTGCTTGTCTGGCTCTTCGAGTCGAACATGGGGCCAGCAGTGGGCAGGCAGCCCAGTGGTCGCTGGACTCGGCCGGGTTGACCGGGCCTCGGTACGTACAGTCTTCACTGGCTGCCCGTCCTTCCCAGAGATCGGGGATCCACTCCACCGAGCCACAACTTCACACACGGCCTGGTGGGGTTCACGCGCGTGGCTTCTCATCCGTTGCCCCCGTGTGGCTGACGACTCTACTCGAACGGGCCAGACGTGGCACTGACAATTCTGTTGCAAGATGTTTTTGGGATCGGGGCCGATTGGGTTGGGGTCGGACTACTTTAGCCTGGCCCGGTGGACTAATGCCACACGCATACGTCGGATTTTGGGGCGGGAAGGGGGAAGGGGGAAGGGGGGAAAGGGATGGGTCCGCTCGGCTCTTGCTTGGGAGGGGTTGTCTGAGTTGTAGGAGATGGGAAAGAGGGACCGGTCGGAAATGGGAACGGAGAACGTCTTGTAGAACACCAGGCCCGGTCTCATGTCGAGAAGAGAACACAAGACATGGCCAAGACCAGACCAGAAGAGCCGGAAGAGCAGTAGCAAGATTGACGACAGGAACAGCCCGAGAAGAAGGGCAAGAAACAGCATCATGGTAGACTTGGGACAGGGGGTTGCCAGGGTCCTGTTCTTTGTGTATGCAGCGCCAAACCAGTGGTCAGCCCCAACCATCAGGAACCCGAACAGCACCGTACTTAATTAAGTACGCAGGTAACCAAGTCGCGGACGAAGGATGATCCAGGTAGGTCCAAGAGCCAGCGACAACCCTTCCCGGAGGTACGCTACGCACCGGCACGGTCGCCCCCAGGCCCAGCCGTCCAGATGAGGTGCAAGACCCTGTCCCCGGACAGGGATCATCATCTGGCCCCATCCATTCGTTAACGCACAGCACCTCACCTCACTAGCCTGTCATGGCCTGCCACCAGCGACGATCATCGACCACCATCCATCTTTGCCTTCCTGCGTGATGGTGTTGATGAGATGGACGAATGAAGATCGATGGTATCTTCCGGTTGCTGATTGATGGACGTCTGCCAGTTTGCCTTCTCAAGCTGGGCTTTGGGACCAGAATGTCAGCTTGACGGCGTTTGCTGCGCGGTAGTCGGCAGCGATTGAGGCGTGTTCCCCTCATCAAGTCCCGTTACGTCGCGATCGCCAGACGCCCATTGCCGATTCTTCGTCCCCTCGCCCAACGATGTCAAGTACCGTCAGAAGAAGAGGTTCTGTGTGCGATGATGGCGACGTATTGAACGGCTCCCGAATTGTATGGTCCTGACATGCATTTTGGTGACGTTGAAATTTTGCCCCGTTATTGAGTTCAGCCACGACGTTGTTGACGGCCCCATGCAGGCACGTCCGATGACTAGCCCGGGGGTGCCAAGGCAATTGGGACAGCTGTTCAAGGACTCCGCGATCCAAGTTTTGGACACTCGCACATTCTTGAAATACCGCTTTCGCTGTCTACCGCCTGGTGTTTTCCCGATGAAACGGGACGGGGTTCATTTGACAATGCATGATTTCGTGGCCGGTGGATGGAGGGCGATTGGAAATGGGCCTGCGCCGGGAATGCGCCTGTCGCTGGCTGGCGGTCGGCCCCTTGCACCATGCGGCATGAGGTGCCCTTTTTTTTTTCTTCGCTTGTGCCGGATCAACCGACAAATGCGGTCAACCTCATCTGTCTTTTTCTGACGTCCGTCTTCGCTGGAGCAAGCCTCAGGCGCCACGGGACTGCCTGCGTCGTTTTTTTTTTTTTTTCTTTTTTTTTTTTCTTTTTTGCATGCACTTCATAGTCGCGATGTCGCATAGTTGAATTGCAGACTTGAGCCGCAGCCCTGTTTTCTTTCTAACTTTTTTCCCGTTGTCCCTTCACCGCGAGACATTGGGAAATTGTGTGCGATGAGTGTTGGCTGGGCGCTAGGTCGGCCAGTGAGCGAGCGAGTGTGCTTATTGGTGACCCAGTCCGACTGCAGCTGAGCCAAAGATTGTGCGTTGTTCAGCAGGAGCCTCTCATCATCTTGAGTCGCCGTGAACTGACGGCTAGGCTACAATTGCCAATGATGGACGAATCGTTATCAGCACCCGTGTTTGAGAAAGGCGAATGGTAGAGCTGGGATGTCTTTGGTGGCTGTACAGCGACGGTCGCGCAGTCGACCATACAAATACAGAGTTGATGGCTGGATGAATGGTGCCTTCAGAGAGGCGCCGTCGTCGTCGTTGACAATTACAGGTTGCCCTTCACCTCATTAGTCGTGCTCACCAAGGCGTCGCCCCATTTATTTTGCGTCGTCGCCTCCGCCGCTTCTTTGACCATGGCAGCGCTGATGGGCGAGATTGACGAGGAGTGATGCCATCGCACGATCGTTCTCGCTCAATATCACCAAGCTCATTGGCCTGGATGTCGCCAAACCAGATGATGCTGCGGGCGAGGTCGTTCGTTCTGACAGTGTCGGTCGTCGCCAGGGTACGTCCAACTTGGGTTCGTGGCGCCTCAGTCATGGCAAGGAAGGACAGGGTAGCATGGGTGGGATACGTACCGGTTCGGTCGTCTGGCAGCGTCCCTTGCGGCTCCACCCCGACGTCGAGGCACGCAGTACCAAGTACTTCGGTCAGGTATCCCACACAAACCTCCATCGTGCTCACTCCCCAGTACCGGGATGTACTCGAGAAAATTGGTATGTGGTTTGAACTTTGAAACACACAGTAGTATTGTTTGCGCTGATGTGTCTTCAAACCGGACGGTCATCAGAAACGTCAGGAGAATATTGCATTCGCTTGGAAACAAATGCTGGACTAGCGGGGAGCGGGAGCGACAACGCCTCGATCTCGTCTGTACCTGACGAGGTACGAAGTACTATGGTACGCCGCAGTGGACGGGATGGTGTGCGCCTTGCCTCGGAACAGCTGGACGGGCAACGGTCGGCATCTGACTGCTACCGCGAAGGACGTCCGCCGCTGCCCACCCTCAACGTCGACCGCGAGAGCCCAACTCTGCAATCCGTGAGAAAAATACGTCGTATATGAGATCAGGTCAGTGTGCCTGGGACGGTTCCCGCCCGGTATGGTATGGAAAGTGCCGACCTGCTGGAGCTCAGGAGCGGCTCGCCTGATTGCACGGGCTGAGGCTGGATGTAGACAACAAAAAGGATCGGAAGCCCCCACAGCCTGATCTGACCTCTGGCACAATGGCCGCTCATCGGTTCTTTGTGCTGCCCCAGACTACCTTGCGCTTTTCTTGATGCCAGTGCCGCCGGAGAAATGAGGGCTACCAAGCGACATCGTTAATACCGACGGACGCGTGCCGCAAATTGCGGGTGCATTCCCAAAAGGCAAATCAGCCTAGCATGACTCTCTGCAGACAGAAGCTATTGATTTTCAAATACCAACCGATATGGTCTGCCAGGTGAAGAACCGTTGCGAGGACGGAAACTCCGCCAAGAGATGTTGTTCAAATTGAGAGGAGGGGAAGCCTGTGGACGGGGGCAAAACAGCCTGCAACAGAAGACCAGAGAGAGAAAAAAGCATCAAAAACCGATACCTGGGCGGGCTGTGGGAGGGAGTGGTCGCGCAGTGATATGCTCCGGAATTGGAGTTCCCCATGTCGTGCATATAAACGTTGCAGGGCTCACATACCACCAAATTTATTTGCAAGAAAGATGGTAAGGTAGAGCAGATCAGGCCAATGGTGCTCCTTATCCGAAGCCACGCTCATGGCTGAAGCATAGGTGAAAGAGAAGGTACCCAGATGAAGTGCTATCAAATAATTACCAGGCAAGGTAGGTACCGTGTCGGTCTGCATGGGGTGCACCCGCCCCGAGGCACCTCCCGTTACCCATTCCTCGCTTGTGTTAGACGGAGAAGGTCGAGCGCGAGGCCGAGTGAACGGTCAACGACCAGAGTGTATTGTTCAGAACAGCCGGCAGAATTATTTGACCGATCGATATGGATTGCATGACCAACTTGGGTCGACGCGCAGGAACGGCCCAAAGTTTGGCACTGGCTAGGCAGGAACTAAGCAAGCAACAGCAAACTAGCCAGACGGGGACAGACGCAAAGACGCAGCGACAGTCGTGGGTGGTGTTGTGTTAATATTTGGGTGGGCGGCCAAGAGCCACTGGACTAGCAGAAGGTGGGATGGAAATGGAACCGACACACATGGGTAATGACGGGGGTGTGGACAACATCTTGTGGACATATCCCTACTCCGTAGGGAGCACTTCGTTTCCACAGGGTCGGACAAGCCGGGGTGCGACGAACCAAGGAAGGGGATCGAAGGAAGAAGTGGGCGAGTCGCCGGACACAGCCAGCCAGCAGCAGCAGCACACATTACTATGTACATATTTGGGAGCGGCGACCGTCGGTCGACTCGAGTTGAATCAAAGCACGGTTGGCCGATGGCCTCTGATGTTTCCGCATTTCAGCTTGGACACAGGACGAAAAGGTACATAGAAGCATGGATCGAGAAGTCTATGTAGCCCATGTCGACACTGAAAGTGAGGTCAGTAAGACTCCAGATATGCTGCCAGGTAAATCTTGACCCGGCAAGGATGCATCTGAGGCACTGCGGAACACATTAGCGAGCCTCGACGTGCGGGTGTGTGTGTGTGTGTGTGTGTGTGTATGTGTGTGTACGTGTGCGGATATCGAGGAGGATCGAAGACTGAGATACCTAAATGGTGGTGTCGGCGGCAAACAGAGCATGTACCTTTAAGGTATTCCGTGCCTCCAGAACTGGGGCGACACCATTTGGCTTGGAGTCAAGTCTATGGCTATCGCTGCAGTGATTGTATGATGCCCTTGTCCTCTTGCAAAAAGACGGACAGCACCAAGGTAGTTAGACCTGAAGATGTAGGAGGCGGAGAGCATTGGCTGGGAAAGTAGCGATGTCAAAACTGCAAGGGAAAAGAACACTACATAGGGCGCAGCAAGATGGGTGGGGGAGGGAGAAGGCAGACGGGACGTGGATGTGGACAGCTCGTCTGGTAACGTGGAGGGAGGCAATCGTGCACGCGAGCGCGTGAGAGGCCAACGAGGCAGGTAACAGGTAGCAAGTAGGGGATATGACGGACGTGACAGTAGCAGGAACTGCGTGGGCAGAGTGGAAAGAGCGACAACCGCAGGCGCCGCAATGCCTTCCTCGCCTTAACGTCTCATTTGCCATGGCCATCGTCTCTGCACCCAAGTTCCGGGGATGTTTTCCTCTTCGCACTTTGCCAACCAACCTAAGGTTCTTCTTGCCTTAATAATACCGAGCTGCTTGCCTGCATATCCGCTGTTGGCCAAAGGGCGAGTGAGGTACGAATGTTCTTGAGGTAGGTAGGGAAAAGGAAAAGGAAAAGATAGCCAATTGAGGTGGAGGGCATGTACAGACACTGGGCGAGGTACATGCCATCGTGCCTACCTACCTAGCCAGACCCCCGACCCCCGTCCCAGGCCAGACCCAACAATGGAAGCCAGCCAGCCCCGGCCGGCCGGCTGTTTGAACGTCAACGTCGTCAACCCAGTTTTTTCGTCGTGAGTGAAGTTAATTGAGCCTGCTGCCACATCGCCCTCCGACCTGGCCACACACTGACGACTTCCGACACGCTGGGGACCAACATTGGATTTATTTGCCCATAGATCGGGGTGCCGATGGCAAGACATGAGGTCGGGGCAAGGTGTCTGATGTCCGATGAAGGCAAGGCAAGGCAGGGTTTGTATGCACGGAGGACCCAGTCAAGGTACGTCAATACCTCGCCCAGCAAGCGAGCGAGCGGGAGACGGCGAGACAGCGAGACGGCGACAGAATCAGAAACAGAGCGATTGAGCAGAACAGGTGAGCGCGCCATCAGGAGGGGCAACGGGTCTGGACGCTGGAGGCACCGTATACACGCGCATCCTCGCTTTACACTTTCCCTCCATCATTTCTGTCCTTCCCTCTTTGCAGTCCTCTCAGTAGTCGTGGCCATGTGGTCAATGACAGGAGACGAAAGCGAAAGGCTAGACACATGGTGCTGCTGCCGCCTTCACGCAGACAATCCAAACATGCGGTCGGCCAGAGGGGAAAGGGACATCCATTGCCTGCGTCGGATGTGTCAGGGCAATCCCCCCCAACTCCCACAAAGAGCGCATGGCGGCGATCTGATAGAAGGAGAACAGAGGTGAGATGGACATGGGGGTGTGTGGTTGGATTCTGCGGCGTTGGCAACCTTGGGGTGAGGTGTGAGGTCGACGGGCCCTTGGTCTGGTGCGAGAGTGATGACTGTGGGAGCGGGTACAGAGGTACAGAGTGGGTCTGGTATCATGCAGGTTGCATCGATGTATCGTTACCACAGGCTACGGTGAGATTTGGGTGTGGCTGGAAGTACCGCATCCTGACCTGCAGCAGATCGATACCTCACGCGCAGCCCCACAGCAGGAGAAGGAAAAAAGAGAGAGAAAGAGAGAGAGAGCGCGGGCCTGGCTGCTGTTTTTCTGCTATTCCTTCAACTGCTGCCGCCGCCGCCTCTGAGGCCCAGACGGGACTGGAGAAGCATTGCCTTGGCTTAACATTGGTCTGTTGTTGATAGGCCGGTACGTACCGGACACCTCAGGTACTTGACCCATACTTTACCTTACCTGCCACTGCCAGACCTGACGCTGCCATGCAGCGCGGTGCGGTGCGGCAGCGGTTGAAATAGTCGCCTTAGCAGGAGCCACAATATGCGGCAGCAAAGCAGAAGAGCACCCCAGCAGAGCCCGGAGTCATGGGCGCGGCAAGGCAAGACAGCACAGGGCAGAGCCAGGAAGACAGCTGATGAGCTAAAGCGAAGGTGAAGAGACAGGCCGATCGGGGCCGGGCCAGGTGCAGCCAGAGACAGGGAGGCATGGACAGAGTCGCTGAGTAGAGAGTAAGGTAGAGAGCAGAGAGCAGACAGCAGAGAGAGAGATATGCAGCGGTGCAGCAGTGCGGTGCGGGTGCTGGCCCTTGTCATTGTCCTGGTCCCTGGTCTTGGTCCATCCAATTCTGGTCGTGGTCGTGGTCCTGGGAGCTGGGAGCTGGGAGCTGGGAGTGGGAATCGGAGCTGGTAGTAGTATCCGTAGTAGTAATGTGGTGAGTGGTGTACATATGGCAATGGAAGGCAAGGTAAGGTAATGTAGGTAGCTGGTATTGGCTGGAGCGAGCGAGCGCGACCTTCGTCGACGTTTCCCGTCCACGGCCGCGGTCACGGCCGCACGTCTTGGTTCCTTTCCATCCATCCTTACCTACCTTGCCTACCTTGCCTTACCTTTACTTCTCCATACCTACCTTTTACCTCTTTCTACCTCTACCTCTGACGCAGTACCTTGCCTCTTCCTGGCCTTGCCTTGCCTTGCCGTGAGGTACCTTGCCTGCCTTCCCACACCTCCACGCCGGCACCGTACTTTCCTTGCCTTAGCATTTGTCTTCCGCTTGTCTGGACCCGGCCCCGTCTTCCTCTTCTCCTTCCATCTTTCCACACATCACTTCCTCCCTGCCCATCTTCACCACCTTCAAACTCAACCCAATTCACCCAGCTTCACCTCTCCCTGGTCGCGCCGCCTTCCATCTTGACGCTCGGCTGTCATTTTCTTCCGCTCACAGCCCATCGTCCTCTCACAACACATACTCACCCTTCCCTTTTCCTGTTCTACAGATTACACTCACACTCACTCTCGTCCACACGCATACATCCCATCCACACAAGCATACGCATCCATATCCCACACTCACCCGCACCCGCCCTCTTTGGCTTCGCTGTCTACCTGCAGGACTTGGTCATATCCAAACATTGTCATCATTTGAATATCACAATACCCTCCTGCTCGAGTCTGTCTCCGACTCGTAGCCGTCTCATGGGCCCCATCTGGTTTCCGTCGCCCGTCGCGTTGCATCACTAGCTGTCGACTACTCTTTCGATCGGTCGTCATATGGCTCGGAGCCTCCCCTTCGTTTCTCCAGAGACGAGCTTCGACCTGTCGGCCCTCTTGCTTGTACCTTTTTTGCGGGAAGGGCCCCGACTATCTTCAACCTGCCTTCTGCCATCGCGCAGCTAGCCACAAGAACAATGGCGCAGAAAACACAAAATGCCAGCAGTTCTGAGGACCAATCTGCCAGCGCCACCCCATCCGCTCAAGACGCCTCGGATTCCGCGCAACCTTCGACGTCGGGCGCATCAACCTCCAAGGCATCCTCCGCCGCCCAGAAGGCGAATCTGACTGAGCTTGACGCTGCTCTGCGCAACTCATCTCAACCCATGGCCAAGTCATCATCATCTGGCTCAGACCTTGCTGCCAAGGACGCCGCCATGGAGGCGGCCAACCCCTACGGAACGCGCTCGCGGAATCGCACTGGATCTTCGCGCCCCAACTACGCCGAAGACAGAGACATCGACGTTGACATGTACGACGACTTCCCCGAAAAGAAGGATCAGGAGTCCAAAAAATCGGCGCGTCACAGTAACGTGTCAGCGACTTCCGCACAGGAGCCTCCGCGTTCCAACGGCCCATCCCGCAAAGCTCTCACATCCGACGACACCAAGGCCGTCTCCTCACAAAATGGTGCCAAGGATCCGCAGCCCGCCGCCAATCCAGCTCCGACGGCACAAACATCCAGCTCATCGGCGACGACGCAGCCCACCAAAAAGCGCAAGGCCACTTCTCAAGCTGCATCACAGGCACAGGCAGCGCCGTCCGCCGCTGCATCGCGAAAAGCCGCGTCAGGTCCCTATGCCAGCTCATATGCAGAGACGAACATGCTCAGTTTCGAGAGTTGTGGCGCGAACCCCAAGGATGGAAAGTTGGTGGCGGATGACGGGACTGTACTAGCACCAAATGGTAAGACACCAACAAACCACACACCCATCCTTGTGCGCATTTGGTTTTTTTTTCGGGAGGGTGGCATGCTGATCCGCATCACAGACAACGTCTACCTCGTGTGTGAGCCCCCAGGCGAGCCTTACTACCTAGGCCGCATCATGGAGTTTCTCCACGCGCAGAATGACAACACCAAGCCGGTGGATGCACTTCGCATCAATTGGTTCTACAGACCAAAGGACATTGGAAAAAAGGTCAACGACACTCGCTTGGTGTTTGCGACGATGCATTCCGACATCAGTCCTCTGACGGCATTGCGAGGCAAATGCCATATCAAGCATAAGGCTGAAATTCCCAACATGGACGAGTACCGGAAAAAGTCAGATTGTTTCTGGTATGAGAAGCTGTACGACCGCTACATCCAGAAGAATTACGACCTCATCCCCACGTCCACCATCGTGAACGTCCCCGAAAGGGTGAAGAAAGTGTTGGACGAGCGCTGGAAATTCGTTATTGTGGAGCAGGGCCGCGGAAAAGAGTTCACTAGCGCGGTGAAGTCCTGCAAGCGATGCAGCGGCTACTGTGCAAGGTTGGTCCACCCACTTCGCCGTTTGAGTCCGAGAGAGGGACCTGGGGTCACTAACAGTGCAACAGCAATGACTCGGTCGACTGTGCTGTGTGTAAGAAGACATATCACATGAATTGTGTCAGGCCACCGCTGTTGAAGAAGCCCTCAAGAGGTTTCGCCTGGTCTTGTGCTGCATGCAGCCGCGCGCAGGAGCGCAAGTTGGAGGCTCGCCACACGCCAAATCTGCTGGATCCCGCCGGCGACGACGACGATGATTTGTATGATGATGATGACGATGAAATGCAAATCGACACCGAGCGAACCAGTCTCGCCGACGACGACGAGCACCGCACCGGCACGGCTGAGCAGATTTACCAAGCGAGTCTTTGGCCTTGGCGATATCTTGGAATGCACTGCAAGCCTGAGGATGCACTGGATTACGATGATCGCATTTACCCACGCGCCAGCACCCGCATTGGCCCGAAGCATCAAGCCAACGTTCTCCCCTGGCCTGGTCAGCCCGTGCAGTATCAGAAGCCTCTGGAGACTAGGAGGCAGGGCAAGAAGGGACCTAATCTCTCCAAGGAAGCCCAGGCAAAATTGGAGGAAGAGAAGCTCAAACGCGAAAATCGGCCGAAGTGGGTGCAAGACGAACCCCCCGGCTATGTGGCGAGAGGAGAGGATCTCGACAGTGATGACCCGAATGCGACGTCCACGCGGATTTGGATGCCTCCTGCGGATACGGAAGCCAACCAGGGCTGGGAAGATAAGCTGGACAAGTACATGGAAAAGGCTGAAGAGCAGGCACCCAAGTTCAATCTTCCCAAGAACTCCACTAACCTGCACGATGTGGCCCTGGAGACGTATTTCAACAGCGGCTACAATTCGGACCGAGCCCTCAAACTATTTGCAGAGACCGACAAATCAGCCTTCAAGGAGCCCGACCTGACCGCTACTGAGCAGAAGAGGTTCGAAGAGGGTGTGAGTAAGTATGGATCTGAGCTCTATCTGGTTAAGCGACACGTCAAGTCTGTTTCGCCAGGCACGATCGTCCGTTACTACTACACGTGGAAAAAGACGCCTCAGGGCAAACAAATTTGGGGCAATTTCCAGAACAGGAAGAGCAAGAAGGAGGCCAAAAGGGCGGAACAGGCTGCGAGCAAACTGCAGGACGACATTGCCGACGACGCTGACGATTCAGCCTTCGACGCCGAAAAGGCCCAGACCAAGAAGAAGGGCTTCTGTTGCAAATTTTGTCACACAAAGTATTCCCGACAATGGAGGAGAGCTCCGAACGCTTCCGGAACGCCAGTCACTGAGACTGGAGGCAAATCCTCAAACAAGGACAAGGGCGGCCAGTACATCCAGGCACTTTGCCGCAGGTGCGCGGAGCTGTGGCGGCGCTATGCCATCCAGTGGGAGGACGTCGATGAGGTTGCGAAGAAGATCGCGCAAGCCGGTGGTAAAGCCTGGAAGAAGCGCCAAGACGAGGAGTTACTCAAGGAGCTCGAGGCCGCCAAGGAAATGCACACCTACTGGAACACGCCGCCGCCCGTCAACACCCCAGAGCCACCTGCAGCCGCCGTTGCCGCACCCTCCAGCGAGCCGCCACGCAAGAAGCTCAAGGGAGCCGCCCCCGACCGAGACTCAGAGCCATTGGCGTCCGACTCTGCACCCAGCCACCCGAAGAAGAAGGAGAAGGCTGCCGAGAAGCCTGCGCCCCCGCCAGCTCCCGAGATCCCTAAGGCGCGGACCATGCCTTGCGCGATTTGCAACCAACTAGAGCCATTGGGAGATCAGCATCTGTCTTGCAAGGAATGTCGCTTGACGGTCCATCGCAACTGCTATGGTGTTGTTGACAATAGGAATCCTGGTAAATGGGCTTGTGATATGTGCGTCAATGACAAGAATCCTCAAATCTCTATTGTAAGTCATACTGCCTACTTGCCAGAAGTCTGCATGATATTGACTCCCAACAGCAATACAAGTGTGTTCTGTGCCCTATTGAGCATACAGAACATGACTTTGTTGAGCCGCCCAAGATCTCTACCTCAAAGAAGAAGTCAGAGAAAGAAAAGGAGCGGGAGAGGCTTGAACGTGAACAAGCACAGAAAACTGCCGACTACTACCGAAAGAAGCAGGAGGAAACGAACCGACCAGTGAACCCTCGGGAGCCCCTCAAGCGCACCGCCGACAACAACTGGGTGCATGTCACCTGCGCTGTCTGGACCCCTGAAGTCAAGTTTGGCAACGCCAAGGCTCTTAGTCCCTCTGAGGGCATTCCTTCTATTCCTCGCGTGAGGTATGATGAAGTCTGCAAGGCCTGTAGCCACAAAGGAGGTGCCTGTGTTGCCTGCCACAACTGTCACAATCCTGGTATGGTTCTGAAGCCCCTTGTCTGATGAGCTTGTCTAACAACCGCCTCATAGTTCATGTTGAATGCGCTCGCCAGCAGGGCTACCTCCTTGGATTTGACATTACGCCCGTTAAGGGGTCCCGCAGAGACCAGTTCAACCTGGTGACTATTAACGGCGAAAGCGGTGTCCTGTCCGCGACAGTTTGGTGCAAGGACCATGTTCCAACAAAGTCCATCGTCCACCGAATGCACGACATTGTCAACGAGGATGGGCTCAATGCCCTGCAGCTCTACGTCCAAAGCTACAAGCAGGCGGATCTCACTCTGACTGGTACTGTTCGGAAGGCCAACCTGATGACAAATGCTGCGAAGATGGGCAGTGTGCCTGTCACTCCGGGTGCTCGACGAGCCTCAACCACAACTCTCCCAGTTAATGGTGTTTCCCACCAAGCAAACAGCGAGACAGCCCACGATCACCAGGCTGGAGAGAAGATCTGCATTACTTGCGGTATTGATGTCAGCCTCAAGTGGTGGCCCATTGAGAATTCTGACGAGCGAGAGCTTACCAATGGCCACTATGGAAGTCTCGGATCGGAGGCTCAAAAGTTCGTGGAGCAAAGAAAGTTCCAATGCCACAAGTGTCGTAAGGCCAAGCGGAAGCCCAATCCCCATCCACCGAAGGATCCTTCTCCCGTCGTTGAAGCTGCACGAGTGGTGCCTCCGCCCCTCCCAGTGGTTCCGCCACATCATGCTCTTGCTGCACCCCCACCGGCTTTGAGAAGCCCTCCCACGACCGGCCCAGAGGCTAGAGCGCGCAGTCTCTCGGCATACGCCTGGGTGGCCCCGGCACCAGCTCCGGTTGTTGCTGCCGCCGCTGCCGCCAATGTCCCGGTACAGCCTCCGCCCCCGCCCCCGCCCCCGCCTCCGTCTGCACCTGTCTCCCAGCCCGCAGGACATCCCCCGGCGGCTCCTACAGCGCCACCACCGGTCCAGGCCCCGGCACCTCCTCCCATACCGCCACCAGCGACTCACCAGCCTTCTGGCCCGTATGGCCATCCACCTCCGGGGCCAAGATACGACTGGCATGGTCGCGCTCCTCAACACAACTCGCCGCCTCAGCGACATCCGCCTTTTCAACCTCTGTCTACTCTGCGCCCGCCCCCGATGGCCGTACCACAGACGCACCCTCCATTGCCAACGGGTGTTCCAAATGGGCACATGGGCCAGCCAGCGCCACACGGAATGCCGCCTTCTCCTCTCATGGCAGGCCCTATTACTCACGGACCGCCGTATATGCACCCTTACCGGCAGGACGCTCATGCGCCACCCCATGGAATTCCCAACGGCGGACCGCCCCAAAGAGGCCCCGACTCATTTTCGCGAGGACTGTTGCCCCAACGAGCGCCGTACGCCAGTAGCCCTCCGGGACATGACGCGGGAGGCCCTCTGAGAACTCCGGGCATGCGGCCAACGAACGAGCCTCCCCGGCCGGCGGGCGCAAGCACGAGTCCTTCATTGCGCAATTTGCTTTCTTAGGCGACGATCACGATCAAATCAATTTCAGGAGTCTTGTCGGCCAATCAAGCATTTTGAGACGGGCCAGGCGTTGGAAGATGGCCTGTATTGGTCTTTTAGGAAATCAACGGTAACGCGTCTAGCCTGGGTTGTCTGTGTAGAAGATGCAAAGATGCTCTTGCTCTTGCGGGCCGGAAGTGTGATGATAGCAAGTGACTGAGACCACGGGAATATATGGGTGGCACAATTAATCCCGTGAAGCACTTTTTGTTAGATATGGTTGAATAGAAGCGGCAAATGATATCAATATTGAATCCGCATTCAAGAAGCCCCAAGCTGTCCTACACAAAGTGACGTTGATCGAATGTATTTGCAAGCCACACCAGACTTACTCCTCGCCAATATCCTCGTTCCTGTCTGCGTCAGCCTACCCGGTCCTATCATGCTAGGGCTTGGATGAACTCTTACCATACTTCAGGCTTCTCGGCGATAAACTTGTCCATAAGAGCCTTGCATTCTGCGTTATCGACGACTACGACCTCCACTCCACGTTGCTTGAGATACTCCTCGCCGCCGAGGAAAGTCTTGTTCTCGCCGATGACAACGCGAGAAATGCCATAGAGGAGGCAGGCGCCGGTGCCTAAAATTGATGTGAGGAACTCGGATGTTCACGGCAGTGTTGTGAGAGTTATAGACTTACACATGTCGCAGGGCGAGAGTGTCGTATACATTGTGCTTCCTAGCGCAAGTCAGTGTCTATGCAGGAGACGGAGTCGGAGATGGTCTTGAAAAATGCTCACCCTTGTATGTCTTGCCTGGCAAACGGCCAGAGTTGAAGAGAGCGTCCGTCTCGCCCTTGGAAGTGATTTTTTGTCTAGTACTGGAACATTGGACCAAATAGGAGGTTTCGACTTACATGGTGGATTGCAGAGCCCATCTGGACACGGCGGTTGTGGCCCCGGCCGAGAAGCTTACCATCCGCGGAAACCAGGGCTGCTCCGATCTTGATGGTCGATCCCGTCAGTCTACCAGTCCATGAAATGCTGCGTCGCTCTGACACTGTCATTTCTCGGTACGTACGGGAACACCGCCTTCGGAGGCGCCAATCTTGGCCTCCTCGATCGCGATGGCGAGACCCTCTGCGTCGTTCATTGTGGCTGGCGGCTGCGGTCGCGTTGGAAGGTGGCGTTCGAGTTAGGTTGGAAATATGAGGGAGGTGGGGGCGGGGTATGTAGTTTTGAAAAAGTTGCGCGTATCACGTTTTGATTTTCAGTAAACCACGGTGAACACTTGCAGAGCTATGCCCGAGGTCTCCTTTTCTTTTTGAGAGGTTAATGATATTTCTATGGGACTGGACGCTAAAAGGGGGGTTTTCCTGCTAAGGAGTTGGATGATGGAGACGGGTTTGCCGGCGGAGATAGTGAGGGTATCTGGGGATATCCTTATCAGCGGGTCCACTTGGGTCGATTGAGGAGGTTCTGCCGCAAGAAAGAGACTATGGGAGAGTTATCAATCAAGGTATCAATGATGGCTGAGGCCGTTTTGTATATTTAAATATTGAATATATAGAGACATCCTGTTCTTTGATGTGCTGCTATGTCTTGATTTTCATGTATTGGGCGACGTAAGTTTTGCTTTGTCACCAACTCCAACTTGAAATTTGGCCGAGCGACTACTATCGCATGTTGAACGAGTTATCGAAAGCCTCCTGCCGTCCAAATGTACGCTCTTTTTTGCTGAAATTAAATGATGAATACGCAAGCGCGGCTCTATAGTGGTCTTTCCCATCCAACAGGCTATCAGTCAGCTATCCCTCTCTTTTTCTTATAAGACAGTGCTTCGTAGAGAGTTCTCTCTTCACATCATACCCTCTATCACCTAACTCATCAAGTCTTCAACTCAGAAGGCAAGCCAGTACCAGATTTACAGACCTAAAACGACTTCGCAGATCGGATCTAGCACAACCACAAGATGGAAGACGACTGCCACCCCTCGAGACATCATGATCGGCTAGCATTTCTTGCGCTAACCAGCAAAATTCGGGACTGGGCGCAGGTCCACGACCATGCTGTGCCTCATCTACTGACACCAGAGGATCACCGTCTCATCAGAGCATGCGACAGAGTTGACCCCCACGAGTTGGCTCTCACCAAGTGGAAGCCAGGCCCGGCAGCCACAGACCGCATGGTGCGAAGGCGATACCGAATCACGATCGTGGCAACAGGCAAATGCGTATTCGAAGTATGCCCCAAGTGGCACCGCTTCATCAAGCCTGCTGTTTGTCAGTGGCGGGAAACAGCAAGGCAGATCTTGCCGGAGCTTTTCGAGGCCGAAAGACCAACCCCAAAAGACGGCGTTGGCGATGGAAACCATGTGCAGAGCACCGCAGACAAGGCTTCACGAAACAGAGATAGCCACCGAAGGGGTAGCGACGCTGACAACATGGCTAAGTGCGTCTCATCCGACTCTTGCGCGGAAGCGAAAAGCTCGAGAGAGAGTCTGAAAAGCAGCCAGAGTGAGAAAAGAGAGCAACGTGATGCTAGTCGCAACGCTGACTACGACTACACATATGCAGGCAATGCAGCCAAGCAGGGGCAGCGCGCCAAGAATGACAACGGCAATGACGGACCATCGGTAAAGACCAGAGCTCATGTTCCACGGAAGGGAAAGAGCGATGCACGACCGCGAGCCAAAGCAAGGGTCAAGGCAGCCCGCAGCCTCACGTCGCCCCGATTCATGACCTCGTTTGAGCCTTATCGAGACTCGACCGCCGAAGGTCGGGCCAGGAAGCTGACAATGACCCCAGCCCAGGCCAAGGCACATGTTGAGCAATGCGCGAGCTCAACTCCCGAACATCAGACAACGAAGCTCAGCAAGGCAGCTTTCTGGGCCAAAGCCTCTCGCAGACCATCAGATGACATGATAACGGGTGGGCCCGCCAGCCGGGCCGAGTTTGCTCAGATCCAAACGCGGAAGAAGAGATTGAAGCGTGCGAGGAAGTCAGGGCGACTTGAGCAGGAGAAGAGGGTGCAAAAGGCAAAAGCGCTGAAAAAGAAGGTCGCGATGAAGTTTGCATAAACTCTGGCGAGGGGCTCAGTTCTGAGGGGGAGGGGGGATGCCTTGGGTGGAGCGAGACCGTTGGAGATCAACAGATTGCGGTAACAATGTCACTCGGGAACCAATTTCTCCCGAAGCTTGCATCGGCGTTTATCTAAAGTAAACTCGTATATCAAAATTTGGTGGGGCCGTTTCGAGATCATCTCAAGGAGGAAAGACATTGGATACGCCCGAAGATCAGCCCGATGTAGCCACGTGATGACGCATGTGATCCGATGTCCTTCCCTCAGGAACCTCAGGAACGGGAGGTGTCGAGAAGCCAAGCTGGCTGGGCGGCCAAGAGGCCAAAAATGCAGTGAAGACGACTGGGCTGGGCATGTCTTCTCCGCCGCCCAGGTTTGGGTGGGCCGTGCACCGTCCCCCTGGCGAATCACCAATAAGGGGCTCGGGACGCGGTGAGGTTGACAAGACCGGGGGGTAGTTCCACTCCTTCGTCCTGGCCGTAGCAATCGTAAATAGCATCCCGATCATCAGAGGTCTCGTCTACCTAGCAGGCGGATGTCCACTGAGAGAGAGCTAGCCCGAGATACACCAGAGACTCTGGAGAAAAAGTGAGAGACAGAGTGTGTGTGGGAGTGTGAAAGAGCCCCATCCCCGCCGACACGGGGGCCAAACGAGCCACTGGAATGACCGTAGACGGGACCCAATGTAAAAGGCCCCAGCAGGCAGGCATCACTTTGATCGATGATGGGCGGCCCTTTCCTTTTGGGCTCTGTCCTCCGCCCAGTTTCCCCTCTTTGGGGGCATGCTCAATAGAGGGGATACGGGAAAAGGAAGGAAGCACGACGCCCTCATAAGGTTCCCGACTAGGGGTAAGGTATCTCAGATCACGAGATGGGATGTGGGCTTGACCATGCGCCATTCAAAAATTTGTGGTTGTCTTCTGCATCCCGTATCTGTAGAGTTCCGAGCGAAAGCCTGCCCTGTTGATTCATATTGGATTATTCCGTGTCGTAACTCGCGGCCCGTAATAAGTAAGACGTCCCTCTCGTCGTCGACGGCACAAGACAGCATCTCTGAAGAACCCAAAAGGTGCATCGAGACGTCGATCCCTGTATTAGCGCCCTACGGCAGTGAGGAGTAATTAGCATGCCTTCCTTGCACCTTCTACCTCCAATCTGCACCCGAAGAGAAAAAAAGACGAGGAAAAAATAAAATTAAAAAACCGGTAGAGAGACAAACTCACCTCCCATTTCCGTCCCGTGTGCCCCTGCCTTTGCGTTGCTTTCCTCGCCTTACCTTCCCGCCCGTCTGTCTACCTAAGTACTTGCCTCTGCATCTGCCTTACGCCGTACCGTCTATACTTTTGTCTCGGCCGTTACCTGTACACAACCACACGGCCAGGGCACGGCAAGGCACAGCAGAAAGTTGGTGCACCGCCATCATCCTTTTTTATTTCGTCTCTTGAAGCAGTGGTCGGAGGCAAGAGCAGACCGAAGTACCTATCTTAGGTAAGAAAGGCACCTTCATTTTTTATGCTCCTACCCCGTCCTATCTCTCTCCCCCCATCGCCTGCCCACTCAGAGCAGGTCCCCTCCCGGCTGCTACGTATCCCAAGGCAGGTAGGTAATTAAGGTGCCTTGGGTTCGGATAGGATAGCAGAGAAGGTTCCGTCGCTGGTCACTAGTCCTTGGTAAGGCCCATTGGTCCCTTCCTAGACGGCACCACTGTGCACAGCCGGGTTTGGGATTTGCCCAAGTTTTGGGTGCAGCCGATCGAGCCCACACTAAATCTCCCTACGGCCAGCAACGAACGCCTCACAACAAAACCATTCTCGCGCCTTCGCCCACACTGCTTTGATCGCCTTGAACCGGCCCC